TGACTGTGGTCCCAGCTGCCTTGAGATCATTGACAAGATCCTCCCGTGTAGTTCTGGGCTGATTCCTCACCGTTCTCATGATCATTGTAACTCCACGAGGTGAGATCTTGCATGGAGCCCCAGGCCGAAGGAGATTGACAGTTCCTTTGTGTTTCTTCCATTTGCGAATAATCGCACCAACTGTTGTCACCTTCTCACCAAGCTGCTTGGCGATGGTCTTGTAGCCCATTCCAGCCTTGTGTAGGTCTACAATCTTGTCCCTGAAATCCTTGGAGAGCTCTTTGGTCTTGGCCATGGTGGAGAGTTTGGAATCTGATTGATTGATTGCTTCTGTGGACAGGTGACTTTTATACAGGTAACAAGCTGAGATTAGGAGCACTCCCTTTAAGAGTGTGCTCCTAATTTCAGCTCGTTACCTGTATAAAAGACACCTGGGAGCCAGAAATCTTTCTGATTGAGAGGGGTCAAATACTTATTTCCCTCATTAAAATGCAAATCAATTTATAACATTTTTGACATGTGTTTTTCTGGATTTCTTTGTTGTTATTCTGTCTCTCACTGTTCAAATAATCCTACCATTAAAATTATAGACTGATCATTTCTTTGTCAGTGGGAAAACGTACAAAATCAGCAGGGGATCAAATACTTTTTTCCCTCACTGTAGATACATACACACATACAGTGGCTTGCGAAAGTATTCAACCCTCTTGGCATTTTTCCTATTTTGTTGCCTTACAACCTGGAATTAAAATTGATTTTGGGGGGGTTTGCAGCAATTACAGCTGCAAGTCTCTTGGGGCATGTCTCTATAAGCTTGGCACATCTAGCCACTGAGAATTTTGCCCATTCTTCAAGGCAAAACTGCTCCAGCTCCTTCAAGTTGGATGGGTTCCTCTGGTGTACAGCAATCTTTAAGTCATACCACAGATTCTCAATTGGATTGAGGTCTGGGCTTTGACTAGGCCATTCCAAGACATTTAAATGTTTCCCCTTAAACCACTCAAGTGTTGCTTTAGCTGAATGCTTAGGGTCATTGTTCTGCTGGAAGGTGAACCTCCGTCCCAGTCTCAAATCTCTGGAAGACTGAAACAGGTTTCCCTCAAGAATTTCCCTGTATTTAGCGCCATCCATCATTCCTTAAATTCAGTTTCCCAGTCCCTGCCGATGAAAAACATCCCCACCCTGATCTGTACTTCTCCACAACTTTGTCCCTGACCTGTTTGGAGAGCTCCTTGGTCTTCATGGTGCCACTTGCTTGGTGGTGCCCCTTGCTTAGTGGTGTTGCAGACTCTGGGTCCTTTCAGAACAGGTGTGTGTATATACTGAGATCATGTGACAGATCATGTGACACTTAGATTGCACACAGGTGGACTTTATTTAACTAATTATGTGACTTCAGAAGGTAATTGGTTGCCCAGATCTTATTTAGGGGCTTCATAGCAAAGGGGGTGAATACATATGCACGCACCACTTTTCCATTATTTGTTTTTTAGAATTTTTGAAACAAGTTATTTTTTTCATTTCACTTCACCGTTTTGGACTATATGTCCATTACATGAAATCCAAATAAAAATCAATTTAAATTCGAGGTTGTAAGGCAACAAAATAGGAATAATGCCAATGGGGGGTGAATACTTTCGCAAGCCACTATATATACAGTGGGGAAAAAAAGTATTTAGTCAGCCACCAATTGTGCAAGTTCTCCCACTTAAAAAGATGAGAGAGGCCTGTCATTTTCATCATAGGTACACGTCAACTATGACAGATAAAATGAGATTTTTTTTCTCCAGAAAATCACAGTTTTGGTATGTCAAAAGGTAACAATATAATACTTGGTAACTCTCAGACTTTCCGTGGTTGAATTGGACAACAAAGTGTTACGAAATTGGTGCAATTCATACTGAAACTGTAAATATTTGTTTGAACTTTGACATGTGTCTGCTAAATAAATATTTTTTGGCCTACAGTGGGGGAAAAAAGTATTTAGTCAGCCACCAATTGTGCAAGTTCTCCCACTTAAAAAGATGAGAGAGGCCTGTAATTGTCATCATAGGTACACGTCAACTATGACAGACAAAATAATAATGGTGCATTTTTCCCCATATTCCATCCAGTTTGCTTTATTTTTTATAATGTATTACACTTGATCTTTCTTGAAGAAGTTCCTCCATTTCTTTTTGATTTTCCTCTAACTTATTCTGTGCCTCTATGGTACACTTTTTATTGCTATCTATCTCTACTGTTAGTTCTTCCATTTCCTTTGTTAATATGGACTCTTTTGACTTAAATTGCTTTTGTTTTAGAGATGAATACTGAATTGCATTGCCTCTAAAGGCACATTTAAAAGTGTCCCATACAATAAGGGGATCTGCTGTACCTACAGTGGGGAGAACAAGTATTTGATACACTGCCGATTTTGCAGGTTTTCCTACTTACAAAGCATGTAGAGGTCTGTCATTTTTATCATAGGTACACTTCAACTGTGAGAGACTGAATCTAAAACAAAAATCCTGAAAATCACATTGTATGATTTTAAAGTAATTAATTTTTGCATTTTTATTGCATGACATAAGTATTTGATACATCAGAAAAGCAGAACTTAATATTTGGTACAGAAACCTTTGTTTGCAATTACAGAGATTATAATTTTCCTGTAGGTCTTGACCAGGTTTGCACACACTGCAGCAGGGATTTTGGCCCACACCTCCATACAGACCTTCTCCAGATCCTTCAGGTTTCGGGGCTGTCGCTGGGCAATACGGACTTTCAGCTCCCTCCAAAGATTTTCTATTGGGTTCAGGTCTGGAGACTGGCTAGGCCACTCCAGGACCTTGAGATGCTTCTTACGGAGCAATTCCGTAGTTGCCCTGGCTGTGTGTTTTGGGTCGTTGTCATGCTGGAAGACCCAGCCACGACCCATCTTCAATGCTCTTACTGAGGGAAGGAGGTTGTTGGGCAAGATCTCGTGATACATGGCCCCATCCATCCTCCCCTCAATACGGTGCAGTCGTCCTGTCCCCTTTGCAGAAAAGCATCCCCAAAGAATGATGTTTCCACCTCCATGCTTCACGGTTGGGATGGTGTTCTTGGGGTTGTACTCATCCTTCTTCTTCCTCCAAACACGGCGAGTGGAGTTTAGACCAAAAAGCTCTATTTTTGTCTTATCAGACCACATGATCTTCTCCCATTCCTCCTCTGGATCATCCAGATGGTCATTGGCAAACTTCAGACGGGCCTGGACATGCGCTGGCTTGAACAAGGGGGACCTTGCATGTGCTGCAGGATTTTAATCCATGACGGCATAGTGTGTTACTAATGGTTTTCTTTGAGACTGTGGTCCCAGCTCTCTTCAGGTCATTGACCAGGTCCTGCCGTGTAGTTCTGGGCTGATCCCTCACCTTCCTCATGATCATTGATGCCCCACGATGTGAGATCTTGCATGGAGCCCCAGACCGAGGGTGATTGACCGTCATCTTGAACTTCTTCCATTTTCGAATAATTGCGCCAACAGTTGTTGCCTTCTCACCAAGCTGCTTGCCTATTGTCCTGTAGCCCATCCCAGCCTTGTGCAGGTCTACAATTTTATCCCTGATGTCCTTACACAGCTCTCTGGTCTTGGCCATTGTGGAGAGGTTGGAGTCTGTTTGAGTGTGTGGACAGGTGTCTTTTATACAGGTAACGAGTTCAAACAGGTGCAGTTAATACAGGTAATGAGTGGAGAACAGGAGGGCTTCTTAAAGAAAAACTAACAGTTCACCATCCCAACCGTGAAAAACACCATCCCAACCGTGAAGCATGGAGGTGGAAACATCATTCTTTGGGGATGCTTTTCTGCAAAGGGGACAGGACGACTGCACCGTTTTGAGGGGAGGATGGATGGGGCCATGTATCGCGAGATCTTGGCCAACAACCTCCTTCCCTCAGTAAGAGCATTGAAGATGGGTCGTGGCTGGGTCTTCCAGCATGACAACGACCCGAAACACACAGCCAGGGCAACTAAGGAGTGGCTCCGTAAGAAGCATCTCAAGGTCCTGGAGTGGCCTAGCCAGTCTCCAGACCTGAACCCAATAGAAAATCTTTGGAGGGAGCTGAAAGTCCGTATTGCCCAGCGACAGCCCCGAAACCTGAAGGATCTGGAGAAGGTCTGTATGGAGGAGTGGGCCAAAATCCCTGCTGCAGTGTGTGCAAACCTGATCAAGACCTACAGGAAACGTATGATCTCTGTAATTGCAAACAAAGGTTTCTGTACCAAATATTAAGTTCTGCTTTTCTGATGTATCAAATACTTATGTCATGCAATAAAATGCAAATTAATTACTTAAAAATCATACAATGTGATTTTCTGGATTTTTGTTTTAGATTCCGTCTCTCACAGTTGAAGTGTACCTATGATACAAATTACAGACCTCTACATGCTTTGTAAGTAGGAAGACCTGCAAAATCGGCAGTGTATCAAATACTTGTTCTCCCCACTGTATATGCCAATTATTTGGTGGTCCGACCGCATTCTGTCCCCTATCAACACTTTTTAAACTTTTGGTGCCAGCAAGAATGACATAAGAAAGTAGTCAAGACGACCAGCTTGATTGAGCCTCTGCCATGTATATCTCACTAGATCAGGATATTTAAGGCTCCATATATCCACTAGTTCCAATATATCCATGACAATCGTGATTTCCTTAAGTGCATGAGGGTGATAGTTTGTTGTGTGATTTTCTTTACTGTCCATTGAGGTATTTAAAAGCGTATTATAATCTCCCACCATAATAATAGAGTATTGTATTGCTTGTAGGTTTTTAGAAGAAAGAAGCGTGGATTATCATTATTTGGACCGTATTGATTAATGAGCCATATCTGTTCATGGTCCAATAACATATTTAAAAGCTAATACACCCTAATGGTTAAGGTAAGGTGTTTGGGAGGGTAAACGGATCCTAGACCTTGTCATCCATGTTGGCTCTCATGGGCCCCTAGTCGTCCATGTTGGCTCCAATGGGCCCCTAGTCGTCATCTATTTGCAGATGTCCCCAGTCGATCTCTGGGCCATCGTCGAGGTTCAATATAAGGTAGGACATGAGCTGGAACATGTATTGCAACTGCACCAGGGCCAGGTACAAGTAGAAGTCGCTGACATCGATCTGACACTGGTCACCTGAGAAGTTCATCTGACATATACAGTGGAAGTTGTTGACAAGTTTGTGGCAGTAGCCTCCGTATTCACAGGGGCCTGACACACACTCATCAAAGTCTACCTCACACCTGTGACAGACGGGGGATTTAACTAAATATACTTATATATTAGTTATATTTAACAATAATTGTATATTTGAATAATATTAATGGCATTATTATTATTCATATACATTGAGTTATGAAACCAACTAGCTAGCCTGCTGAGTTTGATACACTTTCTAAGTCTAGGAGTCCTAGGCCTAGCTAAATGGTCTGTAACCTGATTTAATGTGTGCATTTATGTGAGACGTCAGAGTATGCGGACCGTGTTGTATGCATTTGCCCCCAGGAGACATCAACCTTACCTAGGTCCTGGGCCTGCTCCGTCCTGACTCCTGGGTCGGCCAGCCCAAGAGGGCTATTGACTTGTTCAATTCATGGTGACAAAATAAATATATATATATATATATATATATATATATATATAAAAACGAAAGTAAAAAAATGCATGCTCCAAAAGATAACCCCAAAACAAACACTCGTAGTCCAGGAGGCTTCTGGACACGTCTCTTACTGTTTGCCCATAATTTTTAATTGCCCATACCTGTTTACTTATCAAGGCTGGGCACTGTACTTGCAGTCGGTTGCTGCTGCCACATAGGGATAAGGTGTGGAAGTGGTAGTGTGCCGTCTATCCATGCTAATACTAAACCAACCCCCATATCATAACAATTGGTGCAAAAATTGTTCTTCTTCATTCAAGTGGTATACTGAGTAGCAATTTTGTTTTATTCCCAGTTGCTTTATGACTCTAAAACCTAATTAAAATGAACATATTCTATCTCAATCTTCAAGGGAGATGTAGTTGACAGGTTATGTTTTTGTTTACCATGGTGATATCAATATATTTTGTTTAAATCTAGCAAAAGTAGAGAACTTTCCGGACCCTGAGTGGTCTTGTTACACTATATGTAAACATGAAATTAAGAAGGGGTCCTTATGTATAGTTGAACCTGCTCATTCCTCAATAATTTAGGATTTTAGACAAATCTGACGGAGTTGACCAAACATTGAGACATCTTTAAGGTGTCACAGTTTTAAGATACATATTCTTTAAAGTCACAGAGGGTTATTCCAATAAAGTATATAAGATCCGTTTTCAGATCCAAGTTTCTAACATTTTGAGTTTTTCGAGGTTGAAATTGGGATCCTTTGCTTAGGAAAAGGATTGTCCCGATTACACTTAGGTTTCATTGCGATTCATTGACCCAAGCGTTTACTACAGATGTACCATTGTTTATAGCCATGGCTTACCATTGCCCTATAAAACCGGGCAGACAGTCGCAGGTGTAGTCCAGCTTAGAGCAGTTCCCCCCGTTGAAGCAGCTGTAGTTCCATCTGTCTCCAGGACACACGGACACGGGCAGGTTGGGGTATCTAGAGTTGAGCGACACAAACACACAAGCGTCAGTTACCTGACAGTTAGGAGGCTGATAGCAGGCATAATGGCTCAAAGGGGATTGTTAATTGATTAAGTTGATGTGTCTAATCACCACAGATGTGAGCTAGAATTGGCTTGAGAGGATATGACTTTAAAAAAAAAAAACATGCAATCACTTGAAAGAACTTGAAATAACTTACGGTATCTTTTCAATGTACCATGGGACTTCTGGGACCTTTTCACTAAAAGATAATGATTCATCAGGTATCAATTTGTGTTCATATCACCCTTGACATAAATTATGACATATGAAAATACGTCATACACAATTGAGTTATAGCTTTGGATTGTTTTGTTAAGTGCTTGCATATTTGTTTCTGGATCTTTTCTATTTTCTTTAAGATAAATTAGGGTGAGGTTGGGTTAGGGTTGGGAGGGAATATGAGAAGCGTTTGAGACTTACTCGCAGAGGGGCCCGGTCATGTTCCTTGGGCAGAGGCAGGCGTAGTTCAGGAGGCCTCTGAGACAGGTGGCCCCCAGGCCGCACTTGTTGTTGTCACACGTATCCACATCCTTCTCACACCTGGTCCCCTCATACCCCAGCTCACATGCACATACATATCCCTCCCCCAACACACTGCAGTTGCCATGGACACAGGGCTTGACGGCGCAGGTGTCGGCGTCATTCTGGCATTGTGGCCCCATCCACTCGGGAGGGCACCTGCAGAGGGAGAGGTCAAAGAGATCCTCACACACCCCCTGGTTTAGACAGGGGTTCGGCGCGCACACACTGGCCCCCCAGCAGCCATATTGGGGGGTGGCGACACTGGGGGCCTTCACAAACTGCTCCTCTTGGGGCCTGGGAAGGTTCAGGTCAGTATCTCCATAGTAGGGCAGCGGGAGCCCCCCAATCTGGACGGGGCCCAGACATCCATCCAAATTCCCCCCAGCCTCTGGCCCCAGACCTCCCAGGAGGATGTCCACTCCCTCCCTGAGGAAGGCCAGGCTCCCAGAGGTGGCCTCAGACACAACATACTCCTCCTCTCCTCCCTCTCTTCCCCCATCCAGGACCATGATCCACCTGGAGTTCTGTAGATCCGGGGCTTCCATGGAGAGCTCCACTGTGTGCCACTGGCCGTCGCTGAGCAGGCCCCGGCTCTGGGCAGTGAGCTTGGGGGAGGCCTCGCCACTGCCGGCCTGTAGTTCCAGCAGCAGGTGGGAGTCCTGGAGGGAGATGGTGAGGAACTCAGAGCCTTTCTCGGTGTGTAGGAGGGTGGCGTCCGTCTGCCTGGTTCGCACACTGAGGAGGACGCTGCTGAGGTGGTGCCTGATCTTCCCGTTGCCTCTGTAGGACAGTATGCTGTCATTCCGGAGGGTCACGTTGGATACACCTGGAATGCAAAACAGCAGAGGCTTAAAAAAACTAAATCTGTAACTGAAATATCCTCAGTGGCACAAGAAGCAACACTTTAAACAGTTACATTCACTAAGAGCCAGCAAGAGGAAACGTTTATTACAGATTGCACCCATGTATGTTACAGTAGACAGAATGTTACAAACCATTAACAAACTCTACTGAAGGGGGAACCTTACATGACACAGGGTTATCCATCCATATGGGCCGGATTTAATAATCGGTTGCTCCAGGTGCAAAGAGTGCAGTACTTCTGGATTGAGGCAGGTTGTTCAATTGGGAATGGAAGGATAAGTTCTCTATTTTAGACCTTACCGTTAGCTGTATGGTGCCTTACCCTGTCACTAGTCCAATTGCCAGGCAGGAGAGACAGCAAACCATGGTTTGAATTTCTTTAAATGGCTACTACTAACTTCAGCTAACTTGATTCAGCTAGCCACGGCTAACCAAAAATCAACGAGAGAGAAGGGGCAAGTGCAGTGTTCAACATTTTGGGCTAAAACACCTTTATGTAACATGAGTCATTAACGGTTGCCCCCATCTCTCCCATTGATTTCTGGTTACCCTAGGCTAAAGTTACTGAAATTAATGGTGGCTGTTTAAACAAATCTGAACCATGGATTACAGTCTCTCCTAGTTTATAGACTACTTTCAGGGTAAGGAACCATATAGAGACCTTATGCTGTAATTCCCTATTGATCAAACAGGAGCAACCTTTGCACCTGCTGTCAATCTGGAAAGGACTGCACCTGCAAACAACCTTCACACCTGGTGCAACCTCTTAGTAAATCCGGCTCATATGGATGGATAATGGTGTATCATGCAAGTAGTGCCGGTCAAACACCTGGCATTGCTTGAGAGAATTCTAGCGCCTAAACCTCTTGAATCATGTGGCGGTATGGTTCATCTGGGGCATAAGCTTGGCTCATGGGAATTCAACAGTCCATTCAGTGGATACACACGACATACTAGCCTACTCTATATAAAATATGTCAAATACAGAGAAGCAATTGCCATATGTCTGCGTTTCCCTGACCTCTCGTCAAGAACCCCCGGCCAGTTCCACTGATCTATTAAAGTACAGCAAACTTAATTCAACTAATTAAGCAGACCTGATTGAACTTATCAAGCAGACCGGATTCAGCTAATGAAGGGCTTGATGATTAGTGAACTACCGGTAATTGAATCAGGTGCGCTGATACTGGATTAGGTCAAATACACTACGTGTCCAAGAATATGTGGACACCTGCTCGTCGAACATCTCATTCCAAAATCATGGGCAATAATATGGAGTTGGTCCCCCCCATTGCTGCTATAACAGCCGCCACTCTTCTGGGATGGCTTTCCACTAGATGTTGGAACGTTGCTGGGGGGACCTGCTTCCATTCAGCCACAAGAGCATTAGTGAGGTCGGGCACTGATGTTGGGCGATTAGGCCTGGCTCGCAGTCGGCCTTCCAATTCATCCCAAAGGTGTTAGATGGGGTTCAGGTCAGGGCTCTGTGCAGGCCAGTCAAGTTCTTCCACACTGATCTCAACAAACCATTTCTTCACAACCGGCTCTGGTCTAAGTTGAGCCAGGGTGTGTCATTCTATGTGTTTATTCTATGTTGGTAATTCTGTTGTGTTTATTCTACTAGAGTGACTCCCATCAGAGGCAACAGTGTCAGTTCCTGATTGGGAGCCACTGTCTATTTCCTTGTGTTGTGGTTCTTGTCTGTTCGAACCGTGGACTCACGGTCGTTTCTTGTTTGTTGATTGTGTTCTATTATCACTAAAGATAATAAAGTTAAACATGTTCGTTCATCACGCTGCGCCTTGGTCTGTTCATTACGACGATCGTGACAGAAGAACCCACCATGCAACGACCAAGCAGCGTGTCCAGGGGCAGCTCTTGGGCTGGACATGGGAGGAAGCGCCGGGAGAAGAGACGGTGGAGGCGCGCCGTAGAGAGGAGCAGGCAGCCTGGACATGGGAGGAGATATTGGACGGTAAAGGGTCCTGGACTTGGGAGGAAATCCTGGCCGGGATGGATCGCCGGCCATGGAGTGAGACAGTGGAGAGGCGCCGTAGAGAGGAGCAGCGGCGCCAAACGGGTCAACGTCGGACAGGCGAGAGGCAACCCCAGAAAATTTTTAGGGGGGGGCACACGGCATGGACGACGGGGCTGACGGAGGCAAAAAAGGGCGGGATTCAGAAGGCCACCAGGTTACGGATACACCGCCCTGTACGTCCTGTGCGGATGCCTCACACAGAGTGTGTGAGGGTAGGCATTCAGCCAGGACGGGTTGTGGCCGCTCTTCACTCCAGGTCTCCTATCCGTCTCCACAGCCCGGTTCGGCCTGTCCCTGCTCCACGCACCAAGCCTACGGTGTGCGTCGCCAGCCCGGTCCGGCCTGTCCCTGCTCCACGCACCAAGTCTACGGTGCGCGTCGCCAGCCCGGCCCGGCCTGTTCCTGCCACTCGCACCAAGTATACGGTGCGCGTCGCCAGACCGGCCCGGCCTGTTCCTGCCACTCGCACCAAGCCTACGGTGTGCGTCGCCAGCCCGGTCCGGCCTGTCCCTGCTCCACGCACCAAGTATATGGTGCGCGTCGCCAGCCCGGCCCGGCCTGTTCCTGCCACTCGCACCAAGTCTACGGTGCGCGTCGCCAGCCTGGCCCGGCCTGTTCCTGCCACTCGCACTAAGCCAGGGGTGCGAGACGTCAGCCTGGTAAGGCCCGTTCCTCCTCCACGCACTAAGCCAGGGGTGCGAGTCGTCAGCCTGGTAAGGCCCGTTCCTCCTCCACGCACTAAGCCAGGGGTGCGAGTCGTCAGCCTGGTAAGGCCCGTTCCTCCTCCACGCACCAAGCCAGGGGTGCGCGTCGTCAGCCTGGTAAGGCCCGTTCCTCCTCCACGCACTAAGCCAGGGGTGCGCGTCGTCAGTCCAGCACAACCCGTGCCTGGGTCACCGGTGCCTGGTAAGGTACCGGTCAACTGCTCCACTATGGAGCTGAAGCTAACCGCTCCTGCTAAGTCCAGTTCAGCTCCAGCCGGCAGGGCCAGACTGGATCAGGGGCACTATGGGGGGTGTATTGGAGGACGGTGGTCAAGGCCGGAGCCAGAACCGCCGCCGAGGAGGTATGCCCGCCCAGCCCTCCCCTGTTTTGTTCAGGTTGAGGCGCGGTCGCAGTCCGCGCCTTTAGGGGGGGGTACTGTCACACCCTGGTTCTGGGACTCTATATGTTGAGCCAGGGTGTGTTCATTCTATGTGTTTATTTCTATGTTGGTAATTCTGTTGTGTTTATTTCTATGTTGGCTAGAGTGACTCCCAATCAGAGGCAACGAGTGTCAGCTGTCGTTGGTTGTCTCTGATTGGGAGCCATATTTATACTGTCTATTTTCCCTTTGTGTTTGTGGGTTCTTGTTCCGTGTTCGGTCATTGTTACCGTGGACTTCACGAGTCGTTTCTTGTTTTGTTGATTGTGTTCTATTATCACTAAAGATAATAAAGTTAAACATGTTCGTTCATCACGCTGCGCCTTGGTCTGTTCATTACGACGATCGTGACAATTTCTGTGTGGACCTCGCTTTGTGCATGGGAGCATTGTCATGCTGAAACAGGAAAGGGCCTTCCCCAAACTGTTGCCACAAAGTTGGAAGCACAGAATCATCTAGAATGTCATTGTATGATGTAGCGTTAAGATTTCCCTTCACTGGAACTAATGGGCCTAGCCTGAACCATGAAAAACAGTCCCAGACCATTATTACTTCTCCACCAAACTTTACAGTGGGTACTATGCATTAGGGTAGGTAGCGTTCTCCTGGCATCGGACTGCCAGATCGTGAAGCGTGATTCATCACTCCAGAGAACGCGTTTCCACTGCTCCAGAGTCCAATGGCGGCAAGCTTTACACCACACCAGCTGACACTTGGCATTGCACATGGTGATCTTAGGCTTGTGTGCGGCTGCTCAGCCATGGGAACCCATTTCATGAAGCTCCCGATGAACAGTTCTTGTGCTGACGTTGCTTCCAGAGGAAGTTTGGAACTCGGTAGTGAGTGTTGCAACCGAGGACAGACCATTTTTCTGCACTACGCGCTTCAACGCTCTGCAGTCCCGTTCTGTGAGCTTGTGTGGCCTACCACTTTGCGGCTGAGCCGTTGTTACAGCCCTTGCAGGGCAGAAATTTGACCAACTGACTTGTTGGAAAGGTGGCATCCTAGGACGGTGCCATGTTGAATGTTACTGAGCTCTTCAGTAAGGCCATTCTACTGCCAATGTTTGTCTATGGAGATTGCATGGCTGTGCGCTGAATTTTATACATCTGTCAGCAACAGGTGTGGCTGAAATAGCCGAATCCACTAATTTAAAGGGGTGTCCACATACTTTTGTATATATAGTGTAATTGGACCTTGCAGGCAGTATTAAAAGAGAGGTTTGAGAGACATTGATGTGAGTAATAGTGCAATTTGACTTTGGATTTCTGCAGAATGGATTGCATTGCTTGGTTGATAATCTATTCAGAAAGGGGAACTAGGAACTCACACTCAAAGCCCTGTGAGAGGGGCTGGCAGGCTGCGGTCGAGGGGCACGGAGACAGCTCACACCACTTGACCTCCTCACAGCGCCGCCCTGCAATGTTGGGTGGGCAATTGCAGATGAAGTCGTCCCACATGGGGTAGCACATGCCGCCGTTCAGACATGGGTTGTTCTGAAAGAGACAAATAATAACTCTGTCAAGCAGTTGACTTTGTCATGGTGAGGCAACTGTGTTGTCATGGGGCAACTGTGTTGTCATGGGGAAACTGTGTTGTCATGGGGAAACTGTGTTGTCATGGGGAAATTGTGCAGTGTCTTTGGGCAACTTTGTTGCCAAAGAGAATATACAGGAACAGTTCCAGAAACTGCTTCTCCAATAGAAATCCCTGATCAAGCTTGTAGGCGATGTCATGGCGACGTTAGCTAGCTAAGTTCATGTATGGAAATGAGAGAAAATAAACAACTAAGTGTAGGGTAAGGACCAAGCAGGCAATGAGAAAACTGAGTGCAAACACTGTAGTAGGGGTTTTATTTTCCTAAACTTTAAGTTGTTAACAATGTAAGAGAATTCAAACCATAAGTTGCGTAAAATATTATAAGTATAAGGTCGGTAAATGAATAAAAGTAAAATGTTCTAAAGCCTCAACATAAAGTATAACTGAGGTCTACATAGCAGAGGAGGAGCAACTCAAATCAAGGGTTAACTAAAGCCAAAAGGTTGGCGCTCAGAAGGGAATGGCCAGTTCCAAATATCCAAGGCAGGTAGGCTGTAAAGATACTCATATAAATTATAATTCTTAAAATGTTTACTATAAATGTGATTTTAAGTATAATGTACATATTATCATTAACATTAATTGAACAAGGCTAAATGTTTGGTGCAAATGAATGTTAAAGTGCATAGGATAGGGACATTTAGCAGTGCGGCTAGATGTGTCCGTCACACTAAGGAAGTTATCTTTCACTCTTTCATTGACTTCCCAAACCCCAAATCCTGGTCTGGTCTGTCAGGTCTACTTCGCGGGCATCCCAGGAAGTATTGGCCGCTAGGAACTCTGGGTTTATAAACTCTGTGGTGTTGTCATGGGGCAACTGTGGTGTTGTCATGGGGCAACTGTGGTGTTGTCATGGGGAAACTGTGGTGTTGTCATGGGGAAACGGTGGTGTGTCATGGGGCAACTGTGCTGTGTCAGTATAGTATGTAGTATATGTATAGTGTATGTCCAGTTACTCACACTGCAGGTGTTGTCACTGGTACATCCCTGTGTGACGTTGATCAGCTCTTCCAGGCCGTACGAGGCCACCGGAGTTCCTATGGGAAAGAACTGCAGCCGTTTATTGTTGATTCTCAGGTCCTGGACACAGCCTTTCAGGTAACCCCCGAAGGATGCCGAGGCTCTCTGGTTGGCCAGGCCCCCAACGTAGACCAGGTCCCCTGGCTGAGCCACCACGGGCCGGACGGGGATGGTTCCCTGGCTCTGGGCAGACTGTAACAGAGTCACAGAGTCGCCCTCCAGCCGCACCATCACCAAGTGAAAGTGACCGTCGTTGACCACTTTGCGCCCCGCCAGGCTCTCAAAGTTGTTCAACTGAACTTTGACACGGCCGTCATCCAGCCACAGGTGGAGGTACTGGCTGGTGCTGTTGGCCAGGACCAGGAGGAGGCCGCTGGGGCGCCGCGTGCGCACAAACATGGATATGACGATGGTGCCAGAACCCAGGGGGTCGTCCAAGGAGAAGACAGCATAGCTTGCTGCGTCCTCGTTCCCGAACCTGGCGGTGATGTACTCTGCGTTGATACAGAGAGAGAGAGTTTCAAAAAAATAAAGAAAGTTGCAAACTATATCCTCCCAATTACTTAATGGATAGATGAAGAACTAACAAAGAGAGATAGTGTCAGAACACAAAGACTATAGCATGGTTTCCACTACACTCTTAGAAAAAAGGGTTTCCAAAAGGGTTCTTCGGCTGTCCCCATAAGAGTACACTTTTTGGTTCCACATTGAACACTTTTGGATTCCATGTAGAACGCTCTGTGGAAAGGGTCCTACATGGAACCCAAAAGGGTTCTACCTGGAACCAAAAATAATTAATCAAAGGGTTCTCCTATGGGGAACCCTTTCAGGTTCTAGATAGCAAGTTTTTTTCTAAGAGTGTACCAATCTCCAGGCGGGCCACTGTGTGCTAGGGCCCTCTCTTTTTCCAAAACTAGGCTATAGATTGTTTACTATGCTGGGTACCAGGATTGGTGTCAATTCCATTTAAACTCAGTCAAGTCATGAAGTGAATTGAAATTCTATTCGTGACACGAAAAGTATTCAAATGATGAATTGAATGAATCTCCTAAAATTTAAAATGGAATTGCCCCCAACTTTGACTTGGTACCAGCCTGAGATGTTTATGCCACTCCTTCAAGCCGCAGGGATGGGATATTGTCAGGTGTGAGCTGGGGCAATCCGGCCCCTGAGGACTGAGGACTAGAGTTGCCCATCCCTGATTCAAGGTGAACCGGACCAGTACTCAGAACTCGGACCAGTTATTTCCACCCATCACATTAAAGCATTGTGGCGGGAGTCCTTGGGAATCCCTGTTTTCTGGGAAGTGAAGGCGCTCCCAGTCGGCTCCTTAATCCTAAGGTCAGGTGTTATTTTATTTGCTCCTTTCTGCCTCTGTGTGTGTGAGTTTGTGTGTGTGTGTGCATGCGTGCCTGTGTGTGTGTGTACCTGTGTGTGTGTGTGTGTGTGTGTGTGTACTGTATATGCTATTTTTACTAGTTCTCTAAGCTCCTTTGCAGTCTGCCACAGGCTACTTTATCCATCTGTTCGGTGCCACATTACAGGTCCAGCCATTCAGATTTTGGAGTGATTCTGAGGCTGAACTGTTGACCTGTACCTCAGGCCATAGATTGTCCAAAATGACCCGTACCTTCTCGGGTTGACCATTTCCATTGTTCTTAGCTACATTATCCAAGCTGTAGTAGAAGCACATAATGATTGCTCTAATAGGATATGTGATATTATTACATTGAAATGTAATAGATCAAATTGATTAAAAAAATTATAACAATAAAGAAACATTCTTAAGCTGTGGCTCTCATTTACTGCCACATCTTCAGTGTTTTCAGACCACACTCTCCAGGCCTTACCCTCGGCGCAGTCAGTAGTCCCATTATACGGTCTGTAGCACTCGCACACATAGCTCCTCCATCCCTGGCTTATGCAATGCCCCCGGTTCTGACACGGATTGTCGTCACACTTGTCCTTGTCGCTGCACCCCGCTGTGACGTTGATCTGAGCCGGCGAGTTGGCGGGGGCAGGCACCACCAGCCGTGACTCCACAAACACGTCCCGGAAGCAGCCCAGGAAGTGGGCAGTCGGGGCACGTGGGACAGGCGGGTCAGCAGCCTCAGGCGTCCTCTTTCCTGCTACCCCACCGGAGCCCCAGCCCAGTCCCACCCCTCCTAGGAAGAGGCTGTGATGGACCGAGCCGGGCTCGGGGAGGCCGGAGCCTTGCTCCAGCAGGGTGGTCTCGGTGGTGGGGAACTCCCTGGTGCAGCCCACCTCATCACAGGAGGACTGAAGCAGTCTGACCCCGCTTCCCTCCGCCTCACTGCCCAGCCAGGCCTCCACAGTGTGCCACTGGCCATCCGACACGCTCGGCGGTAGCTCCAGAACCACTGCCCTTCTTGACCCTTGACCTCTTAGCATGCTGAGGCGTAAGTGGCTGTCGACCAGCTCGATGGTGAGCAGCAGATCTTCGACCCGGCGCTGGAGGAGGGTGCCAACGGGCCGGTCCGTCCTGAAGCTTAGGGTGATGTTCAGAGGGGCTTCAGGGTCCGATAGCTGGGTCTCCACATACATGTAGCCGCTGGTCTCGAAGGAGAAGATGGTAGACGTCTGACACTTGGAGCCGGTGAAGCCCGCACGGCAGGTGCAGGTGTAGGTGTGGCAGTCGTTCAGGAAGAGTGGAGAGCAGATGCTGCCATTCTTGCAGCGGTTGCCGTCGCAGCCCAGGAGGGCGACTGTGCAGTTCTCACCTCCATACAGTCGGCCATCTTGGCTCTGTTGAGAGCAGAGGCACCTGTAGCCTCCATGATGGCTCTCGCAGACGCCACCATTCTGACATGGTTGCAGTTCACATGCGTTAGTGTCCTCCTCACTGATGGCGCCTGTGTAGATATGTAAACAATCAGATATCTTTGCGTCCTGCAATAAAGTCAATTGGCAATTCATTTTTTTATCTATGTGGAATTAATATGTTATTGATATGATATGGCATCTATGGTACATTACTTTCCTGCATGTGAATTTGGCCATACTTAAAGACTGAAAACATTCATTCTAAAGTTTGGCACATGGCATGCCATTGATTACTAGTTTGTTTTTAAAAAAATCTTTATTTTCCTTTTGAATACATCCACATTTCCCTAGTTAATTACACATCTATATCTAGGGAAGTATAACACTCATTTTGCAGATTGGTTGATATGTTCACTTGTAGTACTTTTCCTATATCAACCAATAAAATAATAACTTTAATTATAGAAATAGATATTTGTCGTTTATTTCGTGACGTTTTGTTTGAACATGATAGAAAACAAGTCATAAGGAGCATAAAAAGGAAGGTGAAAATATTAGTATGATGACACAATTTGCTATACTATTTGTAACACTTCTCTGTTCTGTGCACTGTATAGCCTCACAGAAAACAACAACAACAGCAACAAACCCACCATGAACACGAGAGCTAAATTACCTGCATAGAGCAACCACGAAATCCAAACACACACTGTGACTCTTAACATGGTCCTTGGCCAGTCCTCCTAATCAGTAGAAATGGGAATATCGATAAATGACTCCATTGCATTTCACAGAAGTGGTTTGGAAGCCATTACAACAGATATCAGCTTCTTGTGTTTCCCCCGTGCATGAATGACTGCCCAATCCAGTCTAAAACCGGGATCACTACAAACTAGATAGCCTATTTGGGATTAAGCTAATGCACTTAAAATGTCTTACAAATGGAGTGTTGGCCAGGGAGGAGTTCACAGGACTAATTTGAGCAACAGCAAACATCTCCACTAGTCTAGAAACACGAAAGCTTACATAAAAGACTGGAACCTACCTCACCTATTATGAGTTTAAAAATATATATATTTTATTTATTCAGGGAAACCCAATTGAGGCCAGTGTCTCATTTACAAGTGTGCCCTGATGACCAAAAAAATCCATCAATACAACAACAAAAAAAGTTAAACTACAAGACAGCCTATAGTTGGAAGAGTACTCAAAAGGTGTTTTTGATATAGCCTATACTTTGATAGTACACTGATTTCAAAGATTTAGTGAATTCATATTATGGACACACACGCACACACATTTTGGAAGCAAGGGTACCATTCAGTAAAAGCATTTACAGTATTCTATTAGCATACTGCTTTAGGTTAAAAAAACAACAGCCATCTAATATATACTGGCCTACATCAGGGTACTTTGACTCTCTGTGTGGACTTTTCATATGTCTCTCGCTCCTCTCTCTGCTACATAACAGGCCATGGCCGTAACTACATATGAGGACACCGAGGTCATATTTTCTAATTAAAAATATATATATATTTTGTAGTAAAGAAAATCAATTACGAGTCAACATCTAAATATTGCTCCCAGCGTTGATCAAAACTTAGAACGCTTTATATATTCTTGATCTGACTGAGGTCTAATCGCGCCTGCCTCTTTGCGAATGAGTGGAATCATGAACAGTGGTTTGTTCGTTATGTTCACCTGCGTCCCCCGGATTTGCCTCCCCCTGTTTTCCCTTTTAGCAGCACATTCACCACTCTCTCAAATGGCTAACTCCGCCCGAGACAAACTACCCCAGCTCGCAGTCAGCTTAATTAGGCATACTAGAGACGCTGCTGACAGTGTGTTTGAGAGATGCCGGGCAAAAGGCCATTTTAAAACCATGCAACGACTCCTCCTGTGTCTAATAACCTGGTCTCAGAGCATTTCGTATTATTATGGAGACACTCCATTTAGTATGTTACGTTTCGCATGGTATGCATTCATTTGTGGATGTCCATCATCCATTTCATATGATATGTTATGCATTACAATTTGTATGATACACTATATATACAAAAGTATGTGGACACCCCTTCAAATTAGTGGATTCGGCTATTTCAGCCACACAGTTTGCTGACAGGTGTATAGAATTGAGCACACAGCCATGCAATCTCCATAGACAAATATTGGCAGTAGAATGGCCTTACTAAAGAGCTCAGTGACTTTCACCGTCATAGGATGCCACCTTTGTAACAAGTCAGTTCGTAAAATTTCTGCCCTGCTAGAGCTTCCCCGGTCAACTGTAAGTGCTGTAATTGTGAAGTGGAAACGTCTAGGAGCAACGCAGGCTCAGCTGCAAAGTGGTAAGCCACACAAGCTCACAGAACGGGACCACCGATTGCTGAAGTGCGTAACGTGTAAAAATCGTCTGTCCTCAGTTAAAACACTCACTACCGAGTTCCAAACTGCCTCTGGAAGCAACGTCAGCACAATAACTGTTCGTCGGGAAATGCGCAATGCCAAGCGTCAGCTGGAGTGGTGTAAAGCTCACCACCATTGGACTCTAGAGCAGTGGAAACGCGTTCTCTGGAGTGATGAATCACGCTTCACCATCTGGCAGTCCGACGGACAAATCTGGGTTTGGCGGATGCCAGTAGAACGCTACCTGCCCCAATGCATGGTGCCAACTGTAAAGTTTGTTGGAGGAGGAATAATGGTCTGGGGCTGTTTTTCATGGTTCGGGCTACACCCCTTAGTTCCAGTGAAGGGAAATCTTAACGCTACAGCATACAATGACATTCTAGATGATTCTGTGCTTCCAACTTTTTGGCAAAAGTTTGGGGAAGGCTCTTTCCTGTTTCAGCATGACAATGCCCCTGTGCACAAAGCGAGGTCCATACAGAAATGGTTTGTCGAGATCGGTGCGGAAGAACTTGACTGGCCTGCACAAAGCCCTGACCTGAACCCCATCGAACACCTTTGGGATGAATTGGAACACCAACTGCGGGCCTAATCACCCAACATCAGTGCCAGACCTCACTAATGCTCTTGTGGCTGAATGGAAGCATGTCCCGCAGCAATGTTCCAACATCTGGTTGAAAGTCTTCCCAAAAGAGTGGAGGCTGTCATAGCAGCAAAAGGGGGTCCAACTCCATATTAATGCCCATGATTTTGGAATGAGATGTTCGACGAGCAGTGTCCATATACTTTTGGTCATGTAGTATATGTCACAAATTCCAATTCATACAATATGTTACGAATTGCAATTCGTACAATATGTTACGAATTTGCGAAATGTACAATTTGTTATGAATTTGCAAAACTTATATGTTACGAATTCCAATTTGTTGTGCTGACGTTAGCTAGGTTTGAACATGCATCCTTTGGGTTGCTAGATGTTCGTGTTATACATCCATCCACCCTGACCAACCACCCTCCTTTCATTTTTGTCTTAAAGTAACTTTCTGTCTTAAGTAACCATACCAAATGTAACATATCATACAAATTGTATTTCCTGGATTTACGTTTACTATGTTACATCTAGTCTATGAGACCAGGCTGTGTCTGCAGACTTCCCCCAAACAAACAAAAACAGACTCAATGAGCCACAACTGGTAAATAGTGGCTTATAGATATGTCAGTCATTCAGGTGGCTAGCTGCCTGCAGAGACAGTATTGTTGAAGGGCTCTGGCTAGTATTCCAGTTGAAGTGGCGGCAGGTAGCTTAGTGGTTAAGAGCATTGTGCCGGTAACCGAAAGGTCGCTGGTTCTAATCCCCGAGCCAACTAGGTGAAAAATCTGTCGATGTGCCTTTGAGCAAGGCACTTAACCCTAATTGCTCCTGTAAGTCGCTCTGGATAAGAGCGTCTGCTAAATGACTAAGAAAAAGAAAGTTTACATACACCTTAGCCAAATACATTTAAACTCAGTTTTTCACAATTCCTGACATTTAATCCTAGTAGAAATTCCCTGTTTTAGGTCAGTTAGGATCACCACTTTATTTTAAGAATGTGAAATGTCAGAATAATAGTAGAGAGAATGAGTTTATTTCAGCTTTTATTTCTTTCATCATATTCCCAGCGGGTCAGAAGTTTACATACACTCAATTAGTATTTGGTAGCATTGCCTTTAAATGGTTTAACTTAGGTCAAACGTTTTGGGTAGCCTTCCACAAGCTTCCCACAATAAGTTGGGTGAATTTTGGCCCATTCCTCCTGACAGAGCTGGTGTAACTGAATCAGGTTTGTAGGCCTCCTTGCTCGCACACGCTTTTTCAGTTCTGCCCACACATTTTCTATAGGATTGAGGTCAGGGATTTGTGATGGCCACTCCAATACCTTGACTTTGTTGTCCTTAAGCCATTTTGCCACAACTTTGGAAGTATGCTTGGGGTCATTGTCCATTTGGAAGACCCATTTGCGACCAAGCTTTAACTTCCTGACTGATGTCTTGAGATGTTGCTTCAATATATCTACATAATTTTCCTTCCTCATGATGCCATCTATTTTGTGAAGTGCACTAGTCCCTCCTGCAGCAAAGCACCTCCACAGCATGATGCTGCCACCCCCGTGCTTCCCGGTTGGGATGATGTTCTTCGGCTTGCAAGCGTTCCCCTTTTTCCTCCAAACATAACGATGGTCATTATGGCCAAACAGTTCTATTTTTGTTTCATCAGACCAGAGGACATTTCTCCAAAAAGTACAATCTTTGTCCCCATGTGCAGTTGCAAACCGTAGTCTGGCTTTTTTATGGCGGTTTTGGAGCAGTGGCTTCTTCCTTGCTGAGCGGCCTTTCAGGTTATGTCGATATAGGACTCGCTTTACTGTGGATATAGATACTTTTTACCTGTTTCCTCCAGCATCTTCACAAGGTCCTTTGCTGTTGTTCTGGGATTGATTTGCACTTTTCGCACCAGAGTACGTTCATCTCTAGGAGACAGAACGCGTCTCCTTCCTGAGCGGTATGACGGCTGCATGGTCCCATGGTGTTTATACTTGCGTACTATTGTTTGTACAGATGAACGTGGTACCTTCAGGCGTTTGGAAATTGCTCCCAAGGATGAACCAGACTTGTGGAGGTCTAGAATTTTTTTTCTGAGGTCTTGGCTGATTTCTTTTGATTTTCCCATGATGTCAAGTAAGCTAACGTTAAACAGAGCCTTCCTCAGCAGGAGCAAAAAAATAAGCTCTAACTCTGCTTTACAGCGAATACTTGGTGACAGATTCCCAAAATCAAAATCACTTGGAGCTGATTTCCTGGTGCTTTTAAAATATTTTATGTCCAACAATAAACACCCCCTCCCCCTCCCCCTTGGTGGGCCAAATAAAACCACCCGCGGAACCCTGCACTGACAGCAGTTGGGAACATGGCTACTTAGCATACAGTCGCATGTTGTTTGTTACTTGGCATTTGTGTTATTTAATGTGATAATGGCTGGGGTCATTTTTGCATAATAGCATACTGTACATGGTGAGCCAAATTGCATGATTTCAATTTGCATGATTTCAATTAGCATACTTTAATTTGCATGATTGCAATTTGCATGCTGATTAATTGATCATTGTTGACGCTGACATTATGACATTATGTTTATTATTATTATTATTATTATTATTATTATTATTATATTATGATGTTGTCTAATGTATGTAAATAACATGCCATTATCCAAATTGCAAGTAGGTATTTAGAATAAGGGTGAATAAGGGCAGAACATTAAAGGAGTCTATACTGTTGAAGACCTGTTTAAGGAACGGTTTGATTATTATCATGGGTTTCCAATCATGAATTTCCTAATCAATAATTTTTTTTTTCTCCACTATTCATTTTCAAGTATGTTATGACTGTGAGACTATTAGATGAAGGCATTCACAATCCTTTCATCATACATCTCGCCGAGTGGCGCAGTGGTCTAGTGTTCCACTAGAGATCCTGGTTCGAATCCAGGCTCTGTCGTAGCCGGCCGCGACCGGGAGACCCATGGGGCGGCGCACAATTGGCCCAGCGTCGTCCAGGGTAGGGGAGGGAATGGCCGGCAGGGATGTAGCTCAGTTGGTAGAGCATAGTGTTTGCAACGCCAGGGTTGTGGGTTCGATTCCCACGGGGGGCCAGTATAAAAAAATAATGTACACTAACTGTAAGTCGCTCTGGATAAGAGCGTCTGCTAAATGACTAAAATGTAAAAATCTCTCTCTATAGGTTCCCTAGGTCCTATTTCACTACAATACCCACAATGCCACATAGACTATAAAGTCGCATAGGCGAATCATGTGATAAAGTTCAGCACATTCTTCACGTTTATCAATGAACACTAAGCACACAAAGGCTGTTAAGGTTTACAACAATTTACACCTACCTGCATATATATTAGAGAAATATCAAAGGTTTTCTGTCGGCTTTTTTGTGTGTCATTTCTCTCTGGTTACTGTTACACAAAGGGCTCGAAGACAAATGCTGAAACAGCCGATGAACGTGCGCGTTGTTTGTGTGCGACGTTTCTCCAAGAATGTGAAGGTGGGGCGTTTTGCGATATTCAGGAAATTATCATTTTTCTGTTTTTCTCAGAATAGATGTACGAGTATATTTAGTTTTTTTTCATAGCGTGCTTACACTTCTAAGGTAGGTTTGAAAATGATTTTGCTTGCACGAATGCTTTCCCGAGGGGCGGTAAGGGTCGTTTGTCAACGTTCTCCTATTCGGGGGGCGGTTGTAGAGACCATAACATAGGGGTCCTTGAGGTGGATAGCGAATTTGAGACTGCAATATTGTAGCCAACTGCTGAAGCAAAACTGAATTGAGTTGGCTGCATGCTACGCTGTTTCGAATTTGCGATATAGAACAACGTTGATACACCCATGTCACTGTGTGCATTGGCTTTCACAAAAAAATTAGCCCAAATATCAAAAGCTAGCTATAACAGTAAATGCAATATCAAAATACAGGTGTAATCAGCTGCATCTATAAGCTTTATCTAGAGACATGTCTTTACCTCTAACCTTACCATATAGGCTGTGTAACATATGTTCAACAGAACTTTATGCTGACATAGGCTGTTTATTGAAATTCTCTCTGTTTTTCAGAACTCTTTGAATGTTTCCCTATTTAACATAATGATGAAGAGAAAACCCAACCAACATCAACCCCCAAACAGGAGAGGAAGGGTCAGTGCTAGTGCCGGTGGGCAAATTGACTCACCGGACAACAATACCATGACTGACTCCGAGACAGTTCCACTCCCTCCATCACAAAAGAGGCACCTGACCATGATGCAGCATGGCGACAACCTCCTCAAGTTTCTAAACGAGGACCGAACGAAGCAAAGGTTCTGCGACGTCTCCGTCAGTGTGGGCGGGAAGTGCTACAGCGCCCACAAAGCCATGTTGGCGCACGGTAGCAGCTACTTCCACGCCGAGCTGACCAAAAACCCGAACGCCGACCACGTGATTCTCGACCACGTGGAGGATTCCGTGTTCCAACACTTACTGCGCCTCCTTTACACGGCCGAGTGTGTCATCTCCGAGAGCGAGGTCCCTGCCCTGACTGAAGCGGCCGGCTTCCTGGACATGATGGATGTAGTGAAGCTCCTGGCAGGAGAGGGGGATGTCCGGCCAGCGCTTGCTCGAGTGGAGGTTAAGTCCGTGGGGGAACCAAGCGCAGGGAAGGCCTCTAAAGCTTCTGACCTTCCATCGGACTGTGTCGGGGTCCAAAGCCCAGTCCAGGCTGGTGCCCACCATTGTTCGTTCTGCAGCCGTACATTTTGCTACAAGAAGTCTATGGAGAACCATTTAACCAGGAATCACAGTAGCAGCACCGAGGGAGATGCCAGAGAAAAGGTGGTCACTCAAGAGATTACTACCACGGTAACCACGAACCGGAGGTCTGCCCGCAGGAGGAAGGTTCCCGCCAAATTGGAGAGAGGTGACGCGGACAGCGCCGTCGCAACAGAGGGGAAGCTACATCACGACCCCGCTAGTAGAGACCCAACCACCACAGAGGAAGACGACGAGGAGGAGGAGGAAGAAGAAGAAGAAGGGAGAAAACCAAAGCACAAATCCGACACAGGAGACGCACTCACCCCAACCGAGGGGGAGGAGGCGGAAGAGGAGAGGGAGGAGGATGAGGAGGAGATGGTGGTGGAACGTAAGAGTGCGTTAGTACGGGGAGCAAGAGAGAGCGGTGAGAGTTCAGAGGTGGAGACAACAGAACACCAGACAGTCAATGAGGTGGAGGTGTATAGTCAGGCTGCAGATGGCTCTAACTATGGACCAGTGTACCCAGAGGGACTGGCTCCTGTCATCATCCAGAGCGTCAGCAAGAAGACGCTCAAGTGCCCCAAGTGTGACAAGACCTTTGACCGCACAGGTATGTACTCTCCTTAGAGAGTTTATTTAAATGTATTGTACTGATTGTATACATTGTATTTATTCACAAGGGCAGTTGTTTCAACAACAGATTAATTACATAACATCAACAACAACATAATAATTATATACTAAACAAAAATAATAATAATATATTAAACAATTAATACATAACCAACATTTAACCAACCACAAGTGCTGTTGTTTTGTCCTCGTCTCTTAGCAACTGAGTAGGAGTAGTAGTCTTAATTTATTTGACTGCCAATCAAGTGAATCAATGGAGTTTTCAAAGAGCAGAAGCCCTGAAGGACTGCAGTCAAAGATTTTTTATAACTAAACCAAGATAGATCACAGCGTGTCATTTCCAATGGGAACAAATGAGCCATAGTGGGCAGAACAGGCAAGGAGGGGGGCAGAGCCAAGCACGAACTAGTGAGATCCTATTGGAGTGTTCTAGCGTCATCTGCATATTTCCGTTAGGGAACGCCTACTCTGTGAAGTGCGCGTGTGCAGTAACTCAATTCACCCTTTGCACTCCGTGATTTTTTAAAACCTTTTGCAAAGGGTAAAGTTAAAAAATCTTAGCCCACTCTATTCATAACAGATTCTAGTTTTGGTAACAAAAAACTGTATTGAGATCAAATGTTTCATCGATGAGAAAATGTGCAGAATGTCGGCCAAAATCCATCTCGTTCCATCTTCTCCCACTGCCCGCCAGTGGGCTTCCTCCATACACCAAGCTGATGCTTCACATTTAAACATCCAGTGAAATATCTGTCTCATTGTTCTATCTGTGCTGCAGTTGTGCACCACTTATCTGTCTTATGAGCCTGGCCATACCATGCACCAAATACTATATTATAAATCAGAATAATATTATGTTTTGCTGTTTTTCTCTGTATTTTCCATAGGGAAGTATGAGAGTCACACCAGGGTGCATACAGGAGAGAAGCCCTTCCAGTGTGACGTGTGTCTACAGTGTTACTCCACCAAGTCGAACCTCACCGTGCACAAGAAGAAGCATGCCAGTGACGCCCCCTTCCAGAAGAAAGACCACAAGTGCTCCTTCTGCAACAAGCTGCACGCCAGCAAAAAGACCCTGGCCAAACACGTCAGAAGGTGAACCTTTGTGTCTGTCCCATCATCCTCTGTTCACCAGGGTTGGGGGTCAGTTCCATTTCAATTGAGCCAATTCAGGAAGGAAACAGAAATTCATATTCTAATAGAGAAGCTTTGAGGAACATTTGAATTGGAATAGGAATTTCAGTTTACTTCCTGAATTGACTGAATTGAAATGGATTTGACCCCCAACCCTGATATTCACATTACACTCTTATACATATTCTATATTTTGGTTATTATAAATCCCTAACAATTGCGCTTTTAGGAAAAGAGTCACTCTAAATTCAAATGGTTGTAAATTAAAATCATGTTCTCATGAATAAAAATATGAGGTTATTTATTTAGTGGTTGGATTGAAACCTTAACAGCCCTTCTAAACTAGGAGCTGGTTTCCCAGACCCAGATTAAGCCTAGTCCTGGATTAACAATCATTCTCAATAGAGAATCTTTATTCAAAGTGCGTTTTAGTCTTTTACTAGGCTTAATCTGGGTCAAGGAAACCATTGCTAGATGAGTTAAAGCTTGTTTGTAGTCTTTCAGGGTAAAGGGGTCTCTGGGTAGTAGTAATCTGACTTAATCATTATATACCCTGATCTAGATGTTATTAGCAATTCTATAATGGTGATTCTTTAATTGCCCTTCAGGGATAAACAGAGTTTATTTTATTTAATTAAATGGTTTACGCTGTAGTCCACCATTCGTGTCCTTTTCTTACTTAGTTCTATGTAGTGTACTTAAAGTTAAAATAATGAGCTTTGCCACCTTGTGGACACGTGTCACAGTGCAGTTCAGTGTCAAAGGGATCCAGACAGGTCAATGCACAGTTGTACTGTATGTTTATATTGAGACTCTGGTCCCCAAGGAGTGAAAAGGAATGAATAATGAAGTCAAGTGTGTACTACCTATGTGTTACCACTGTGCTTTCAGGTTCCACCCGGACCACATTCAAGAGTTCCTGGCCATGAGGAAGAAGAAGAACGAGGGATGGAAGTGTGATGTAAGCTTTGACTTGTTTTATTTTATGAAACACAATCCAAAAAAGAAAATTGTCAGATAACGGACACAGTATAGAAAAGGAGGTAAAGAGCAAAATGCTAGCCCCAAGATTCAGACTACAATCATATTTTGAAGGGATCACTTCCCTTGAGCCCTTATAATATGAATGTCTCTTGCTGATCAATATCAACACTTTGAGCCTAAGAAGTTTGGTTTTAACATTTTGCATTTTTGTCATTTAGCAGACGCTCTTATCCAGAGCGACTTGCATACATTTTTTGTACTGGTCCCCCGTGGCAATCAAACCCACAACCCTGTTGTTGCAAGCGCCATGCTCTACCAACTGAGCCACATGGTAGTTTCACAACCTTTATCTTATCAAGTTCAAGTGTCAAGTCTATTATGACATCATTACATAGCCATATGAAATTAAATGTATTTTAGAAGTTGAGTTGAGGCAAGGACCACTCTAAAATATATACAGTGCCTTCGGAAAGTATTCAGACCCCTTAACCTTTTCCACATGTTGTTACGTTGCAGCCTTATTCTAAAATGGATTCAATAGTTTTGTTTCCTCTCATCAATCTACACACAATACCCCATAATGACAGAGCAAAAACAGATTTTTAGAAATTTCAGCTAATTTATTAGAAATAAAAAACAGAAATATCACCTTTACATAACTATTCAGACCCTTTACTCAGTACTTTGTTAAAGCACCTTTGGCAGCGAGTCTTCTTAAGTATGACGCTACAAGCTTGGCTCACCAGTATTTGGGGAGTTTCTCCCATTCTTCTCTGCAGATCCTCTCAAGCTCTGTCAGGTTGGGTGGGGAGCGTCGCTGCACAGCTATTTTCAGGTCTCTCCAGAGATGTTCGATCGGGTTTAAGTCCAGGCTCTGGCTGGTCCTCTCAAGGACATTCAGAGACTTGTCCCGAAGCCACTCCTGCATTGTCTTGGCTGTGTGCTTAGGGTCGTTGTCCTGTTGGAAGGTGAACCTTCACCCCAGTCTGAGGTCCTGAGCGCTCTGGAGCAGGTTTTCATCAAGGATCTCTCTGTACTTTGCTCCGTTCATCTTTGCCTCGATCCTGACTAGTCTCCCAGTCCCTACCGCTGAAAAACATGATGCTGCCACCACCATGCTTCACCGTAGGGATGGTGCCAGGTTTCCTCCAGACGTGACACATGGCATTCAGGCCAAAGAGTTCAATCTTGGTTTCATCAGACCAGAGAATCTTGTTTCTCATGGTCTGAGAGTCTTTAGGTGCCTTTTGGCAAACTCCAAGCGGGCTGTCTTGTGCCTTTTACTGAGGAGTGGCTTCCGTCTGGCCACTCTACCATAAAGGCCTGATTGGTGGAGTGCTGCAGAGATGGTTGTCCTTCTGGAAGGTTCTCCCATCTCCACAGAGGAACTCTAGACCATCGGGTTCCTGGTCACCTCCCTGACCAAGTTCCTTCTCCCCCGATTGCTCAGTTTTGCAGGGTGTTCTTGGGGACCTTTAATGCTGCAGAATTATTTTGGTACCCTTCCCCAGATCTGTGCCTCGACACAATCCTGTCTCGGAGCTCTACGGACAATCTTCAACCTCATGGCTTGGTTTTTGCTCTGACATGCACTGTCAACTGTGGGACCTTGTATAGACAGGTGTGTGCCTTTCCAAATCATGTCCAATCAATTGAATTTACCACAGATGGACTCCAATCAAGTTGTACAAACATCTCAAGGATGATCAATGAAAACAGGATGTACCTGAGCTCAATTTTGAGTCTCATAGCAAAAGGTCTGAATAGTTATGTAAATAATGTTTTTCTGTTTTGTATTTTCTTTTATAAATTTGCAAACATTTCTAAAAACCTGTTTTAGCTTTGTCATTATGGGGTATCGTGTGTTGATTGCTGAGGATTATTTTTTATTTAATCCCTTTTAGAATAAGGCTGTAACGTAACAAAATGTGGAAAAAGTCTAGGGGTCTGAATACTTTCTGAAGGCACTGTACCTACAGATGCAATGCAGTAAATGGAAAACTTGTAGTGTATATGAGGTTTAAAAATACTTTCCACTTAGAAATGTCAGACTTGAAATGTATCAACCCCTACAAAAATTGTCCTTTAATTATAATCCTCATAATAATTCACATGTCCTGTTGTTGCAGGACTATTTTCCTGCTGTAGCAAACTGGCTCAAATTAAGATCCTACATCTGTACACGTCACATAATATTCACAGAATACATATTCCACAGAATAATACATTTTCACGTTCACTGCAAGTACAGTCAGTGTATTCTCGTATCCTCACCTGCTCTCTCTCTGATATTCCGGGTTCAGATCTGCCACAAGTCTTTCACACGTAGGCCTCATCTGGAGGAGCACATGATTCTACACACGCAAGACCGACCCTTCAAATGTGCCTTCTGTGACGACTACTTCAAGTCCAGGTTTGCCCGCTTGAAGCATCAAGAAAAGTATCATTTAGGTAATGAACGGGAAATTTCATTTGATTGCTTTATCCAACATATTTAAATAATAGATCAATGTATTGTACCTCTTGACTTGAGGCGTACATATATATTGCATTATGATGAGTCCATAATGCTTTATTGGCCTTGTCATAAGTATGAATTAACTGCTTATAATGTGTTAGGATAGTGATGAATCGGTTATTATCTGTCATTTGAGCTAGTTGAAAGGCGAGACATATTATAAGTTATCATGGTTATAACAAGTAATAATACGTTATAACTATATGCCCTAAGTAAAGTGTTACTGTTATATCCCCTTGGATTGATGAGGAATTGAAAAAATTGTATGGTTGAGAGGGATGAGGCAAAAGGTATGGCATACAGTGGCTTGCGAAAGTATTCACCCCCCCTTGGCATTTTTCCTATTTTGTTGCCTTACAACCTGGAATTAAAATTGATTTTGGGGGGGTTTGTATCATTTGATTTACACAAAATGCCTACCACTTTGAAGATGCAAAATATGTTTTCTCGTGAAACAAACAAGAAATAAGACAAATAAACAGAAGACTTGAGCGTGCATAACTGTTCACCCCCCAAAGTCAATACTTTGTAGAGCCACCTTTTGCAGCAATTACAGCTGCAAGTCTCTTCGGGTATGTCTCTATAAGCGTGGCACATCTAGCCACTGGGATTTTTGCCCATTCTTCAAGGCAGAACTGCTCCAGCTCCTTCAAGTTGGATGGGTTCCGCTGGTGTACAGCAATCTTTAAGTCATACCACAGATTCTCAATTGGATTGAGGTCTGGGCTTTGACTAGGCCATTCCAAGACGTTTAAATGTTTCCCCTTAAACCACTCAAGTGTTGCTTTAGCAGTATGCTTAGGGTCATTGTCCTGCTGGAAGGTGAACCTCCATCCCAGTCTCAACTCTCTGGAAGACTGAAACAGGTTTCCCTCAAGAATTTCCCTGTATTTAGCGCCATCCTTCAATTCTGACCAGTTTCTCAGTCCCTGCCGATGAATGGTATTCTCGGGGTGATGAGAGGTGTTGGGTTTGCGCCAGACATAGCGTTTTCCTTGATGGCCAAAAAGCTCAATTTTAATCTCATCTGACCAGAGTACCTTCTTCCATATGTTTGGGGAGTCTCCCACATGCCTTTTGGCGAACACCAAATGTGTTTGCTTATCTTTTTCTTTAAGCAATGGCTTTTTTCTGGCCACTCTTCTGTAAAGCCCAGCTCTGTGGAGTGTACGGCTTAAAGTGGTCCTATGGACAGATACTCCAATCTCCGCTGTGGAGCTTTGCAGCTCCTTCAGGGTTATCTTTGGTCTCTTTGTTGCCTCTGATTAATGCGCTCCTTGCCTGGTCCGTGAGTTTTGGTGGGCTGCCCTCTCTTGGCAGGTTTGTTGTGGTGCCATATTCTTTCCATTTTTTAATAATGGATTTAATGGTGCTCCGTGGGATGTTCAAAGTTTCGGATATTTTTTTATAACCCAACCCTGATCTGTACTTCTCCACAACTTTGTCCCTGACCTGTTTGGGGAGCTCCTTGGTCTTCATGGTGCCGCTTGCTTGGTGGTGCCCCTTGCTTAGTGGTGTTGCAGACTCTGGGGCCTTTCAGAACAGGTGTATACAGTGGGGAAAAAAAGTATTTAGTCAGCCACCAATTGTGCAAGTTCTCCCACTTAAAAAGATGAGAGAGGCCTGTAATTTTCATCATAGGTACACGTCAACTATGACAGACAAAATGAGAAAAAAAAATCCAGAAAATCACATTGTAGGATTTTTAATTAATTTATTGGCATTTGATGGTGGAAAATAAGTATTTGGTCAATAACAAAAGTTTCTCAATACTTTGTTATATACCCTTTGTTGGCAATGACACAGGTCAAACGTTTTCTGTAAGTCTTCACAAGGTTTTCACACACTGTTGCTGGTATTTTGGCCAATTCCTCCATGCAGATCTCCTCTAGAGCAGTGATGTTTTGGGGCTGTCGCTGGGCAACACAGACTTTCAACTCCCTCCAAAGATTTTCTATGGGGTTGAGATCTGGAGACTGGCTAGGCCACTCCAGGACCTTGAAATGCTTCTTACGAAGCCACTCCTTCGTTGCCCGGGCGGTGTGTTTGGAATCATTGTCATGCTGAAAGACCCAGCCACGTTTCATCTTCAATGCCCTTGCTGATGGAAGGAGGGTTTCACTCAAAATCTCACGATACATGGCCCCATTCATTCTTTCCTTTACACGGATCAGTCGTCCTGGTCCCTTTGCAGAAAAACAGCCTCAAAGCATGATGTTTCCAACCCCATGCTTCACAGTAGGTATGGTGTTCTTTGGATGCAACTCAGCATTCTTTGTCCTCCAAACATGACGAGTTGAGTTTTTACCAAAAAGTTATATTTTGGTTTCATCTGACCATATGACATTCTCCCAATCCTCTTCTGGATCATCCAAATGCACTTCAGACGGGCCTGAACATGTACTGGCTTAAGCAGGGGGACACGTCTCGCACTGCAGGATTTGAGTCCCTGGCGGCGTAGTGTGTTACTGATGGTTGGCTTTGTTACTTTGGTCCCAGCTCTCTGCAGGTCATTCACTAGGTCCCCCCGTGTGGTTCTGGGATTTTTGCTCACCGTTCTTGTGATCATTTTGACCCCACGGGGTGAGATCTTGCGTGGAGCCCCAGATCGAGGGAGATTATCAGTGGTCTTGTATGTCTTCCATTTCCTAATAATTGCTCCCACAGTTGATTTCTTCAAACCAAGCTGCTTACCTATTGCAGATTCAGTCTTCCCAGCCTGGTGCAGGTCTACAATTTTGTTTTTGGTGTCCTTTGACAGCTCTTTGGTCTTGGCCATTGTGAAGTTTGGAGTGTGACTGTTTGAGGTTGTGGACAGGTGTCTTTTATACTGATAACAAGTTCAAACAGGTGCCATTAATACAGGTAACGAGTGGAGGACAGAGGAGCCTCTTAAAGAAGAAGTTACAGGTCTGTGAGGGCCAGAAATCTTGCTTGTTTGTAGGTGACCAAATACTTATTTTCCACCATAATTTGCAAATAAATTCATTAAAAATCCTACAATGGGATTTTCTGGATTTTTTTTCCTCAATTTGTCTGTCATAGTCGACGTGTACCTATGATGAAAATTACAGGCCTCTCTCATCTTTTTAAGTGGGAGAACTTGCACAATTGGTGGCTGACTAAATACTTTTTTTCCCCACTGTATATACTGAGATCATGTGACAGATCATGTGACACTTAGATTGCACACAGGTGGACTTTATTTAACTAATTATGTGACTTCTGAAGGTAATTGGTTGCACCAGATCTTATTTAGGGGCTTCATAGCAAAGGGGGTGAATACATATGCACACACCACTTTTCCGTTATTTATTTTTTAGCATTTTTTGAAACAAATTATTTTTTTCATTTCACTTCACCAATTTGGACTATTTTCTGTATGTCCATTACATGAAATCCAAATAAAAATCAATTTAAATTACATGTTGTAATGCAACAAAATAGGGAAAACGGTAAGGGGGATGAATACTAATGCAAGGCAAAAGTACTGCAAATTGAGAAATCACGTGACTAAACTGAATAAAAAGAAGAAGAAACTAAACTATGAAACAAAGATAAATGATTTGGAGCACCTTAAAATAAATATTGGGCAAAAAGGCAAACTCAGCTCCATCACTCATTGAATCAGATGGCTCATTCCTCACAAAACCCATTGATATTGCCAACTACTTTAATGATTTTTTCATTGGCAAGATTAGCAAACATAGGCATTACATGACAGCAACAAACGCTGACACTACACATCCAAGTATATCTGACTAAATTGTGAAAGACAAGCATTGAAAGCCAAGTCAACAAACAGAACACCGACCATTTCGAATCCCACCGTACCTTCTCCGCTATGCAATCCGGTTTCCGAGCTGGTCATGGGTGCACTTCAGCCACACTCAAGGTCCTAAACGATATTATAACCGCGATCGATAATAGACAGTACTGTGCAGCCGTTTTCATTGACCTGGCCAAGGCTTTCGACTCTGTCAACCACTGCATTCTTATTGGCAGACTAAATAGCCTTGGTTTCTCAAATGACTGCCTCGCCTGGTTCACCAACTACTTCTCAGATAGAGTTCAATGTGTCAAATCGGAGGGCCTGTTGTCTGGACCTATGGCAGTCTCTATGGGGGTGCCACAGGGTTCAATTCTTGGGCCGACTCTTTTCTCTGTGTATATCAATGACGTCGCTCTTGCTGCTGGTGACTCTCAGATCCACCTCTATGCAGACGACACTATTTTGTATACATCTGGCCCTTCATTGGACACTGTGTTAACAAACCTCCAAACGAGCTTCAATGCCATACAACACTCCTTCAGTAGCCTCCAACTGCTCTTAAACACTAGTAAAACTAAATGCATGCTCTTCAACCGAACGCTGCTTGCACCCGCCCACCCGACTAGAATCACTACTCTCGACGGGTCTGACCTAGAGTATGTGGACAACTACAAATATCTAGGTGTCTGGTTAGACTGTAAACTCCTTCCAGACTCACATTAAGAATCTCCAATCCAAAGTTAAATCTAGAATCGGTTTCCTATTTCGCAACAAAGCCTCCTTCACTCATGCTGCCAACATGCCCTCGTAAAACTGACTATCCTACCGATCCTTGACTTCGGCGATGTCATTTACAAAATAGCCTCCAGCACTCTACTCAGCAAATTGGATGTAGTCTATCACAGTGCCATCCGTTTTGTCTCCAAAGCCCCATATACTACCCACCACTGTGACCTGTACGCTCTTGTTGGCTGGTCCTCACTACATATTCGTCGCCAAACCCACTGGCTCCAGGCCATCTATAAATCACTGCTAGGCAAATCCCCGCCTTATCTTAGCTCATTGGTCACCATAGCAACACCCACCCATAGTCTGCGCTCCAGCAGGTATATCTCACTGGTCATCCCCAAAGCCAACACCTCCTTTGGCCGCCATTCCTTCCAGTTCTCTGCTGCCAATGACTGGAACAAATTGCAAAAATCTCTGAAGCTGGAGACACTTATCTCCCTCACTAACTTTAAGCATCAGTTGTCAGAGCACCTTACCGATCACTGCACCTGTACACAGCCCATCTGAAATTAGCCCGCCCAACTACCTCATCCCTATATTGTTATTTATTTTGCTCATTTGTACCCCAGTATCTCTATTTGCACATCATCTCTTGCACATCTATCATTCCAGTGTTAATACTAATTGTAATTATTTTGCACTATAGCCTATTTATTGCCTTACCTCCATAACTTGCTACATTTGCACACACTGTATATATATTTATTTCTGTTGTATTTTTGACTTTGTTTTGTTTTACCCCATATGTAACTCTGTGTTGTTTTTATCGCACTGCTTTGCTTTATCTTGGCCAGGTCGCAGTTGTAAATGAGAACTTGTTCTCAACTATAAAAATTTGTTATTTTGAATTCCGTAAAGTAAGTGTGGAAGAGGTAAAAAAATGATTGTTGTCTATCAACAATGACAAGCCACCAGGGTCTGACAACTTGAATGGAAAATTACTGAGGATAATAGTGGATGATATTGCGACTCCTATTTGCCATATCTTCAATCTAAGCCTATTAGAAAGTGTGTGCCCTCAGGCCTGGAGGGAAGCAAAAGTCATTTCGCTACCTAAGATTAGTAAAGCCCCCTTTACTGGCTCAAATAGCCGACCAATCAGCCTGTTACCAACCCTTAGTAAACTACTGGAAAAAAGTGTTTTTTGTCCAGATACAATGCTATTTTACAGTAAACAAATTGACAACAGACTTTTAGCACGCTTATAGGGAAGGACATTCAACAAGCACAGCACTTACACAAATGACTGATGATTGGCTGAGAGAAATTGATGATAAAAATATTGTGGGGGCTGTTTTGTTAGGATTCAGTGTGGCTTTTGACGTTTTCGATCATAGTCTGCTGCTGGAAAAACGTATGTGTTATGGCTTTACACCCCCTGCTATATTCTGGATAAAGAGTTACCTGTCTAACAGAACACAGAGGGTGTTCTTTAATGGAAGCCTCTCCAACATAATCCAGGTAGAATCAGGAATTCCCCAGGGCAGTTGCTTAAGCCCCTTACTTTTTTCAATATTTACTAATGACATGCCACTGGCTTTGAATAAAGTGTGTCTATGTATGCGGATGACTCAAACTATACACGTCAGCTACTACAGCAACTGAAATAACTGCAACACTTAACAAAGAGTTGCAGTTAGTTTCGGAATGGGTGGCAAGGAATAAGTTAGTCCTGAATATTTCCAATACTAAAAGCATTGTATTTGGGTCAAATCATTCACTAAACCCCAACTACATCTCGTAATGAATAATGTGGAAATTGAGCAAGTTGAGGAGTAACCCTGGATTGTAAACTGTCATGGTCAAAACATATTGATACAACAGTAGCTAAGATGGGGACAAGTCTGTCCATAATAAAGCGCTGCTCTGCCTTCTTAACAGCACTATCAACAAGGTAGGTCCCAAAGGCCCTAGTTTTGCCACACCTGGACTACTATTCAGTCGTGTGGTCAGATGCCACAAACAGGGACTTAGGAAAATTGCAATTGGCTCAGAACAGGGCAGCACGGCTGGCCCTTGGATGTACAAAGAGAGCTAACATTAATAATATGCATGTCAATCTGTCCCGTGTGGCTCAGTTGGTAGAGCATGGCGCTTGCAACGCCAGGGTTGTGGGTTCGATTTCCACGGGGGACCAGTATGGGAAAAAAGTATGAAAATGTGTGCACTCACTACTGTAAGTCGCACTGCATAAGAGTGTCTGCTAAATGACTAAAATGTAAATGTAAACTCTCCTGGCTCAAAGTGGAGGAGAGATGAACTTAATCACTACTTGTATTTGTGAGAGGTATTGACAAGTGGAATGCACCAAGCTGTCTGTTTGAACTACTGGCACACAGCTTGGACACCCACGCATACCCCAAAAGACATGCTACCAGAAGTATCTTCACATTCCCCAAGTCCAGAACAGACTAGTACTACATAGAGCCATGACTACATGGAACTCTATTCCACATCAAGTAAGAGATGGACGCAGTAGAATCAGATTTAAAAAATAACTAATACACCTTATGGAACAGCGGGGACTTTGAAGAGACACAAACACAGGCACAGACACACATACACATGATAAGACACGCACTCTACACACACGTACACATGGATTTTGTTTTGTAGATATGTGGTAGTAGAGTAGGGGTCTGAGGGCACATACTTAATGTGTTGAGAAATCTGCTGTGAATGTATTGTAATGTTTTTAAAATTGTATAAACTGCCTCAGGAAGAGCAGCTGCTGCCTTGGCAGGAACTAATGGGGATCCATAATAAATACAAATACCATGTTCAGGTTTATTGTCCTCAAAAACATTGGGAGTCAAGGAAAATGTTGTATAATCATTGAAGAGAATTCTATCAAGTTTGTAGAAGCTTAACTTTAGTCAATGATCAAATGTTGATGTTGGATTGAGAAGTAAGGCTGTAACACTGGGATATTTAATTGACCTTTGACTCTGTCCACAGGTCCGTTCCCTTGTGACATCTGTGGCCGCCAGTTCAACGACACGGGTAACAGGAAGAGACACATTGAATGTACACATGGGGGCAAGAGAAAATGGACCTGCTTCATCTGTGGGAAGTCGGTGAGGGAGAGGTAGGATTGTCAAAACTTTTTTTGGGGTTGTGGGAAAAGTCAATTCAAATGTAATCATAAAACAAGTAATAAAAAGCCTAAAATAAACAGCAGTGCTTAGAATACTGCACATATACGTGTGATTACATTGAACTTCTATGTTTTTATACACAACAACTACTAATGTTAAAACTTTTAACGAAACTTTTAACCAACTTGTTTTTAACAGTACTTTTTGGTGGCGGTCTCTCACTGCTCACATGGTAACAATCTCAACTTTAGTGACTGGTCTACTATCAGTCTAACTCCATTGATTGTAATGTTGTTGTTTTTTATGTCCGTAGGACAACGTTGAGAGAACATATGCGGATTCACAGTGGAGAGAAACCTCACCTCTGCAGTATCTGTGGACAGAGTTTCCGCCACGGCAGCTCTTATAGGTCAATATGCTTGGGCAGTTCATAACATACCTAGTTCTTATTGGCTATCACCTGTGGGTGGAGTCCCATGTTCAGCAGGTTTCTATTGGGTCGTTTTTGTCTTCTCCAGAGAAAATACTTTTGTCATAATTTAGTACAAAATAAATACAATGTTTGCCTGTTTTAATTGCATATTAAACATTTCTTAACTTTAACCCCAAACTCTATTCTGATAGGCTTCATCTTCGAGTCCACCACGACGACAAGCGCTACGAGTGTGACGAATGCGGAAAGACGTTCATACGCCACGACCATCTGACCAAACACCAGAAAATACACTCGGGTACGGTATACACACCTTCCGTGTTATGTTCCGTAGCTATGCAAAAGAGAGTAAAATGCTCCCCTGGGTTAGTTGTTCATACATGGTCCTGGGCCTGTTTGGATGTTTTTATGCTGCATATGAATTGTCTTACAGGACAATAATTGAATTGAATCTCCCTTGGATGTTATCAGGGGAGAAAGCCCACCAGTGCGAGGAATGTGGAAAGTGTTTCAGGCGCCATGATCACCTGACCGTCCATTACAAAAGTGTCCACCTGGGAGAGAAGGTGTGGCAGAAGTAAGTGGTCCGGATGGTGGATGGAGATGGAGGGAATGGGCGCGTTCCAGGTTGACTACATTGCAGATGCATGTCAGATCTCACACCGCGGCTGACTACATTGCAGATGCATGTCAGATCTCACACCGCGGCTGACTACATTGCAGATGCATGTCAGATCTCACAACGCGGCTGAATACATTGCAGATGCATGTCAGATCTCAAAACGACTGAATAGGTGTTTAACATATCAGCTAACCACATCATATGATATATTAAAAAAATAAAAAAATGTATGCACTCACTAACTGTAAGTCGCTCTGGATAAGAGCGTCTGCTAAATGACTAAAATGTAAATGTAAATATAGCAATCTGATGACGTGGCATGCAACCATTGGTTGATGAAATGTAACATCTGCAATGTAGTCAGCCTGGAACGTGACCATTATGTTCTAGATTTAAAGTGTCAGTCTGGGCTTAGACACACCAGGGCACCAAAGGGATTTTTTATTATATGATCAAGCAAATAGGCAGAATGAACAGCAATGGACCAATAACAATTGCATTGTCAGCACACGTCCAACAGATTTTCACATGATATTCAATAAAACAAAGTCAATTCATAGAACATGCACAGGGAACAACTTGACGTCCATATCTTGACAGTCAAATACATACAGTCACATAGGTTAGTCACATTTATACCAAAAACTATGTTGAAAATCTATTTTTGGTTTCAACTTCTTGTGCTCGCTGTCGCTGGTATAATTACAATTACCATATTGAACAAACCCAGTGTTTGTCCAATGAAAGTATTTTTGGCTGACAAAGACCATGCGTAATGGGATTTAGTAACCGAAAAATACTTAGCTTTTTTTCTGTTACAGATGATCTTCTATGGTGTCTAGTTGACTATTTGTGAATCCAGGCTCTGTCGTAGCCGGCCGCGACCGGGAGACCCATGGGGCGGCGCGCAATTGGCCCAGCGTCGTCCAGGGTAGGGGAGGGAATGGCCGGCAGGGATGTAGCTCAGTTGATAGAGCATGGCGTTTGCAACGCCAGGGTTGCGGGTTCGATTCCCACAGGGGGTAGGAAAAAAAATAATGTATGCATTCACTAACTGTAAGTCGCTCTGGATAAGAGCGTCTGCTAAATGACTAAAATGTAAATGTAAATGTGAAAAGACTAAGCATTGGGAAAACTTGTGTGGATTCTATAGGTATAAAACAGCTGTGCATCAGTGTGAGGTTTGTAAGAAGGAGTTCAAAGGGAAGTCCAGTCTGGAAATGCACTTCAGGACACATTCAGGTAAGATGACAATAAAAGCTGTGAATGTCTGTTTGACTGGCAGCGTACCTTTCTTTTCACATCAACCCTTTATTGACATGTTAATCCAGAACAAATGTATTTGGTGGACATAGATGTCCAATAAATACAGTGGGGAGAACAAGTATTTGATACACTGCCGATTTTGCAGGTTTTCCTACTTACAAAGCATGTAGAGGTCTGTAATTTTTTATCATAGGTACACTTCAACTGTGAGAGACGGAATCTAAAACAAAAATCCAGAAAATCACGTTGTATGATTTTTAAGTAATTAATTTGCATTTTATTGCATGACATAAGTATTTGATCACCTACCAACCAGTAAGAATTCCGTCTCTCACAGACCTGTTAGTTTTTCTTTAAGAAGCCCTCCTGTTCTCCACTCATTACCTGTATTAACTGCACCTGTTTGAACTCGTTACCTGTATAAAAGACACCTGCCCACACACTCAATCAAACAGACTCCAACCTCTCCACAATGGCCAAGACCAGAGAGCTGTGTAAGGACATCAGGGATAAAATTGTAGACCTGCACAAGGCTGGGATGGGCTACAGGACAATAGGCAAGCAGCTTGGTGAGAAGGCAACAACTGTTGGCGCAATTATTAGAAAATGGAAGAAGTTCAAGATGACAGTCAATCACCCTCGGTCTGGGGCTCCATGCAAGATCTCACCTCGTGGTGCATCAATGATCATGAGGAAGGTGAGGGATCAGCCCAGAACTACACGGCAGGACCTGGTCAATGACCTGAAGAGAGCTGGGACCACAATCTCAAAGAAAACCATTAGTAACACACTACGCCGTCATGGATTAAAATCCTGCAGCGCACGCAAGGTCCCCCTGCTCAAGCCAGCGCATGTCCAGGCTCGTCTGAAGTTTGCCAATGACCATCTGGATGATCCAGAGGAGGAATGGGAGAAGGTCATGTGGTCTGATGAGACAAAAATAGAGCTTTTTGGTCTAAACTCCACTCGCCGTGTTTGGAGGAAGAAGAAGGATGAGTACAACCCCAAGAACACCATCACAACCGTGAAGCATGGAGGTGGAAACATCATTCTTTGGGGATGCTTTTCTGCAAAGGGGACAGGACGACTGCACCGTATTGAGGGGAGGATGGATGGGGCCATGTATCACGAGATCTTGGCCAACAACCTCCTTCCCTCAGTAAGAGCATTGAAGATGGGTCGTGGCTGGGTCTTCCAGCATGACAACGACCCGAAACACACAGCCAGGGCAACTAAGGAGTGGCTCCGTAAGAAGCATCTCAAGGTCCTGGAGTGGCCTAGCCAGTCTCCAGATCTGAACCCAATAGAAAATCTTTGGAGGGAGCTGAAAGTCCGTATTGCCCAGCGACAGTCCCGAAACCTGAAGGATATGGAGAAGGTCTGTATGGAGGAGTGGGCCAAAATCCCTGCTGCAGTGTGTGCAAACCTGGTCAAGACCTACAGGAAACATATAATCTCTGTAATTGCAAACAAAGGTTTCTGTACCAAATATTAAGTTCTGCTTTTCTGATGTATCAAATACTTATGTCATGCAATAAAATGCAAATTAATTACTTAAAAATCATACAACGTGATTTTCTGGATTTTTGTTTTAGATTCCGTCTCTCACAGTTGAAGTGTACCTATGATAAAAATTACAGACCTCTACATGCTTTGTAAGTAGGAAAACCTGCAAAATCGGCAGTGTATCAAATACTTGTTCTCCCCACTGTAGATGATAGGTCTGGCAGGTAGCATACCGACCTGCTTTAATTTCCTAGATAATTAACAGACGGTGTATTAGACCAGCAGCCATCAAACTATACACACGCTTCAATAAATGTATATTTTTGATCCGTTTTTTTATAAAGGTTTTTCAGTATTTTACAGGCAAAGGGCCACAACAAACAACAAAACCTCTACCTACCCCTTCTCCTCTCCTCTCCCTCCCCCCTCTCCTCTACCCCCCTCTCCTCTCCCTCCCCCCCCTCTCCTCTCCCTCCCCCCCACATCTCCTCTACTCCCTCCCCCCCTCCTCTCCTTCCCCCCTCTCCTCTCCCTCCCCCCTCTCCTCTACCTCCCTCCCCCCTTTCCTCTCCTCTCCCTCCCCCCTCTCCTTTCCGCCCCCTCTCCTATACCCTCTCCCCCTCTTCCTCTACCTCCTCCCTCCCCTCCGCTCCCTCCCCCCTCTCCTCTCCCTCCCCCCTCTCCTCTACCTCCCTCCCCCCTTTCCTCTCCTCTCCCTCCCCCCTCTCCTTTCCCTCCCCCTCTCCTATACCTCCCTCCCCCTCTCCTCTACCTCCTCCCACCCCCTCTCCCTCTCTCCCTTCCCCTCTCTTCATTCTACCGCCCTCCCTCCTCTACCTCTACCCCCCCCCACCTCTCCCTCTCTCCTCTACCTCCCCCCCTCCCCTTTTTATCCTCTATTCTGTAATAATGTATGTCCAACTAACTTCCGTCATGTCTTCTGCAAGGTGAGAAACCTTACAGATGCCCCGTGTGCCAACAGACGTTCCGCATCAAGAAGACCCTCACCAAGCACATGGTGATCCACTCGGACGCCCGCCCCTTTAACTGCCCGCACTGCAGTGCCACCTTTAAAAGGAAAGACAAGCTGAAGTACCATAGGGACCATGTACACAGCGCTAAGTACACTGAGCAGCAGCAGCCTCTGGTAGTGCTGACAGAGGACAAGATGGTGACTCTGCCCTATAATACCCACGGCCCCTCCAAGGTGTACCGGGCTGAACCAAAGACCGTTCTCCAGAACGTCCCCTCCGACGTGTGTGTGCCTGTCACGCTGGTGCCCGTCCAGATGTCCAGGGTGGTCCCGGGGGTACAGGGTGACCTGGGGGGACATGTAACCTGCCCGCCCCAGGGCCAGGGGCAGCAGCAGACAGCTGGAGGGTACCAGAATGCCACGGAGCTGGCGTTCCTGGAGAAGTACACGCTTACCCCCCAGCCGGCCAACATTGTGCACCCGGTGCGGCCCGACCAGATGTTGGACCCCAGGGATCAGTCTTACCTGGGCACCCTGCTGGGCCTGGACTCTGCCACCCCTGTCCAGAACATCTCTAACTCGGACCACGTCGCCCACTGATCATCCCTCTCTATTCTTCCCGTTTGGTAACAGTTTATTTAAAGGGTACATACATAAGGACATCATAACACATTTATAACCCATACGAAACTGAATAAGACCCTAGAGGTAACATTTATATGAAGGGTGCGGTTGTTAACATAAGCATTCACAATGCTCATGTACTGCTTATGTATGGGTTATGAATGGGTTATGTATACACACGCTTCAATAAATGTATCTTTTTGATCCGTTTTTTTATAAAGGTTTTTCAGTATTTTACAGGCAAAGGGCCACAACAAACAACAAAACCTCTACCTACCCCTTCTCCTCTCCCTCCCTCCCCCTCCCCCTCCCCCCCTCCCCCCTCTCCTCTCCCTCCCCCCTCTCCTCTCCCTCCCCCTTTCCCTCCCCCCCCCCCCCCCTTTATCCCCCCCCCCAAAAAACCTCCCCCCCCCTCCCCCCCCCCTCCCCTTACCCCACCCACTTCCCCCCTCCCCCCCCCCTCCCCTTCCCCTTCCCCCCCCCCCCCCTCCCTTTCCCTCTCTCCCCCCCCCCTTTTTATCCTTTTTTTTATCCGGGGTTTGGGGGGGTTATGAATGGGTTTGAATTTTTTATGAAGGGGTTTATGAAAGGGGTTTTATGAATGGATTACAATTGTTTTGAATTTTTTTTTAAAGCAAGCCTTAAAATAAATTAAAACCATTTCTTTTAACCCCTCCCAGCTTATTCAGGGCAAAAAATCGGAGGGAAACAGATGGTGTAGATCAGACCTAGCTCTCAGCCGTGTGGAACAGGGAATGTCGTCAGATGCATTTGTGATATTTCTATCTGCAACCGTCCAAACGTTGCACCACGTTGATTGAGCCCCAAGTCTTCTATCAAATTGGCTGCTTATCTTCAAAGAGCACTTTTTAAAGTTTCCTCTTGTCACACAATAAGCCTAAGGGAATCTCTGTCATTCCATGAAATGAGTGTGAGTGAGGATGTAATTGTGACACGGAGCCTGACTTGTCCCCACCCATCCAAAATGGTAATTCAGAACAGGTGTCTCCAACTCATTTCCAATGAGCTGGGTGTGAAGTCTAAATCTTACAGGTGTAATCTGGATATTTATTCACAATTTAAATTGAATCAAGGTATTACACAACGCATTTACCCCCATTCAAATCAAGTTCCATAGTATTCCACATGTTCCTTACCAGTTACCACAGAACTTTATTGTGATAATGAATCTTAGGTGTTTTCAGCCTGTTGCTCCGGGGTGAAGTTTTCTCCTGTACAGATCTAGGATCAGATTCCCCTCCCCCAATCGTAGCCATAACCAATTACACCATCAGGAGGGAAAATGCAAAACTGATCCAAAATCAGCGTTTAGGGGTGACGTCCCTACACCCAGCGGGCTCCTCAAAACTAGAAAGGTCTGTTTAATCAGTGTATCATGAGGTCAACCACTTCTGAATCAATCTTTAAAAGTATTCTGTATATAATGGTATATCATGTACTACCTCTGTCTTTCAAATGAATTGTTTGTACCCGGTTACTTCCTCATACCATGTTGTTTCTTTCAAAAAACCCAAAAAGGGTTTTAAAAAACCCCCCCTTTCCCCCCCTTTTTTTTTTAAATTTTTTTCCCAAAAAAAGTCCCCAAAAATTTTTGGGGAAAATTTTTTTTTATGGGGTTTTTTTATTTTCCCCTTTAAAAAAGCCCCCGGGGGGGGAAAAGGGTTTTTTTGGGGGGGGGGGGAAAAAAAATTTTGAAAAAATTTTTTTTTGGGAAAATTTTTAAAAATTTTAAAAAAAGGGGGAAGGGGTTTTTCCCCCCCCAACCCCGGGGGTTCCGGGGGGGCCCCCCCCTTTAAAAAAAATTTTTTTTTTTTTTCCCTTTTTTTTTTCCCCCCCCCAAAAAAAAAACCCAAAAAAAAAATTTTTAAAAAAAAAAAATTAAAATTTTTTTTTTAAAATTTTTTTTAAAAATTTTTTTTTTTTTTTTTTCAATTTTTTTTTTTTTTTTTTTTTTTTTTTTTTGGTTTTTTTTTTTTTTTTTTTTTCCCCCAAAAGGGGGAAAAAAAGGGTTTTTAATTTTTTTCCCCCCCCCCCCCCAAAAAAAGGGGGAAAAAAAATTTTTTGGAAAAAAGGGGGGGGGGTTTTTAAAAACCTTTTTTTTTCCCCCCTTTTTAAAAAAAAATTTTTTAAATTTTCCCTTTATTTTTCCCCCCCCTTTTTTTTTTAAATTTTTTTTCCCCCCCAAAAAAAAAAAAAAACCCCCCCCCCTTTTTTTTAAAAATTTTTTCAATTTTTTTTTCCCCCCTTTTAAAAAAAAATTTTTCCCCAAAAAAAATTGGGGCCCCCTTTTTTCCCCCGTTTAAAAAAAAATTTTTTTTAAAAAAAAAAAAAAAAAAAAGTTTCCCAAAAAATTTTTTTTAAAAAACCCCCCCAAAAAAAAAAGGAAAAAAAACCCCTTTTTTGAAAAATTTTTTTAAAAAAAAAAATTCCAATTTTTTTAAAAAAAAAATTTTTTTTAAAAAAAAAAAAAAAAAAATTTTTTTTCCAAAAGGGCCAAAAAAAAAAAATTTTTTTTTTTTTTGGGGGGGAAAAAAACCCCAAAAAAGGGGGGGGTTTTTTCTTTTTGGGGGGTTTTGGGTTTTTTTTTTTTTTTTTTTTCCCCGGGTTTTTTTGGGGGGGGTTTTTATTTTTCCCCTTTTCCCCCTTTTTTTCCGGGGTGGCCTTTCCCCCCCCCCTTGGGTTTTTTTTTTTGGTTTTTTGGGGGGGAAAAATTTTTTAAAAAAAAAATTTTTAAAAAAAAATTTTTTTTTTTTTAAAAAAATTTAAAAATTTTTTTAAAGGTTTTTTTTTTTTTAAAAAAAAAAAAAAAAAGGGAAAAACCCCCCCAAAAAAAAATTTAAAAATTTTTTTTTTTCCCCTTTTTTTTATTTCCCTTTTAAAAAAATTTTTTTTTTTTTTTTTTTTTTTTTTTTTTTTTAAAAAAAATTTTTTTTCCCTTTCCCCCCCAAAAAAACCCCAAAAATTTTTTTTTAAAAAAAAAATTTTTTTTTAAAACCCCCAAAAAAATTTTTTATTATTTAATTTTTTTAAAAAACCCCTTTTTTTAATTTTTTTTTTTTTAAGGGGTTTTGGGGAAAAAAAATTTTTTTCCCCCCAAAAAAAAAAAAATTTTTTGGTATTTGGGCCCCCAAAAATTTAAAAGGGGGTTTTTCCCCAAAAAGGGGGCCCCCCTTTAAAAAAAAAGGGAAAAAAAAAAAAAAAAAAAAATTTTTTTTGGGGGGGGGTTTTGGGTTTTTTTTTTTTTTTTTTCCCCCCCCCTTTTCCCCTTTAAAACCCTAAAATTCCCCCCAAAAACCCTTTTTTGGGGTTTTTTAAAAGTAAAATTTTTTTTTTTAAAATTTTTAAATTTTTTCCCCCCAAAAAAAAAGGGGGTTTTTTTTTTCCCCCCCCAAAAACCCCCAAAAACCCCCCCCTTTGGGCCCCCTTTTTTTTCCCCCCAAAAACCCCCCCCCCAAAACCCCCCCCAAAAAAAATTTTTTTTTAAAAAAAAAAAAACACACACAACCCCCCCCCAAAAAAAAAACCCCCCCCACACAACAAAAAAAACCCCCCCCAAAAAAAAAAACCCCCCTAAAAAAAAGGAAACCCGCCCCGGGGGGGGGCCCCCCCCCAAAAAAAAAACCCCCCCAAAGGGGAAAAAAAAAAAAAAAACCCCCCCCTTTTTTAAAATTTAAAAAAGGGGGGGGGGCACCCCCAAAAAACCCCCCCTTTTTTTTAAAAAAATTTTTCCAAATTTTTTTCCCTTTCCCCCCCTTTTGGTTTTTTCCCCTTTTCCTTTTGGGGGAACAAAACCCCCCCCCGGGGGGGAAAGGACCCCCCCCAGGTTTAAAAAAAATTTTTAAAATCCCCAAAAAACCTTTTGGGGGGTTTTTCCAAAAAAACCCCCCGGGGGGGTTCTTCCCCCCCTAACACACATTTAAAAAAGATATGTCCAGCAACAACATGAAGACAGGGGCAGCATATAAGTCAATACCAGAAGCATTTATTGAACTGATCTCAAAAGTGTTGGCTTACCAGGGTTGGTGGAGCCCTCAGTTTCATCTTTGCCTCGCAAAGCTAACTCAAACACTCCGCAAAACTTCACACACTGGATTAGCCGGCTGAGGATGTGGCGGTTCTTGCTAATGTCGTAGTAAATATATTTGTTATAGTGAATATGGAATATGATATGTTGAGTAAAATGTTGTGCTAAGATCTATTTAGGTCAGGAGCTGGTTATAAGTTCTGTTCCTATCCAATAACAATCGACAAAAGGGTCCTATCTTGTCAGCCTTGTCAGCAGGTGGCCAAGGACAACACCCACGCCATAGGCCTCTCAGTTCTTCCAACTCACGAGTTCTTGCTCTGAGGACACACACACACACAAACACACACACACACACATCATCACTGTTAAACACACACACACACACACACACACACATCATCATCACTGTTAAACACACACACACACACACACACAAAAATCCCCTCTCTTAGGCTGAACATTTGAAGACAGAGAACCCGACTCAGAGCCAATGCAACAGTGACACTAGCCTGGAGGGGACCTCGCCCAACTCATCAGGACCAATCAGAAGATCAGAACTACTAGATTCAACCTACTTCATTTATTGCATAAAATGTCTGCACACAATGTTTCGGGGCACTCTTCAGATAACGAACGGGTCCGTGCACGCGATTCCAGATATCTTTACCTCTGAATAAACTGCCTTTATTATACCATATCCACCCTGTCCAAAGTCTCTACTTGGTCTCAGTTCTCCAGTAAACTTGTGATTATCAACACTAACCTCATCGTTGTGGCGGCGGACAGCTAGCCTGTATCCCTCATCCAGTTGAGTGGCAATGTTCACTCTCCCCAAAGCAGACAATCTCAAACAGCTATCCATGTGGGTCTTTGACAGCTCATGTTTCTTAATCTTTCCTGAAAGATGGTGCATGTCCGTTACACACCAGTCGCTGTCCAAGCGGTGCTGTCTGCCGTGCCGCCTTCAGGGTGAAAGAGTAAGCAGGGGGTAGCAGAAGACTGCATTAGCTACATCGCAGCCTGCTAGCCAGGTTTTTCGTTCGTACCAATTTTTGGAAAATCCTCGGGTGTAGGACTTTCCGCCTTTAGTAGAAACCTGTTGAATTATTAAATTTGGTCTGGGAGGTCCTAATTGTTTCGTTGCCAATTTATCTTGATTTGTTCGCCGACAAAAAGTAACTTATTTCAAAGAGACAATCGAGTTGCACTGAACGCTATAGCCATCTTACCAGTAGTACGTGAATTGATTGACGCTGCTACCCGCTCTTTTCTTAGTTACGTTCATGGTTATGTTACGTATGACGAAAGCGCGTAAGTGCAAGCCCTCAGAAACCCATAGAGATTGTATTGAAAGCTCTGATATTTGAAAAAAATAGATTTTACATGGGAGTCTATGAGAGACTTCTGGGCGATTTTCAACCTGACTGAAATCGCCCCAAAAGGGGGGGGGGGGGGGCATTTGAAGCACGACTTTAGCCTGATTGGACATTTAGTGGCAGATCAGACGTCTAGATTAGAACACTGATAACTACTGTTGCCGAGATATAATTGATTAGAAAAAAAATCCCTTCCTTTTCCCGTTTGGCAGTGCGTCGCCCATATCGCCCTAATGAACACACCGCCCCTGTCCATGGTTCTGATTTCTTTAAACAGCCACTACAAACTTCTGCTAACTTTAGCCACCACAAGTGAATGGGGCATGTAAACTAAAATAACATTTCATTTTTCACATGCTTCGTAAACAACAGGTGTAGACTAACAGTAAAAAACGTACTTACTGGTCCTTTTCCAACAATGCAGAGTTAAAGATTTCCCCCCCAAATCACCTTTAAAGTGGCAATCCGCAGTTGAAACAATAACAAAGTGTCCTCCACTCCACTCCACTGTTTTGGTAAAAAGCTGAGGGACGGGGCTGGAGAAATCTAACCACTCTCAAATTGATAGACAGAGCTATGGATGTAAGGACTGACCATCCATTATATCAAAATTATAGTTTGAACCATGTTTTGAGGCTGTATAGTGTTTGTTTATATTTACTTTGTTTTTTAAACATTGGAGTAAAACAAGCTTCACATGTTTTTTTTTGTTTTTTTTGGGGGGGGGGGGGGGGGGGGGATTTCCTGACCATATCCTGCTTCTTCTCTTCACCAGATAAGGGAGTCCTGGATTTCCTTTTTCTAGAACGGCTGCTTCTCATTTGAGTAATTAGGCTAAGCGAAGCTCAGATTGCTTGAACTGGCAACATTCCAAAAGGTCCTCATGTTGACGATAGACAAAACGGAGTCAAAAGACAAAAGCCTGATATTTCACAAGTCTAGAACAGGAAATAATTGTAACAAAGTACAAGGAATATATTCACATATTTAGCAAACAAAAAAGTAATATGTCCCCCGCCGCAAAATCCAGAGAGGGAGCCTGGCAGAAAATTGCCGACAGAGTAAATGCACAGGTGAAGTGGCACGATTCCAATATCTAATAGGGCTAGCTTACACACATGACTGATTCGTAATAATGCTTTCACTTTATAGAGCACTTTTATTGCAACGTTGGTGATATTAAGTGTCAAGGTAATGGCCTAATATGTAAGTTGTAGTAGCCTATGTCATAATTGCAGTTGTAGGCCATTCCATAGCCTATGTAGGATGAATAATAACGTATTTAATTCATAATGCTTTTCATGACAACACGTGCAACAATGTGTGCTATGTTTAGTTGTAACCCCATGGGAGTCACAGATCATCTGACCAAAGAAGTAAGGAAGATCATTGAGTTTAATGACTGTTTCTGAAAATTATTTTGGTTTAGTGAAGGTATAGGCTACAGTATTCAATAGCCACCTGTTTATGCTGTGAAAATATTTTCTCCTTCATTTGTTCCAGAGGGTTTTGAATGAGGATGTGTCCCATCTATAGAACCAATGATGTTTGGAAAATCTGCGGGATGAATTAGGCTATTTATAATTTGTATCATGTTGCCTAGTCTTATCAACTTGAGATTAGCAAAGCATCGCTGGCAGTCAACTGACAACAGTCTACTGTACCTGCCATTCTGTAAAAGTCCTCCTTGATTATAAGCTTGATGGCCAGGGGATGCATCAAAGACATAAAAAAATCTATTCAATGGGAGGCAGACTCTTCTTACGGCTCTACGCACAGTTGCCTTGCCAAATCGTTCAGCATCGCCTACCTTGTATAGGAAACTTCCAGTGGCAGAAAATCGCAAAGCATTAAAGAGTTTGTATAGCAGTCAAAGCGAAATCGTGTTGGGTTACATTTCTACGGGTTGAGTAAGTTGGCCAGATAAACTATAACGTTCCAAAATAAAATCTGAATGATCTAAAGCAGTGGTTCCCAACCTTTTTTGGTTACTGTACCACCAACTGAATTTTGCTCTGCCCGGAGTACCCCTGAAGTACGCCCTCATGTGCATTTTACCAGTAGGCCTCTGGTCTCATGAGTCTTCTCAAGTACCCCCTGTGGATAGGCCAAGTACCCCCAGGGTCCTAGTACCCCTGGTTGGGAACCACTGATCTAAAATATCTATTTGAGTTATAATAATTAGTTCCCTTTGTAATGCATGCAGGGCGAATAATGCAGGCTCCGATGTCAAGTGGATTTTCCAAGAAGGGACAGGCCATAGTGATAGACAAGAATGTGATTGACAGAGAAGCCCCGTCTTTTTTCACCAGGACAGGCTAAGTCTGAGATCAAGTTAACCTAGTAATTAACCTGATACCTACTAGGTTAATTTGATTTTAGCCTGTCCTGGTGAATAAATACGGCACTTCTCCGCTAATCAGATTTTGTTTGTCACAATGGCCTGTCCCTTCTTGGAAAATCCACTTGACATCGGAGCCTGCATTGTTCGCTGAGCATTAGGTTGGAATAATACTGTGAAAATTGTGATAATGTCCTTTTAGTGTAAGAGCTGTATGAAAATTTCACCTGAAATTTCAGGCAGTTTTGGTGGGATGGAGTTTTTGCGGAAAATTACTTAATAGACCAATAAGAAAGAGAGTTCCAAACCTCTGCCAAAAACAGCAAGTTTTCAGTTTTCCCTTCCCCACTCAGACCACTTGCAGACAGTGCTAATAAAATTATTTCTTAAGAAATTACTCTTTGCTAAAGAGGCTATTTTTGTTTATTTTTCACCATTTAATTCAAAACAATCACATTAAAGGTACTTAATTGTTACCCAAAAAGTGATTTGATATTGAGATAAAAACATCTGCATTGGGACCTTTAAGGCGGTTATATACACAGTTTCGGCCTCAATTTATATAATGTTGGTACGATGAGGATCAGCAACTAAAAGGCTTGAATTACCTGTTGTAACTCTAACGGGTCTGCTAGTGGGTCTGATGCTGTGTAAGCTGCTTCCATCCATGATTTCTGTTGGAGACAGATAGATACAGTGTAATGTGAAAGTCAACCTGGTTCATGTTGATAGAGGAAAATGTGATTATTACATGAAATGCTATTGGCTCACTTTAGCCTTTTCTATGAAATGGCTAAGAAACAAGGGTTATGGTCATTTTTAAACCTGTGGTTATACTATTAGAAACCCTTCTAGAGGACTAAAAGTTAATACTTTGCTGCTCTCTTCAGTGACACAAAAATACAGTACAGATGTCAGAATAAAGAAATCAGTTGGATCTTAAAGGGATAGTGTGATATTTTGGCAATTAAGCCCCTTTTCTACTTACCTAGAGTCAAATGAACTCATGGATACCATTTTTATATCTCTGCATCCAGTAGGAAGGAAGTGAGACATAGTTTTGCGATTCAATGACTGGAAGTCTACCGGAACGGCTAGCATGCTCAAGTTCATCTGACTCTGGGTAAGTAGGAGAAGAGCTTAATTGCCGAAATCTGGCACTATCCCTTTAAGTCAGTACTCACTGCATGTGGGGGCTGAGGTCCATTCTCCTGAAAGGCATAATATATCTGCATTCCCCTCCATCATGAAGGATTTCTTGCATTTATAAACCACTATTGATCCATCTCTGAACTTGTTTTGATATTGTTGAACGATGGTTGCATGGTCCACTTGAGGAGGCACATCACAAGAACGACTGGCTGTGAAGATAAAGTACAAACAATGATTAGTGAAGAAACAAAAGACAACGAAGTACAAGAGATGATAATACTGAATGTTGTTCACAACACAAATGTATCATATGTCCTGTCACACCAACATCCCCTCTTTCCTATACCTAAAGGGATAGTCTTCTGAGTTTTTACACCACATAAGACTCTTTGCTGTAGATCAAGGTTAGAGCAGACAGTACTTACCCTTACACAGAGGACTATCAGACCATCTACCATTCTCACATTTGATTATCCCCCACCACCCTTCCATTGGTGTCTTCAGACCTCTATCACAGGCATAGGTCAAGGTCATGCCATCCTGGTACATTTCCTGCTCCGGGTCAACAAAGCCATTGTCCAGTTGGGGTCTTTGACAGCCTTTTCCAGATTCTTGAGCTGAAAAATGACAGAACATACATTTATTATTATCCATCATTTGTCTGCACAATGACCTTTGTTCAACAAATACAGTATATCTTGGCTAAGAAATTAATAGATGAGTGTTTCTGCCATGTACTAGGCCTTTTTATTAATTACACGTGACACCAAATATAGGCACTGCCTTAAGAAAAAAGATCACTGCACACAATTAATTGCATATATGTAAAGAATACAAAATGCAATTTTCTTTGAATGAATAGTGTATATCAAAATACCTTCCTTACCTTTAACTTTGTAGGACCAGATATGCAGTACGATAATGACATACAGTGGTATTTCCTTCATTCTCTCCACTGGTGTTACATGTACACTAAGAAATGAACTAACTGGAGTGTGAGTCTGAGTTGGGGCATTTTAAATGTAACCAAGGTCATTATTGTCAGGGGTGGATCTTAAACTTGTGCTTTTGCGCGGCACTGTGGGAAAATACAAGATGTCACAATTGACAACAAAGGCTTTTTTTTACAGTGGAAAGAAAGTGAATGTATTAACATTTAAATATTATTGTTTTTTTATATTGTTTTTGTTCAAATCCGAAATTATGTGTTTCATTCTTTTTTTTAAACAACAATCTTATGTTAAGACCCATGAAACTGTCAAACGGGCCAACAACTAGTTCCAAATATTTCTAATTTTCTGTAAACATCTCACCAAAGTTATTAGTATTTGATCATTTTGAGACTGTTTCAGATGCATCCATGTTGAGAAATGTAAATGACTGCTGTCATGCAAGGTGCCATATTGTGCTTTTGTTAACAATTCATTTTAGGAAATGTCCATGAGTATGTTCCTGTGAAAATATGAATCCACACAAAAAGAATGTTGTGTTAAGATATTAACTAATCAATTGTTGACACGTGTGTAGTTTTGATGGAGATATTTGATTTAAAGAGATATATTGAAAATGAAAGCAATATTGGATTTTGCAATGACAATTGGTTATTTTGTAAAATTAGAAGTATGTTTTGCGATGTCTGAATTAACTGTTTTAAGAGCATTGACCTTTGTTCCCTTCAAATCAATTGAGAGAAACTGTAAATTCCAGAGGGCAGGCTTTGAAATCTATTGATTTGACGAGGTGTGAATGAAGGAGTCAGGCGCAGGAGGTAAAACACCGAAGTCCAGAGTTTATCCCGTTTACATAAATAAAACGCACCTAGCGTCAAAACAAAACTATCACAAGGGAAATATTCCACCTTGGCAATAACAGGAAGAGTACCTCAACCGAGCTACTCGCTCTCACAATGAAACAATCACTCACAAAGACAAGGGGAACAGAGGGAACACGTATACACATACTAATTAGGGGAATGAGCACCAGGTGTGTGTGATTGACAAGACAAGACATGACAAGTGGAGTGATGAGAATGGGATCGGCAGTAGCTAGTAAGCCGGTGACGACGAACGCCGAAACCTGCCCGGACAAGGAGGGGAGGCAGCCTCGGCGGAAGTTGTGACAGTTGAAGTCATGAAGCAGATGTTAAGGCATACATACAGTGGGGGAAAAAAGTATTTAGTCAGCCACCAATTGTGCAAGTTCTCCCACTTAAAAAGATGAGAGAGGCCTGTAATTTTCATCATAGGTACACGTCAACTATGACAGACAAATTGAGAAAAAAAATCCAGAAAATCACATTGTAGGATTTTTTATGAATTTATTTGCAAATTATGGTGGAAAATAAGTATTTGGTCACCTACAAACAAGCAAGATTTCTGGCTCTCACAGACCTGTAACTTCTTCTTTAAGAGGCTCCTCTGTCCTCCACTCGTTACCTGTATTAATGGCACCTGTTTGAACTTGTTATCAGTATAAAAGACACCTGTCCACAACCTCAAACAGTCACACTCCAAACTCCACTATGGCCAAGACCAAAGAGCTGTCAAAGGACACAAGAAACACAATTGTAGACCTGCACCAGGCTGGGAAGACTGAATCTGCAATAGGTAAGCAGCTTGGTTTGAAGAAATCAACTGTGGGAGCAATTATTAGGAAATGGAAGACATACAAGACCACTGATAATCTCCCTCGATCTGGGGCTCCATGCAAGATCTCACCCCGTGGGGTCAAAATGATCACAAGAACGGTGAGCAAAAATCCCAGAACCACACGGGGGGACCTAGTGAATGACCTGCAGAGAGCTGGGACCAAAGTAACAAAGCCTACCATCAGTAACCGCCAGGGACTCAAATCCTGCAGTGCCAGACGTGTCCCCCTGCTTAAGCCAGTACATGTCCAGGCCCGTCTGAAGTTTGCTAGAGTGCATTTGGATGATCCAGAAGAGGATTGGGAGAATGTCATATGGTCAGATGAAACCAAAATATAACTTTTTGGTAAAAACTCAACTCATCGTGTTTGGAGGACAAAGAATGCTGAGTTGCATCCAAAGAACACCATACCTACTGTGAAGCATGGGGGTGGAAACATCATGCTTTGGGGCTGTTTTTCTGCAAAGGGACCAGGACGGCTGATCCGTGTAAAGGAAAGAATGAATGGGGCCATGTATCGTGAGATTTTGAGTGAAAACCTCCTTCCATCAGCAAGGGCATTGAAGATGAAACGTGGCTGGGTCTTTCAGCATGACAATGATCCCAAACACACCGCCCGGGCAACGAAGGAGTGTCTTCGTAAGAAGCATTTCAAGGTCCTGGAGTGGCCTAGCTAGTCTCCAGATCTCAACCCCATAGAAAATCTTTGGAGGGAGTTGAAAGTCCGTGTTGCCCAGCGACAGCCCCAAAACATCACTGCTCTAGAGGAGATCTGCATGGAGGAATGGGCCAAAATACCAGCAACAGTGTGTGAAAACCTTGTGAAGACTTACAGAAAACGTTTGACCTGTGTCATTGCCAACAAAGGGTATATAACAAAGTATTGAGAAACTTTTGTTATTGACCAAATACTTATTTTCCACCAAAATTTGCAAATCAATTCATTAAAAATCCTACAATGTGATTTTCTGGATTTTGTTTTCTCATTTTGTCTGTCATAGTTGACGTGTACCTATGATGACAATTACAGGCCTCTCTCATCTTTTTAAGTGGGAGAACTTGCACAATTGGTGGCTGACTAAATACTTTTTTCCCCCACTGTAGGCCAAATAATATTTATTTAGCAGACACATGCCAAAGTTCAAACAAATATTTACAGTTTCAGTATGAATTGCACCAATTTCGTAACACTTTGTTGTCCAATTCAACCACGGAAAGTCTGAGTTACCAAGTATTATATTGTTACCTTTTGACATACCAAAACTGTAAAGAAAAACATGCTGATGCTTTGAATTGATATGGTGCCAATTGCCAAATAGAGGAGAACATGTAGAAATGTTTAAAAAATATATTAAATATTATCCTTGGACAGAATTACATTAAATGACAATAGCATCTTAAAGATTTGAAAAAAGTTCAATCCGCATCGTGGAAATGCAGCGTTACAGCCTGATTGAAATTTAAAGGCAATTTTCCCACGTTAGCAGAGACTGTGTTCACTATAAACGCTGCATATGTCGCCTCAATCAGAAATTAGCTTTACATTTCTAGCGTGCAACCTGTAATGCTTCAGCGATACAGACTGAATAGAGACCTAAGGACCTCTTACAAATACCATTATACATTCACACTGTGTCTTTAATTAATTCACCTGCTAAGACTTAGATATAGCAGAATACTGTGGCATTACGGTACCTGCAATCGGTTTTATCAATGCCAGGTTTGTTACAATATTTATGACTGGCTGAACTAAACTGAGGTAGAAATAGGATATTTTTTAATGGAATATCTCATTTGGATGAGATTACCGATAGAGTCAATGTGGTCCCCTCCACTAGATGTAACATCTTAAAGATCCACAAAGCTTTATCATATTAAATGTATAGATTCAGACATTTTTGTTTAATTTTGACATGTCTGTGTCCACCTTCTTCTATGAAGGCCATATCTTCAGATTTCACCTTCCACTAGATTGTATTCATCGTACTGTTCAAACTATTAAAATATGTTTAATGGTGAGTTCTGTGTTTTGATCTTCTGAATATGTTTCTGGATAGTTAGTTGGTGGTTACTGTCAACTGTTGCTGTGTGTTGTGTTTGACACATTTGTTTGTGAAATGATTTGGTGTAAAACCAACATACGCATATAAAAGCACACACAAATGTATAATTATATGTATTTTATATAGATCCAAGCCATGATATTTTCTACATGCATCCATTGTATACCGCACATTCAATTGATTTGACTTTCATTGACTATCAGTAGTTTGCTGCTTTAAATGAATGGAGGATCAATATCAAGTGTATCGCTGATCAACTGTTTCATCAATTGTTTACCCATTATCATATTCAACATGTATTTTTCATAACTTTTTAATCATTCAGAAGGATTGTCTAAATCTTGTCAGACAGCCTCCTATCCTAAGATGGTGGACCGCCATTCCTCTCTGCTCCCCTACTAACACCGTGTGTTGTAAGGCACATTCCATATCATGAACCAAATGTAAAAGCAATTTTATCAAACATATCACAAACAATCTTCATTCGTGGCCAACGTGGGAAGTCCTCTCTTCCAGGGGATTTGCTGCAGATTTGGGTGTGTTGCGTTGATTCAACGGCCCTTTTAAGAAAATACACCACCTTGTTGTAGTTACATAAGAGAATAGAGGCTCACTACAACTAATGGAAGCATTTATGGGACTGCCCTCAACATTTCTTGATTCTATTCATGTATATCTGACACTGGGAAAACCCCCATTGAAGTTTGATTGAGTTTAATAACTAACTGTGTAGAGATGCATAAACACTTACCAGATATTAGTTTAGCTAGGAACCTAAATGGGATGACATGGTAGTTAATATTTAGAATCAAATGAGGCTTACAGTAGCATTTTCAGTAACTCACAAGTAAAACTATGTAACTTAAAGACAATAAGTCATTTTTCTCACTCTTGACAAAAACCTGTGAAGAATGTGTTTCAGTTGATTATGTTCTCTTTCCTACTGTTGCATTAGACTTACAAGAGGAACTGGTTATTTCTCCATTTTGACATTGAACATCTGCAACAAGAGGACGACCATAGGAATCAGGTCGTCCACAGATAATTCTCTTAGGTCCTTCCTTTATAAACATATCTTGTGCAAGACCCAGCCAATGATGACGTCTTGGTTCCAGTTTGCAGCCCCCTTTGTCAAAAGAGAATGAATATGAAAGTGTTAATGAAGGCTTATTCATTATGAGGGAAGACATTGAGTTTGTGATAATATATGTTATAGTGACTCATTTACAGTACACATTAAAAACAATGAACTAAACTAAATAATAAACAACTGATAAAGAAAGAAAACATTGTGTTGCTTGAGTCCAGTATATTCTGTTTCTTTTTGTTGTGAATAACACATCATACATACATGTACATCCGTCAATGGTCACATCTCCATTCTGACATCGAACATCAGCAAAAAGAGGTCTGTAATAGAGATGACCTTTACAGAGAAATGTTTGACTCTCTCCTTCCTTCACAAACATATCTTTTGGAAGATCCAGCTGGTCAAACTTATTTTTTTCAATGGTACAGGGAGCTGGTATATAAAGAGTTGATATAAGAGTGTTAATGAAGGTTGATATATTATGAGACAATTAGGTGTGTGATGGTATCTTGTTAATTTTAGCAAAAACATCATTTATTTACCTTTACAAGTGGGTAGCTCTGACCACTTTCGATCACTACGACACATCACTTTCTCTGGGCCCACAAGTTTGTAATAGTTAATGCATTTGTAGGTCAGTGCCATTTGATTGCTTCCAGGGACAGTGATAAAATCCCCATTATCAACTGTTGGCTTCGCTCCACACCTATCAACTGAAGAACAATTACAGCTCTTCAGGATTACAAGGATAATGCACATATTGTTCTGAGACATTTCAGCTCATAAACCAGGCCACTGCCAGGTGAAAGGAAATGCGGTAACAATTAACTCTAAGCATCTAGGTATAATGCATTAGGATACAGCTATAATGCATTATAAGACTTGTCATTAGCATGTACGACCCCTTTATGTCTCTTGTAATCATGTCATAATGATCTGGACTAAATATCAGCCAGTTGAAAATTCTATGCATACAGAGACAAAACAAATTAATTACATTTTACATTTTAGTAATTTAGGAGACGCTCTTATCCAGAGCGACTTACAGTTAGTGAGTGTATAAAAAAAATTCATACTGGCCCCCCGTGGGAATCGAACCCACAACCCTGGCATTGCAAGCGCCATGCTCTACCAACTGAGCTACCCTGGGCCCACCGTGAGTGGGTCCCACCGTCCCACCGTTGCGGCGGGTCCCACCGTCCCACCGGCGTGATTTAGGACTTCTAACCCCTTTTTAACAGAGTGTATTTGAGCTACAGACTTCCGGGTTGTACCATTGGATTTGTCTATTTCTTCTGCATCCGTTAGTACCAACCTGTGTGATTAACGAGGGCTGAGCTAGAGTGGTGTCTGTGAGACAGGGGCGGATCCCAAAGGGGCCCGGGGCCGGGTCTTTTTTACAAAAACGTCTGTGGAGTCAGAATGGTTTGAGCTACAAATTATTAAAAGCTATCTACGAACACTCACGTTTAACATGTTTTGCTTTATGACGCTCACAGGCTAATTATAAAGCATTACAATAGGAGGATTTAAGTAAGTGTTACCAGACTAGCTTCTATTTGGTTCACTAAATAAGATTATAAAAATACGTCTAATGGTGAAAAGTGGAAAACAGAAGGTTTGAATTACCAGGTAAAATTTGACCACTAGGTTGTGGTCTGGCAGTGGGTCTGACATTGGGTGAGGACTCATCACCTGTTAGAGACAGTTACAGTAGATATATGTAAAAATGAACCTGGTAGGAAATGTGGCATTAGACATTGGAAACTGCAAGACGTAAAAAATACATTGATTCTACAGCATGTTGTATTTTACATTGACTTTTCCTGCATTCGTTTTTGAGTGAGGAAGGCCATGAAATGAAGGCCTCTTTTCAATCCGCATCGTGGAAATGCAGCGTTACAGCCTGATTGAAATTTAAAGGCAATTTTCGCTGCATGTGTCGCCTCAATCAGAAATTAGCTTTACATTTCTAGCGTGCAACCTGTAATGCTTCAGCGATACAGACTGAATAGAGACCTAAGGACCTCTTACAAATAACATTATACATTCACACTGTGTCTTTAATTAATTCACCTGCTAAGACTTAGATATAGCAGAATACTGTGGCATTACGGTACCTGCAATCGGTCTTATCAATGCCAGGTTTGTTACAATATTTATGACTGGCTGAACTAAACTGAGGTAGGAATAGGATATTTTTTAATGGAATATCTCATTTGGATGAGAGTACCGATAGAGTCAATGTGGTCCCCTCCACTAGATGTGCCACCATTCCCTCTGTCACCAGAAGTGCTGTGGCCTCCTTCACCTGTCCCACAGGCAATGATATAACATGATTAATAACATTCACTTCAAGGCAGTTACTGCACACTACTCAGTTTTGGCCACAATTAATGTCAATGACCCAATGTTCGTAGATTCGTCAGTCTGGGATATTTTAGGAATATCAGGGGGCACAATTTGTGTAATGTAAAAGGTCTTCTAGAAATGTCACTCACCAAACAAGAAACCTGCAGGTTTGTCTCTCATGTTTGGCCAGATACATTGTTCAATATTGCTAACACCAGTTTATTGCTATTGGGGTATATTACCTGTGCTGGCCCTCTCTGTGGGGGATGGAGTTTTAACTATTGAGAAGGAGACAGGGAACAAATATCAACGATTTACTCCTCAGAAGGGTTCAGAAGATAAAACAACAAATGAAACTGGAGTCACACTGTAAAATGATGGCTCTGACGCCAGGACTTCACTTACTGCATTTGGGACTGGGGGTCCATCCTCCATCTTGGCAAACAATAGAGTCTGGTCCTTCCAAAGTATATGAATTCTGACATTTATAATGTACCATAGAGCCAGTTGGAAACTTGTCCTGGTATTCATGAGGGATAACTGCATTTGTCACTGGTGGAGGAGCTTCACACAAGTTGTCTCTTTCTGTAAAGAACCAGAACAGCTGTAACACAGACACCAATACATGTTGCTATGTACAGCATATTTCTCATATGTGACACTGACACATGCTGCTTCGACTGACAATCACTGAACATTTAACAAAATGAAGGACAATACGATGACCAAATGCCACCCTCTGTGGTGAAAGAGGTGAAAAAATACAGAATGTAATATTTAATTTAATTTAAGCAAGAAGTCATCATTATGTTATCATTATTACTACAAAGTGAATCAAAACAAGAGTTTTATACAGAGACATCACTGAGAACACACTCACCTACACAAAGTGGTAATTCTGTCCAAGTTCCATTCTCACATTTGGAACTGTCCTTGCGCTTCATTTGATATGCTGCATCACATTTAAACCGAACAGTATCGCCATTGGTATGCCATCCATACACATTAGGTTCTGTCACTTTAGCATTAGGGTTGTCTGGAGCAATGCAGTTGTTCTCATCTGAAAAACAAAACCAAACGCTAAAAAACATCTTATTGAATCAACTGAGCGAGGTTTGAACCAAACAGCATGTCTGCATTCAGCCTAAGGTACACAAGGTACCTGGACTAGCTTGCTATCTGTGCCATGTGCCATAAAAAGCTGTATAGACCTTTTCCACTGTCTGGTTTTACCCCGGTGCTTGACCCAAAGTCTCAGGATTTAATGTTTACAAAGCTGAAGCCTAAGGGAGGCCCCAGATGGTCATATATTCTAACCCAGGGGCGACTGGAGACTTGGGGCAAGGTTTGGAGATGTATTGCGATAGCATGTAATGTAGTTGGGAGAGTTCCTGTTGGGAGAATTCGGCTATTGTAGAAGGAGTAGCCTACACAATATGAAAAGAAAGCTTAAACAAAGTCATCAACGTCGTTTCCATCTTCACCTGAACAGAAAATGTGTTAATAAGCAATAAAATATTGTTGGTGACTTATGAGTACAACATGCAGGTATAAACACTGAGCAGTACACACTATACTCTGTGGGGGCAGCAGGAACCCACAAAATCTTACCTTGATCTCAAACACCAATGTTCTAACATCTCATTCATGATATAAAAAAAAAGAAAAAAAAGAACGCTCAAATCACTTACCTATGCACAGAGGTGTGTGGGACCATTTGCTGTTCTCACACTTAACAATCGCCCACCACCCCTCAACCACAGGTTTCTGGCCTTTATCGCAGGCATAGTAAAGTTCCGTGCCATGCGGGTAAGTTCCTTTATCAGAGTCAAAATAACCCTTATCCAGTTGGGGTTTTTGGCAGCTTTGTTGGGAACCTAGAGCTGAAATTGAGGAATATTGGCCTAATAGTCAATGAAACAGTAAACCTTATAACGACCATTTCAGATGAAGAGCTGACTTTATTGCAGTTCAATCCACATTAGAATTTTGGTGTTGTGATGCATCAGAACATCACAATCCAAAAGTGTATTAGAACACTTTCGACTTTTCAAAAATCTAACGCAGACGAGTTCTTCAGAAAGGGACACTTTGTATTGTGAATTGTATTTCAGTATTTGTAAGGTGTTTTGGACATCATTTCAGAATGAACAGTGCCCTATGGTGATAGTGATCAAACACAACATGACTATCAAATACCCAAGTAAGCAAAACACATATCCAAAATCTGTCTTGGGGATTCGACCACAGTCTAGGTAAGAGAAAATATTATGTTCAGTTGCATTTTAATGAAACATCCCTTTAACTATTCCTATGAGTGTGAATGACCCTGAAAATTAATCATCACCAATGAAAGTCCTTTACCCTGTAATGATCACACGTAATGGAATGGCAGTAAAGATGCCAACCAATTAGAAGTGTATGGAATGTGAGGCTCAGACACGACCATAGAGCCCAACTGTAATAGTCCATAGTCAATGAGGGAGTAAAAGGCCCATTTGCTTATTTCAATGAGAATTGCAAAGAAATTAAATAACATATTTGTAAAATTAGAAGTGAATTATGCCACGCAACAAAAGCTCTTACCGTGTACTGTGAGGAGACACCAAATCAGTAGAGCAAAAACCAGACCTTTTGGCTCACCCATTTCCCTGGAAAATAGATAACCCATGCGACTCTGACAAATGCTTACTGCCGAATAAAGTAAACTGGATTTCACAAATAGTTTAGGCCAGCTGTGTGCAAGTTAATCATTGCCTAGGGCAGTTCCAAACTCTAGAGTTTCCAAATAGGCTATGTACATTTTGGCGCATCTGACTGTGTTTCAAACAAAACAGAATTGTTTTGAACAGTAAGGGGTGTAGCTGACTTCAATTGAATTGTTTTATAAATAATGTTGCATGTTGTAGTTGCTGTAGGAGTTTGTTGGACTGTTGTGAGATGTGACAGTGCAGTGCCATTAGATTAGGTTTACAAAAACAAATACCACCAGCAATGATGTGATAAAAGTTGACTGTTTTATACTCAGAGGGGTGTGAATAAAGCTGACTGTTTTTAACTCAGAGAGATGTGAATGAAGCTGACTGTTTTTAACACAGGGAGGTGTGTCAAACAGATGTATTCTGCTTGTCCTATCTAAAGTGTTGGAGAAAGTCCTGGCAGAGCAGCGCATGTCATATCTGGAAAAGCATCAGTACCTGCACCAGGAACAATTTGAATTCAGACCAAAATACTCCACTGAAATAGCAAACTGTGTCCTACTGCAGAACATCAAGAAATCACTGGATGAGGAAAATGTGGTCAGAGCAGTCTTCCTTGACCTGAAAAAGGCCTTTGACACAGTGAATCACAGTGTACTGTTCTCCAAACTCCACAAGTTCAATTTATCAGACAAAGCCATCAGCTGGTTTGGTTTACATCTGGGAAAACCGTGGACAATATGTGATCATCAATAGCACTAAATCCACATTTCATGGGGCACCAGGGGAAACTGCAGGGTTCCTCTATATAAACCTCTATAGGCCAGTCCTACTTCTCCTACAGAGGAGCACATGCATGGAACACTTTATCAGAAGAACATAAACTGATTAAACTTTTTAATACATTCAGAAGAAACACCAAAAACTGGTTGCTACAGCTCCAACAGTACAATCATATATGAACTGCTGCGTGTTATCCAACAGACCAATTAAGACCCTTGTAACTCCATGTTGTAAATATTAGCTGTACATACAGTATGTATGACATTTGCTTTTGTGCATATAACTGTGATAATGTAGTGATAATGTAGTGATAATGCCATGATATGCAGTGATAACGCAGTGATAATGTAGTGATACATGATTTTATGTGATTTTTCATTGATTATGTATTTATTTATTTCCTTTTGTGTCCATTAGAACCCAGTGATGTGTTGTATTGGATTTGCCCCAAACATAATGCTTTGTATTCAGGACATAAAGTTAATTGCTTAGTCATATTTTTTGCAGTATTACTTTAGTGCCTTGTTGCAAACAGGGTGCATGTTATGGAATATTTTTATTCTGTACAAGCTTCCTTCTTTTTTCTATGTCAATTAGGTTAGTATTGTGGAGTAACTACAATGTTGTTGATCCATCCTCAGTTTTCTCCCATCACAGCCATTAAACTCTGTGTAATGAATACTCGGACAGAGTGGTAAGATCCAATCGCAGAATAGTGATGCTTTATTAGAGTACAGACAAGGGTATAGCTTAATCGTGGTCGGGCGGGCTGTGGTCAAAACCGGGCAAGGCATAGACAGGCAGAGGTACCAAAGGAGCGGGCTTAGTCGTAGTCGAGGGCACAGGCACAGGATCAGAGCACGGTAATCACTGGGGTAGACAAGCAGAGGATTAAGCAATTCGGGGAGTCAAACAAGGCACAGGTCGGATACACGGGTAATCAAAACAACAAACTCTCTCTCTCTCTCTCGGAACAAAACGCTTAGCAAGTCACAAAGGAACAATACCTCGCACCGACTGAACTTCTGAGCACACCTTATCCTACCCTAATTATGGACAGGTGTGCTCAGAACTCAGGTGAACCAGATCGAGTCTGATGACTCCCCCTCTCTGTAGATCGGAGAAGTGTCAGACTCTGTCTAGACCCAGCCAACCCCCGATCCCTTACACTCTGCAACTGTTTTAAAGTCACCATTGGCCTCATGGTGAAATCCCTGAGCGGTTTCCTTCCTCTCCGGCAACTGAGTTAGGAAGGACGCCTGTATCTTTGTAGAGACTGGGTTTATTGATACACCATCCAAAGTGTAAATAATAACTTCACCACGCTCAAAGGGATATTGAATGTCAGCTTTTTAAAATTTATTTTCTTTTTCTTTTTTTACCCATCTACCAATAGGTGCCCTTCTCTTTTTTCATTTTATATCTTTTTTTTTCTTCCTTTTTTTTTATTGGCTAGATCAGCTTTAATATTGCAGACAGATTGTAACTTCCATAAATGTAATTGTCTGCATCACTTCCAATCCCCCACATGTTTTTTCTCTTGCAAATATATATATATATATATATATATATATATATATATATATATATATATACGTACATACACATACATACATACATATGTGCCCTTCTTTGCGAGGCATTGGAAAACCTTCCTGGTCTTTGTGGTTGAATCTGTGTTTGAAATTCACTGCTAGACTGAGGAACCTTACAGATAATTGTATGTGTGGGATACAGAGATGAGGTAGTCATTCAAACATCATGTTAAACACTATTATTGCCCACAGAGTGAGTCCATGCAACTTATTATGTGACTTTTTAAGCAAATTATTACTTCTCAACTTATTTAGGCTTACCAGAACAAAGGGGTTGAATACTTATTGACTCAAGACATTTCAGCTTTTCATTTTTTATTAATTAATAAACATTTTGAAAAACATGAATCCACTTTGACGTTATGGGGTATTGTGTGTAGGCCAGTGACAAGAAAACAACGCTATTTAATCCATTTTAAATTCAGGCTTAAACACACCAAAATGTGGAAAAAGTCAAGGGGTGTGAATACTTTCTGAAGGTGCTGTATATATTGAAATCATCCTTAATCATCATCACCAATAAACCGACGACTCCAATGACTGTAATGTGCGCTTTGGATGATGCTTACACTGATACCGGTCAGGCACGGCACCTCAAGAGGTTACATAATGATGCAATTGGATTTTGGGTGTTGTCGCACGCGCATGCGCGACCAAGGATGCTCAACAATGGGACGATTTTGAATAATAAGCCTATAGCTGCTTCCCTGTTTTCCAAATAATTAAACAATATTTTTGTGACGTATGCATTCTTTTTGAGCGCTTGGAATGAGGAGGCACAACTCTTGCGCACTCGGAGAACAACAATTGTTTGAAAATACTGTCATAAAAGTGTACATTTGAGATCTGGATTGAGATTATTTGTCCACTGATGTAGCTACAGCTGAGGAGAAGTATGGGTGATTTGGAGTTCGAAGTACCCCCTCTTCCCCCAAAGTATAGATTCAGAGACTTACTCCTCGGGGACCAGAATTTACAAAATGATGACAGGTAGGTTGAGTTTGTTTGACTTAATGTTAGCTACAATAAAATAAAAACAATTCTTATGTGGTTAAACACTGTTATAGCTAGTACAAAATGTAAGGTTGGTGGATAAAATATAAACATTTTTACTTGTTCAATACAATAATATATTTTGTGTTGTGATTTTGTGTAGTTGGAGAGGGGAAGATAATGTTTATGTTAATGGTGCACCCCTTAGAATGAATGTATCTGTGGAGGTTACATTTGTAGAAAGACCTACAGTATAATGGTGCTTGCATAAGAAAGGAATGAGACTATGATAGGTCTACAGCAGTTGATAGTCAAAGTGTATTTAGAGTTTGTACCTGTGGAATCTTTGCACTTGTGTAGCCGTTTCCTGCAGTAAAATTACCTAGTGGCCTTTTCATAATTAATAAACATGTTTGTTTTTATACAGCCGAAAATCAGGTGTTTCTATGTCAAATGGTTTTGTTATATTTCAGTCTTCTGTGATGTATATAAAGTGTAATATTGGGATGCAAACTCAAAACTGAATACATTACAACTCTATATCTGACATGGTACATGTGTCTTCTTCTTTTAAAGCCCGTAACCATGTGTGTGAGGTGTATAATTTCGTTTCAAAGTAGATTTGTTTAAGACTACCAAGAATCACTCTGTGTGACCCTGAGTTAGCCCACTGCAGTAAAAAGGTTAATACCCAGCATTACCCATGCTCAAAAACTCAGTAAATATGACATTATTCATTTTATTTACAGAAACAATTTATATGTATTTTTTCCCCAAGGGTGCAAGTAGAATTTTACGCCAATGAAAGTACTTTCAAAGAGAGACTTAAACTGTTCTTCATCAAAAACCAAAGATCAAGTAAGTAATCTTTTAAAATGTGTACCCACAGTTGAACTGCACTACATTCTGTGACTTAAGGTTATCCATCTAATAAATCTTATTTGTACTTTTTTAAAGATAGTAAAAATACACCTGTTGCATCAGTAACAAATAGCATCGGTCAAAATACACCCGTTGCATCAGTAACAAATAGCATCGGTCAAAATACACCTGTTGCATCAGTAACAAATAGCATCGGTCAAAATACACCTGTTGCATCAGTAACAAATAGCATCGGTCAAAATACACCTGTTGCATCAGTAACAAATAGCCTCAGTCAAACTGTTGAACGAGTTATAACTAAGGGTTCTCCTGGTCAAGTCACATGGTGAGGAAGTACTCCTGACCCTAGGTATGACATTATAACCGCTCTGTCTCTCCGTCTCCCAGGCCTGAGAATACGAGTGTTCGACTTCTCAATAAAGGTCCTGAGCTGTGTCCTATACATGTGTCGTGTATTCACAGACGACCCATCCAAAGGACATGGCTGGTAAGGACAGTCATTCAATGTGTCGTAGGTGCATTTAGATACCACGTGGAGTTCACTGAACTGTCACAGAAATGTTGCTTTTTATAACAACAATATAAGAGAAAGGGATAAATCAAAGAGAATGTGGAAGTATCAGTCATTAGCAGTACTGAACCATGCCATGTCAATTCTCAATGACAATGATTCCAACACTTTCATTTCTATGCCTGGAAACGGAGGAAGTGAATGTACTGAACATGTTCAAAATCTTAGAATACACTGTCTATCATTCCATCTAGACTTGAGGTCTATCAAGGACATCATAACCATGCCTGTGTGGGACATTCATCTCATCTGGAAACATAAGCGAATAAGAGTCGGGTCGCTGTCGGGTCGCTGTGTACTTAGTCGTGATAGAAGGATGAGATGTGTACAGTCAGTCAGTTTACTCACCTTTGTCCTTTGATCTTAGTTCTATTTGTCATGTGTTTTTGTTCTACTTGACTTTTTTAATTAATTTTTTATAGTACTGTTGATATTGATTACTACATTATTGGGAAAGAGTGAGCAAAAAAGGCATTTCACTGTACTTGTGCACGTGACAATAAAACTTAAAATATGACTGTAGAATGTATTTTCATTCAAGAGTATTGTGCACAGTTAGACATGTTGTTCATTAACTTGTCATATTTCTTTCTCTTTACAGCTGGGGATGCCCAAATCAAACATACATATTTTTAATGATTGACTGGTTAGTGTTGAATCTACTCTTATCTAATCCAGTGTTAAATACAAGTGAAAGAGAAGACCCTCTGTAGCTCAGTTGGTAGAGCATGGCGCTTGCAATGCCATGATAGTGGGTTCAATTCCCGGGACCACTCATATGTAAAATGTATGCACGCATGACTATAAGTTGCTTTGGATAAAATAGTCTGCTAAATGGCATATACACTGAGTGCACAAAACATTGAGAGAAGCATATTCAGACATGGGTTTAATATGTCAGTGGTTGCCTGGTAACAATGCATTGAGACCAGATCACTCACTTAGAGAGGAAACCCACCAGAACGCTGTGCGTCTGACCAGAATATGGGCTGGTGATTCTACATGTTGAATTGGCACAAACAGTCTCTGGAACCCAGCAGGTGGTTGCTATAACATGTTAATGTGGATCCTTAATAAATATCCAGCTGTGAACTATCGCACACCTTTTTTTCCCACCAGGTCTCCCATAATATGGGTCGAACGAAGTCTTGGCATATGGGCGTTACAGGTGAAATTTTCTTCACAATTCATTAACTTGTAGTTGTGGTTGCTAACTACTTTATACATGGGCACCATGCAATTACTACTGTTTGTTGTTTCTATCCACAGTCAACCTACTTTCCAATAATGTGAAACAGATTTTGTTTCTTAGAGACTTGATGAAAACAAAGCTTCTATTTCTTCAACAGGTGTCTGTGGCAGTTATCTGTTTTTTTGAAACTATTCTGTTGACCTACCTGAGTTACAAGGTGAGTCCTATCCTACTTTATAGGATGTCACTCAGTCTAAGGACACATTCATAGCAATGTCTATTCTACAGTCATATCAATATCACCACGCAATACACAACATCAATATTGTATCAAGTCAATAGATTGTTAAACAGAAGATAAGCCCCCAAAAGGGCTAAAAAAGAAAGAAAGAAAGAAAGAAAGAAAGAAAGACAGAAAGAAAGAAAGAAAGAAAGAAAGAAAAGAAAGAAAGAAAGAAAGAAAGAAAGAAAGAAAGAAAGAAAGAAAGAAAGAAAGAAAGAAAGAAAGAAAGAAAGAAAGAAAGAGAGAAAGAAAGACAGAAAGAAACATGTCTGTTCTCTACTTTGTCCTCAGGGAAACATTTGGGAGCAGATACTTCAGTTGACGTTCATCCTGGAGACGGTGAACACAGTGCCTTTCCTGCTCACCGTAAGAAAACACACTCTCACAGGGCCTAGGATCAGTTTGACCTTTTAAATCATAATGAATAAGAGGGGGGACCTGATCCTAGATCATCACTCCCGTTCTAAGACGTGAATACATGCCCTGGACTCTAGCCTGAGAAACACAATGCTACTATGGCTGAACATACAAAGGACAAACACTCAACATTAAGATGAATCTCAGATGTACTGTATGTAGATTACAGTTTTTTCCAACTGCTTACACACGTTTTCAAACTATGTTCCTTTTTTTCAAAACTCTACACCAATTCCCAAAACTGCACACACAAAATGCAAAATGCCTCCATCTCCTTCAAAATGCAACACTGCATTCAAAATGCCATAAACACATGTCAGAATGAAGCTTTGCATCAAATGGCAAACACATCTTCATAATAGTACATTTTTGGATATACCATGTAAACACTGTTGTTTCTAAATCTAAAGCTCTTTGGTCTTTCATAGCTTTATCTACATTTCAATACAATGTTCTACAGTGAAAGTAATCTGCTGAGAGGGGTAACAAGTACACTGTAAACACCAATGCAATGTAGAAACGAAAATATTTATTAGGCCAAACATTACTGTTGTATACAGTAGCACACAACAAAACCATAACATATGTAACCAAAGTATATTCTTTAGAATACAGTAAAGAGCACAATTGTGTGTGGGGGGTCCCGGGGGGCAGTCCAGGAAATGGTAGGGGGGGGGGGGGCAGTCACCAGTGCTAAGCTACGCTTCATCTCTTCTCCGGGCTGGGTCTGGCCACAATACTTCGTCCACATCACAAGATACGTTTTCTCTTGCCAAACATCGAGGGAAGTATCTCCTAGCATGGCGTATCCAACCTTGGACAGAGGCTTTCCTCTATGTCCCCACATGTGTCCTCCATTGCCTGGAGAAGCGGCATGCTGGCATAGGGTTGGCGATCATACACTTTCCAGCGCCAGGCTGAGAAGAATTCCTCTATGGGATTTAGAAAAGGTGAATATGGGAGTAGGTACAAAACTACAAATTGTGGATGGGTGGAAAACCAGTTTTGGACCAGAACAGCCCGGTGAAAACTAACATTGTCCCATATAACCACAAATCTAGCAGGCTCCTGATCTGGATCAGGGACTAGCATTGTGTAAATTGCATCCAGAAAAGTGAGGATATGTCCGGTGTTGTACGGACCCAGTGTGGCATTGTGATGGAGGACCCCGTTTTGAGTGATGGCAGCACACATAGTTATATTACCCCCACGCTGTCCAGGGACATTGGTAATTGCCCTCTGTCCTATTACATTTCTTCCATGGCGCCTGGTTTTGGTGAGGTTGAAGCCAACCTCATCCACATAAATAAATGTACATGGGCATCCATCTCCAATACTCTCTGTAACAGACAAAATGATATACAGATGAGTAAATATGGTATGTCTGAAGTACTGGAAGTAGTGTTGCATACATACCTCTACAAAGTCATGTTGCAGATTCTTGACTCTGTCAGAGTTTCTCTCAAATGGCACCTTGTAAAGTTGTTTCATCGTCACTTGGTGCCATTGGAGGATGCGTTGTATGGTCGACAGGCTTACAGCATTGATGAGTTACAAATGTTTATGCAATACTATGCAGTCATACGTATTTTACAGTACATTACTGTAATGCTAAAATAGTCATTAGATAGTTGCATACCTGTTCTCATTTCTGAAGGTTCGAATTATGGACGCCACTGTAAATCGACTCAAGTTGGGCTGGACTCTCAGTCCAGCCTCTCTCATGGTCAAACCGTGGTTGATCACATGATCAACAAGTGTTGCCCTAATCTCATCAGAGATGGCTCTCCTTCCTTCTCTTCTTTGCCCTCGTCCTCTTCTTCCTCTTCCTCTTCCCCTGCCTCTCCCTCCTACTCCTCTTGCTCTCTGTCCATTGTTATCATCCATTGTTCAAAACAGTCCTATAGTACAGTAAAGCAGTGATTGGTTAGTGATCAGTTAAGCAATTAGTGTTTGAACATGTGAGGAGAGTGTGTTTGACCTGGTGAATAAGTGTAGCATTTTGATTGGTTGTGTTTGGAAAAGGAAAGCAAGTCACTTCCTGTTAGATTTTTGTGTTTTAGGTAGAGAATTGTGTGTAGTGTTTTGAAAAAAGTGTTTTATGCAATTGACAACTGAGTCAATGATGGATAATGTGGAAATGTAGGTGTTTTTTAGTCAAATTCTCAGATGTACTGTATGTAGATTAATGTGGAAATGTAGGTGTTTTTAAGTCAAATTCTCAGATGTACTGTATGTAGATTAATGTGGAAATGTAGATGTTTTTAAGTGAAATTCTCAGATGTACTGTATGTAGATTAATGTGGAAATGTAGGTGTTTTTAAGTCAAATTATGTCTCCTCCCACGTTAGTCACAGACAAAGGACAAACACATGACTTTATATTGTTTTAAGTAGAATTCAAAGTGGTTTTAAATCAAATTCATATACTGTACTGACAAACTACTACAGTAGAAGTCGTTTTTGACCATGTGGGTAGCCTGACGACAACAACAGGCATTCCCCCGTGGATGGACTGGCCTAATAATCTCTGTGCTCTTTCAGATCATGTGGCTTCCGCTGCGGAATCTCTTCATCCCTGTATTCCTGAACTGCTGGTTGGCCAAGCACGCCTTGGAGAACATGATCGTGAGTGTTAATCTGCCTCAACTCAGATATGGCTGAATCAGCATGGAATGCTGGTGTTGCGGTGCTGCCACCCCCAAATCATACATTACCCCAGGAGTCAGCGGTTCGATCCCCATTCATGCCACTGCTCTACCCCTCTGTTACATCTCAACTACTTCTACCCTATTTTGCGATTAAATCTACAAAAATACTTATTCTCCTTTACAAAAACAGAGATAGAGGTAAAAAGTCCTACCAACCACCCATCTTAACCTCTCCCCCTCTCCCACGTAGAATGACCTGCATCGTGCCATCCAGCGAACACAGTCTGCCATGTTCAACCAGGTGCTCATCCTCATCACTACCCTCTTCTGCCTCATATTCACCTGGTGAGTGTGTGTGTGTGTGTGTGTGTGTGTGTGTGTGTGTGTGTGTGTGTGTGTGTGTGTGTGTGTGTGTGTGTGTGTGTGTGTGTGTGTGTGTGTGTGTGTGTGTGTGTGTGTGTGTGTGTGTGTGAGTGTGTGTGTGTGTGTGTGTGTGTGTGTGTGTGTGTGTGTGAGAGAGTGTGTGTGAGTGTGTCTGTGTGTGTATGTGTGTGTGTGTGTGTGTCTGTGTGTGTGTGTGTGTGTGTGTGTGCGTGCGTGCGTGCGTGTGCGTGCACATGTGTAAAAAGCAGTCTATGCATCCCAAACATGGGCACTTTGAAAACCAATTGCAAATGAAACTCAGTCTCCTATGGTAATCCTTGGTTTTAGAAATGACGATTAACAGATTTTTCTGCATTTAGCAATTCAGCTAACTCAATAAGTGGACAGAGGAGATCCCTGCTTTGAACCATCTCTCCCTCTCCACATCCAATAAGGTCTTACGGGGTCAGCCCAGACTGAATTGCTGGTAATTATCTGTGGTTTTCCTCCTCAGAGCTTCAAACACTTTCAGTCACTTGCCACTAATGCAGCACGTCTGACATCATATTTGAGGTTACCAGGTCCACAGCTCTGGGATCTATCTTCTCCAGTGCAGTCTGTGTGTACATTGCATTACAACATCAATTATCTCGGAACCATTCCCTCAATATCTGGCTTCCTGTTGTCTACCACAAGACCATTATTGTAATGTGTGCGATGCCACAAAAGCAAGGTAATGGCAGTAATTACTACTACATCCTGAAGACATTGTGTTTTAATGAAACATGAAGGCACAGATTTGTGTTTCAGAATAGGAAATATCAGTCATGGTTATATTGTTTCTAAGGTATAATGCTAGAACAATGTTGCTGTTGCTTTTCACTGTGGTAATAGAAGGATATGCTTTCAATCAGTGTCTTGTTACTCTTTGAGGTCTACTGTAGTGCCCGACACCTGTGGAAGTCAGTCTGTCTGTCCTTCTGTCTGTCCTTCTGTCTGTGTCTGTCCTTCTGTCTGTCCGTCTGTCTGCCTGTCTGTCCTTCTGTCTGTCTGTCCTTCCTGTCTGCCTGCCTTCCTGTTTGTCTGTCGGTCCTTCCTGTCTGCCTTCCTGTCTGCCTGTCTGTCCTTTTGTCATTAAGTCAGATCTATCTGTGTCTTATCTGTCAATCATTTGATTCATAAAACCTTACCTACAGTATTGTTATCGCTGATTGGCCCACCTTAATGTCACAACACTGAATTGGTTTATTAGTTAGGCCTAGATTCAGTCCGCTCAAGTGTTAACCCACGCTAGTCGACACCCGCATAGCTGGTGTTTTGGTGGTATTGGAGGTGTAACTACGTTGGCACTGTCAAATCAGTGAGTGGCTGCTTTTGTGGTCATTGTCACGCAGCCACACCCATTCTACCGGCGTTAGAAGTTCAGAGCGAGAAAGTGTAAGCTATATAGAAAAAATTATGATACTCAAATTAAAATGATTGAATGAAATAATAAGGTGTAGATTACATCACATAGGGCAGTGTTCAAACTTGTAAAACAGCTGCATGGGATTTCTGCTAATGTGACCTGGTGCATCCAAAGGCAGTGTCCGCGATAGGTATAATACCAGGAGCCGCTTGTGGATTGGACAGCTCTAACACAGTTCCACCTCCGACACCGCCTAAACAAAAGCTATGCGGGTGTCGGCTAGCGTGGATATGATTGAATCTAGGCCTGAGTCAACAGACAGTTAGTCAATAGACAGTTAGTTAGCAGACAGCTAGTCAATAGACAGTTAGTCAGTAGACAGTTAGTCAGTAGACAGTCAATAGACAGTTAGTCAATAGACAGTTAGTCAATAGACAGTTAGTCAATAGACAGTTAGTCAATAGACAGTTAGTAAATAGACAGTTAGTCAGTAGACAGTTAGTCAGTAGACAGTCAATAGACAGTTAGTCAGTAGACAGTTAGTCAATAGACAGTTAGTCAATAGACAGTTAATCAATAGACAGTTAGTCAGTAGACAGTTAGTCAGTAGCCAGTCAATACTTGTGTACTCTGTGTGTCCCCGTGTAAATAGCCAGTTTTTTTGTTGTTGTATTTTTCGTACATATTTCCCTATCACACTTTTCATCCTTCTACTAAATATACTTTCCTGCAACCCGCCTCACTCAATGTGGAACGGATTCTATTATTGACTTACCTTTTATCTAGAATCTCCAGTTGAAACTAGCTAGCCAGCTAACTAGCTACTTGCTATTAGCCACCGTTAGCAGTTTTCACCCAGAACATCGGATTTTCTGCCGGAATAACTGAATCACTGGACATTAACACCGGATCGCAACTAGCTAGCCGCAACCGAATGGATGTTGCTGTTGGCTAATCACCACTGCCCCCGAAGCAAGCACCAGTTAGCCTTGATCTAGCCTCAAGCCAGGTCCATATCCCGGCTATCTACCTCTCTGTCTACCGGAAGGGAGTAGCCAGCTAACTAGCTACTTGCTATTAGCCACCGTTAGCGGTTTTTCACCATTGTCCGTGGCCTGCACTACCTACCAGCCAGGACTATAGCCTGGACTATTATTGGCCAGTCTGCACTGTCTGCACAGCGCGACCCAGAACATATCGGTTTTTCTGCCGGAATCACTGAATCACTGGACCTTTAACACCGGATCATCGCAACTAGCTAGCTGAAACCAAATGGATGTTGTTGTTGGCTAATCAGCCTTGAGCTAGCCTCGAGTCAGGCCCATCTCCCGGCTATCTACCTCACATTTACTTTGTACATTTAGTCATTTGCTACGCTCTTATCCAGAGGACTTCAATGTGAATACGGTGTCTAGATTTTTTTTTTTTTTATACTGGCCCCCGTGGAATCGACCCCAACCTATGCAACGCCTGCCTATCAACTGAGCTATCCTCGCATTCCTCCCCTACCCGGACGACGCTGCATGTCGCCGCCCATGAGTCTCCCTGTCGGCCCTGCGACGAGCCTGTATTAACAGGATCTCTAGTGGCACAGTTAGCACTGCGATGCAGTGCCTTAGACCACTGCGCCACTCAGGAGACACAGACATACCTCTCTGTCAACCGGACGGGACATCCTCCTAGAGTCGACACGGAGCCCCGCCGATCCATCACGACTGGTCTGCCGACGTAATCGTCTGTGGTTTCAAGAGGCTTCCCATTGCGACGACCACGAAGATCCATCTGCTAGCCCCGGCCCGCTAGCACACGCAAACAACAGCCGTGCTTCCTGCTAGCCTGTGCTGTAGCACCAATTCGAACTGCACTCGGACTCACATATTGGGGCGGCAGGTAGCTTAGTGGGTAAGAGCGTTGTGCCAGTAACCGAAAGGTCGCTGGTTCTAATCCCCGAGCCGACTAGGTGAAAAATCTGTCGATGTGCCCTTAAGCAAGGCACTTAACCCTAACTGCTCCTGTAAGTCGCTCTGGATAAGAGCGTCTGCTAAATGACTAAAATGTAAATGTAATATTGCTGTTCACAGGACCTTATGATCACTCAGCTGCACAGCTGATGCCTGCTGGACTGTTCCTTTACACGGTACCCTGTTCTGTTTATCTGTTTAGCCTCAGCCCAAACTTTCATCGCCATTACCAGTAGTTGTCTTAGCTCTCTCGAATAACACCTGTAATTGCTTTATGCCTCTCTCCCATGTCAATATGCCTTGCCTATTGCTGTTCCAGTTAGTTCTTATTATACAATTTCACTGTAGAGCCCCAAGTCCCTCTCAAACTGCCTCAAATAGCTCCTTTGTTCCACCCCCCATACACGCGGAGACCGGCTCAATCGGTGCCTCCAGTGATGCTATCTCTTTCATTGTTACCCAACGCTTAGGTTTACCTCCATTGTACTCATATCCTTGTCTGTACATAATGCCCTGAATCTATTCTACAACGCCCGGAAATCTGCCCCCTTTATTCTCTGTACCCAACACACTAGAAGACCAGTTCTTAAAGCCTTTAGCCGTATCCTTATTCTAGTCCTCCTCTGTTCCTCTGGTGATGTAGAGGTTAACCCAGGCCCTGCAGCCCCCAGTATCACTCCTACTCCCCAGGAGCTATCATTTGTTGACTTCTGTAACCATAAAAGCATTGTTTTTTTGCATGTTAACATCAGAAGCCTCCTCCCTAAGTTTGAGTTATTCACTGCGTTAGCACACTCCACCAACCCTGATGTTCTAGCAGTGTCTGAATCCTGGCTTAGGAAGGCCACCAAAAATTCAGACATTTCCATCCCCAACGACAACATTCTCCGTCTAGATAGAACTGCCAAAGGGGGTGGAGTTGCAATCTACTGTAGAGATAGCCTGCAGAGCTCTATCATACTATCCAGGTCTGTGCCCAAACAGTTTGAGCTCCTACTTCTAAAAATCCACCTTTCCAGAAATAAGTCTCTCACTGTTGCCGCTTGGTACAGACCCCCTCACCCCCCAGCTGTGCCCTGGACACCATATGTGAATTGATTGCCCCCCATCTATCCTCAGAGTTCGTACTGCTTGGTGACCTAAACTGGGATATGCTAAACACCCCGGCCATCCTACAATCCAAACTAGATGCCCTCAATCTCACACAAATTATCAAGGAACCTACCAGGTACAATCCTAAATCTGTAAACATGGGCACCCTTATAGATATCATCCTGACTAACTTACCCTCTAAATACACCTCCGCTGTCTTCAACCAGGATCTCAGCGATCACTGCCTTATTGCCTGCGTCCGTAACGGGTCCGTGGTCAAACGACCACCCCTCATCACTGTCAAACGCTCCCTAAAACACTTTAGCGAGCAGGCCTTCCTAATTGACCTGGCCCAGGTATCCTGGATGGATATCGATCTCATTCTGTCAGTAGAGGATTCCTGGTTGTTCTTTAAAAGTGCTTTCCTCTCAATCTTAAATAAGCATGCCCCATTCAAAAAATTCAGAACTAAGAACAGATATATTCCCTGGTTCTCCTCAGAGTGCCCTTGACCAGCACAAAAACATCCTGTGGCGTACTGCATTAGCATCGAATAGCCCCCGCGATATGCAACATTTCAGGGAAGTTAGGAACCAATATACACAAGCAGTTAGGAAAGCAAAGGCTAGTTTTTTCAAACAGAAATTTGCATCCTGTAGCACTAACTCCAAAAGGTTTTGGGACACTGTAAAGTCCATGGAGAATAAGAGCACCTCCTCCCAGCTGCCCACTGCACTGAGGCTAGGAAACACTATCACCACCGATAAATCTACAATAATCTAGAATTTCAACAAGCATTTTGCTACAGCTGGCCATGCTTTCCACCTGGCTACCCCTACCCCGTTCACCAGCTCTGCACTCTCCGCTGCAACTTGCCCATGCCCCCCCCCTGCCGCTTCTCCTTCACACAAATTCAGACAGCTGATGTTCTGAAAGAGCTGCACAATCTGAACCCCTACAAATCATCTGGGCTAGACAATCTGGATCCTTTCTTCCCCGGAGTACTAGCTGCTGCCGATCGATGTTTCGGTGTTCGTCTTGTTTGGTCTTTATTGTTTACACCTGTTTCCCATTATGTTGGATTGTATTCCCTATATTACCCCCTGTCTCTCATTGGTTATTTTGTGTGTGATTGTTCTTTGTCATTTCGGCAGTTGCTTTGTGTTACGGGTCTTTGTGTTTTCCTCCCTGTTTGGAGGTTTGTTGTTTTGTACGTTTTTACTGTGTTCAGTAAAGTACATTGCCAGCCGCTCTGTGTCCTGCGTTTGACTTCGCTGACCGCATACACGTCGCGTGACAAGTAGACAGTCAGTAGACAGTCAGTCAGTAGACAGTCAGTCAGTAGTCAGTCAGTAGACAGTCAGTTGACTACCTCATCCCCATATTGTTATTTATTTTGCTCATTTGCACCCCAGTATCTCTATTTGCACATCATCTCTTGCACATCTATCATTACAGTGTTAATACTACATTGTAATTATTTTGCACTATGGCCTATTTATTGCCTTACCTCCATAACTTGCTACATTTGCACACACTGTAAATATATTTTCTGTTGTATTTTTGACTTTATGTTTTGTTTTACCCCATATGTAACTCTGTGTTGTTGTTTTTATCGCACTGCTTTGCTTTATCTTGGCCAGGTTGCAGTTGTAAATGAGAACTTGTTCTCAACTGGCTTACCTGGTTAAATAAAGGTGAAAAAAATAAATAAAATAAAAATAGACAGTCAGTAGACAGTTATTCAGTAGACATTCAGTAGACAGTTAGTAGACAGTTAATCAGTAGACAGTTAATCAATAGACAGTTAGTCAATAGACAGTTAATCAATAGACAGTTAGTCAATAGACAGTCAGTAAACAGTTAGTCAGTAGATAGTTAATCAATAGACAGTTAGTCAATAGACAGTCAGTAGACAGTTAATCAATAGACAGTTAGTCAGTAGACAGTTAATCAATAGACAGTTAGTCAATAGACAGTTAATCAACAGACAGTTAGTCAATAGACAGTTAATCAATAGACAGTTAGTCAGTAGACAGTTAATCAATAGACAGTTAGTCAATAGACAGTTAATCAATAGACAGTTAGTCAATAGACAGTAAGTAGATAGTTAGGCAGTAGACAGTTAATCAATAGACAGTTAGTCAGTAGACAGTTAATCAATAGACAGTTAGTCAATAGACAGTAAGTAGATAGTTAGTCAGTAGACAGTTAATCAATAGACAGTTAGTCAGTAGACAGTTAATCAATAGACAGTTAGTCAATAGACAGTTAATCAATAGACAGTTAATCAATAGACAGTCAGTAGATAGTTAGTCAGTAGACAGTCAGTAGACCAGATGGTAGTGGAATGAAAGGTTGGCGATTAGCCATGTTATCTAAGGCACTGTTTTCTATAAAGCCAATAACGTCATGCCTGTATTTGTACAGTATAAGAGACGCTGGTTATCAATGGCTGATAGTGAAAGATATGCCAACCGCTCTTCTGAGTGTTCTGGGTCTGACTATATCATCTGAGCTGATTGCCTTGGGGGTAATGACTGATAAATGATCTCAGTGGTGCCTGTCTAATCCTTCTACCCCCCCTTACCCCACCCCACCCCACCCAAAAAATATATATATATATATATTGTAAAGTGGCTATCCCACTGGCTTTAAGGTGAATGCACCAATTTGTAAGTCGCTCTGGATAAGAGCGTCTGCTAAATGACGTAAATGTAAATGTAAATGTAATTTGCTGCCCTGCCCATGATGTGTGTGTGTGTGTGTGTGTGTCTGATTGTATTGTTTTTCTCTTTCCCTGTATGGTCATAAAGTAATGCTTATAGTGATACACACACACACACACACACACACACACACACACACACACACACACACACACGTCTGGTAATCCATCAGTTATCATTTCTCAAAACAATGTATCTGTTATATATATATATTAAGATGTGATGTATATGATGTAAACAAAACAAAAACAGATGTTAAATTAAATAGCAAATTTGAAGTGTGTCAGGTTGAGACACTACTGTCTGTGTAGACAGAATATTCCTGTAAAGGTCTGTTTGTCCTGGCTGGTAAATACAGATTTACAGGAATGACAACATTGCTTCATTCCCTCCAAAAAATCCATAATGTCCACAGAAGAGATTCACTCAGAGTGGCCAAGTCTTACTAATGCATTTACCGGACCAGTGGGATCAAAGGTTAGGATACTTCCAATGTCAATACATGACTGACATTCAAACTGAAAAACAGAGCAGAGCATTTTTGTTAAGAAATACGTCCTCAGATATATCACGTACAGCATATCAATCATTATTAACAATGACGTATGTTGCAAAGGCTTTTGAGGAGATATGAGTGACTATTTACTGTATAGGGAGTTCAGTTGCAAGGCTTGTAGGTTCATGTTTCTTCTCGACCAAAACCTTATGGGCCGGTTTCCCGGTCACAGATTAAGTTTAGTCCTGGTCTAAATAGCTCAATGGAGAAGTTCCATTGAAAGGGCTTTTTAGTCCATGACTAAGCTTAATCTCTCTCAGGAAACAGGCCCCGTGTGTAGCAACAGGAGTTTTTCTTGAACCACTTCATACAGTATGTTTCAGTTTAGACACCAAGAGACGATTTCCCAGTCACAGAGTAAGCCTAGTCCAGTGGTATCTCCAATGGAAATATTGGTCTTATTCTGTATCTGGGAAACTGGGTCCAAATGTTCCAGTGACACCACTCCCTTCACACTGCTTCCCTGTATCCCTGGTAGTATCTGTGGCATCCAGCACCTGGAGCGGGCGGGCAAGAAGCTGACGGTGTTCGACTCCTGGTACTTCTGCGTTGTCACTTTCTCCACGGTGGGCTACGGCGACGTCACGCCCAACGTGTGGCCCTCCAAGCTGCTGGTGATCATCATGATCTCTGTAGCCCTGGGGGTGCTGCCCATACAGGTGAGAGTGATGGCCACAAACACACAGACACGGAGCGCACACACACACACACACACACACACACACTATTACCACACTCCTAAATGTTTGCTAAAGGGAAATCAACTGGACTAATGTTAGGACATCTACTATAGGAAATGCCAAATCGATAGAACGTATAACCCATCATCTTTTTGAGAGTAGGGAATCAGATGTTCCAGACAAATATATTAATGTTAGAGGCATTGTAGACCATGTTTCCGTCAGCGCCAAGAAGTCGAGGGACTGGAGGGTAGCATAGGCTGAGATGAACTCTGCCTTGTTGGCCGCAGAACGGCAGTTCCAGAGGCTGCCGGAGACGTTTGTATGGCCTGTGCGTAGAGGAGAGAACAGGGATAGACAGACACATAGTTGACAGGCTACAGAAAAGGCTACACTAACGCAAAGGAGATCGGAATGAAATTAACTAAACATCTGGGGAAACGAGGCCTCCCTCACTAACCTTTCACTGAAACACTCAAATACAACTCTTCCAACTTCCACTTTAGAAATGATAATTGCTGTAATCTACAGTAGTTCAATGTTTCCAGGAATAGACTAACTTAGTTTATTCAGCTAGCTAACTTGGTACAGTATTCTTCTGTGAAAACCGCCCAGGGCACCGTATCCTATGACGCCATAGCTAACTAGCATGCTAGCATCCAATAACACACGGTTTAGCACCAATACTTGGTTACAACAAACTACCAATGGATCATTCATGTCCGTGTCTAGTTCCTTTCATAACGCAGAAGTAATTAAACGTTCGCTAGCTAGCACAAAGTCAGGCATGCTAGCTACACAAGTGGACTACACATCTCGAATGTTCAGAAAGTGAAGCTTACGTTGCAAAATTCTCATTGACGAAAATGATACAGTACTGCTAGCTGGTAATGTTGGCTAGCTAGCAGTGGCTGCGGTGTTGACTGTTTGAAAATGTAGCTGGCTAGCTAACCTCGATAGTTTCTCTATACTACACCTTTGTCTTTGATACCAAGACAACTATGTAGCTAGCTAACTTTACACTAATCAAATCATTCCGTTGAAATGTATTTAGTTGCTACAGTACTGCTAGCTGGTATAGTTGGCCAGCTAGCAGTGGCTGTGGTGTTGCTACCCGCTAGCTAGTGTTGGTGAAACCATAATATGGAGAGGAAGTACAAAACCAACGACGTTAGACGGAGAGGAATTTGCTTAAGCAAAAGGCAGTTTATTAAACACAGAGATAGCTGGTACTGCTCAAGCTACATGCATGGGATCCTGCTGATTAACATGCATGGACCTAATCATATGCCACGCTAATAGTGTCAGCTGAGAAGGATAAAAAACAGAGTTTACAGCATTACTTTATACAATGTAACATAGAGGAAGGGGTCCTTCTTCTAGTCCTTTGATTGGTTCCCGAGGCGTAGGAGGCGGGTCTGCTCTGTCCAGAGCAGAAGCCCCATTGGTGCACTGCAGAGTCCTCTGCCCTTGGCACCCGACCAGTAGAAAGAAGTGGAGTGAAATGTCTGTGTGGTGTGTGTCAAAGAACTCGTGAGGCATGAGAATGAGTGTGTGTATGTCTCAAGGGAAACTCGTGGGGAGCATCAGTGATTGTGGCCTGTGGCGTGGGTGTTGTCCTTGACAAGATATGGTCCTCTGTCCATTGTTCTTGCATAGGAACAGCATTGATTGAAAACAAGCTCCTAACACAAAATGGGTCTTGCACAACATTTTAGTCAGACCAAGCTATAACATTTTATATTTACTACGACAAATCCCCCTCTTCACGTCTACTAGACGTGATCCATTAATTATGTTGGCATGAAGATAGTTGAATCAGTCTTAAAAGAAAAAACAATAATGTAGGAAAGAAAACAAAACATGATAACGCATAATGCAATGGTAAAAAACATTCAACCATCCCCCTCTAGCATACTAATTTTATGGGCAGTTAATTAAAGAATGTTAGTCCCCCTCTAGTGAGTGATTAAATACATCAAAGCTGTTGTTCAAATTCTATTTCATCTTCATTTTGGTGTCAAATTTTGGTTTTGGCTGCTCAAATCAGCCCTGACTTCTGTCAGTGATCTAGAAGGAGTGGGGGCTGGTGTGCAATGTGTTAGATGGTGCCAGGGTGCGCCTAATTTACCTCTGACCTGGACTGAGTGTGAAGTAACCTCCTTCACTTCGTACGGTCCAGTCCACCTGGGTTCCAGCCACTTTCTCTTGTGGACTTTTACCCTCACCCAGTCTCCCACTTTTACCTTCAGTGTCAGCGTACTTCCCGACAGCTCCCCCTCTTGGGCCTTCTGCGCCTGAGAAGAGAGTGCTGCAGAAAATTCCGTCAATTTCATCACATAATCAGTCATTTCTATCTGTTGTACATCAAGGGCGGGCATATGACCTCCCTCCCTTGGTGGACCTGGCATTACTCTCCCTGTCATTATCTCATGAGGAGAGAGATGGGTCCCTGCCCCTGGTGATGCTCTCATAGCCATCAAAGCCAGTGGCAGGGCTTCAACCCATGACAATTTTGTCCCTGCACAAACCTTTGCAATTTTGGCTTTCAATATTTGGTTGGGACTGTGGATGTTACTGAACCGAATCTGTGCATGATTCCGAATCTTACCTCCACCTTTTTCAGGTGTTTGATGCTAAAATGTGTGGTTGTCAGATCTTATCTGCCTTGGTATACCATATCTGGGTATTAACTTAGTTTGTAGCCACTTAATGACTGACCTATCTTCCTCTAATTCTGTAGTTTTCTGTAGGAATTGCCTCTACCCATTTTTGAAAACCTGTCTACAGTTTCTGTCATGTGAGGGTGCCACCAGATGTGTGAAACCGTTTGGAGGGTTCTAAACTTCCCCTCATGTGTGGGCCCGTGGGCCTCACTCAACAGTTCTGGGCAGAGTCTAGCTGGTTCAAATAATCTTCCATCATGGCACCTCCAGAGTTCGTCCTGTCCTCTGCCGCCCCCTCCTGGGCCCAGACTGAGTGTTCATAGGGTCCTGCTGAGCTCTGTAACTGTGCTATATCGCCTTGGTTGAGTTCAGTCTGTGATGTCGGTGGTAGTAGTATTGGATGAGGATCACGCCTTCGGGCACCTGGAGTTCAGACAGGTGGGTCTATGGTTGTTGTGGGGGTCCTCCCTTTCCTCTACAGTCTCTTTTAAAATGTCCAGTTTTTCCACAGTTGTAGCACAGGTAGTTCCTTCTTCTTGGAGGACCTAATGGGGTGCCCTGCTGAGGCCATGGTTGTGGTTGTGGGCCAAAAGTCATGGTGCCTTTTAGGCTGTATAGTGAGGTGGGGCCAGGAGTGGTGCTGATAGTGGCCTCTGGGAAAGCTGCTTCAGTGGCCACACACATCGTATCTGTTTTCTTTGGTTGCACCCTCCTGCTCTCCACTATTTCCCATGTCCCTGTTCTCAGCTCTTCCTCGGCTTTCTCAACTGCCACCTCCAGTCCTTTCTTCATAATCTTGAGTTCCTCCTCTGAGGGAGGTACTCCCCTAAGGTAACCTGCCTGTGTCCATCTTAAGTTTACCTCCTCCCACACTTTCTTAACTTTCTTATACTGTACTTTTCCCCTTGCTCTCTCTGTCATTCGTTGTTCTAGGTATTCATTAAATTTGGGTATGGTTGGGTTTGGCCCTGCCATCTTGCTTTCCCTATCTTTATACACTTATCCCGTCCCTGGTGTTTTATTTCCAAGGATGTATTATCGGTATCAAATACAGACTTATCTCATGTATGACACCCTCGCATATAAAGAGGCTAATTTATATAATTTGTAATGCAATTATTATCATAAGAATCAGAATTCCAGTCACATATACCAATGCAGTAATTTCTACACACAGCACACACCACGCTTTAGTTATCTCACGCTTGTTCTAGAATCATGCACAACCTCAATATCAGTCTCCCCAGTCCCCGGTTCCTGAAACCCTAGGTCAAATTCACTCAATTCCACAGATTGGTGTTCAGTCTCATAAGTCCCACTATAACTTCCCATCATTCATTACACGTTATAATACATCAAAACACACAGCCAAAAATTACACGTTATAATACATGAAAACACACAGCCAAAAGCCAATTGGAATTGCAATGCTTAATGTATTCAGGCTATCAAGAGTCCTAGAACACATTCTCAGTTCGACTGCCACCCTTCACACGTCCTTTTGTAAGGACCAATTTAACATGTGAAGTCGGAGAAGCAACTTGAATTTAGATTACCAGAGCGTCCTAAAACATAGTCTCAGTTCGACTGCACCCTTCACACAACCTTAAAAGGCACCTTTATTATGTGAAGTCACAGAAGCAACTGGATCCCTATCAAGGGATTTTTTTTATTTTTTTTTTAGACAACTCAATCACTAGGAAAGACTTAGTCTCAGCTTAATTGTACCTTTCACACAACCATTTAAATGGAACGTTTTAAATGTGAAATCACAAAGATAACTGGCATCCCCGGGAATTTAGTACCTCTGGTCAATTTCGGTGATTCTCCCCCACCTAATGTCTAGAACTCTGCCACAGTTTTGACTTCAACCTCCTCGCAACCTATAGGGTAGGACCTCCCCTAATAGGATTTATGCAAAAAGTCTCAGTTCAACCTGGGTCCCTTTAGGAATCTAGTTGTGGGTCAAATCTTATCCACATACTGTGTTAAATCGCAATTTAACCCATAAGATACAATCCTCAGTCTTCAGCCACTGGTAAGACTCTCATAATATACAACCATCAGTATTCAGTGTTCACAGTACCAGATATCTCATTTATGCCTTAATTCATTTAGGATGGAAATTATTTAACAAGTATTCATACTCACACAGTACTACTGATCATAATTTGGTATTGGTCTACAATACAATATGCAAGATTTTGTTTTAACAGGCTCTGCTTACCTTTTTAGAAGAGCGCGCTCTGATCAGGTTCCTGAGGCAAGACGAATAGTTGATTTCTCCTGGATTTCAGGTCACTCTTCCATCTGTTTTTAGATCGATGATTTGCCTTTTCCTCTCGCACCAACTTTTAGATCGAATTAAACCATCCTCTGCTACCATTTTGTTGGTGAAACCATAATATGGAGAGGAAGTACAAAACCAACGACGCTAGACGGAGAGGAATTTGCTTAAGCAAAAGGCAGTTTATTAAACACAGAGATAGCTGGTACTGCTCAAGCTACATGCATGGGATCCTGCTAATTAACATGCATGGACCTAATCATATGCCACGCTAATAGTGTCAGCTGAGAAGGATAAAAAACAGAGTTTACAGCATTACTTTATACAATGTAACATAGAGGAAGGGGTCCTTCTTCTAGTCCTTTGATTGGTTCCCGAGGCGTAGGAGGCGGGTCTGCTCTGTCCAGAGCAGAAGCCCCATTGGTGCACGGCAGAGTCCTCTGCCCTTGGCACCCGACCAGTAGAAAGAAGTGGAGTGAAATGTCTGTGTGGTGTGTGTCAAAGAACTCGTGAGGCATGAGAATGAGTGTGTGTATGTCTCAAGGGAAACTCGTGGGGAGCATCAGTGATTGTGGCCTGTGGCGTGGGTGTTGTCCTTGACAAGATATGGTCCTCTGTCCATTGTTCTTGCATAGGAACAGCATTGATTGAAAACAAGCTCCTAACACAAAATGGGTCTTGCACAACATTTTAGTCAGACCAAGCTATAACATTTTATATTTACTACGACACTAGCTAGCTTTAATGGTCCAGGTAGTGGGTTAGCTAGCTAGCCTCGTGCTTCACCGGGCTCAGTTGAATACACTACAATACTTACCTACAATAACTACCTACAATAACTACCTGGATAAACTACCTACAATACCTAACTACAACACCTAACTACAATACCTACCTACAATCTAAATGCATGGTTTAAGCAGTGGCTGCGGTGTTGCTACCCGCTAGCTAGCTAGCTTTAATGGTCCAGGTAGTGGGTTAGCTAGCTAGCCTCGTGCTTCACCGGGCTCAGTCGAATACACTACAATACACAGGGTTCGATGATTAGTTGATTATCTGAATCAGGTGTGTTAGTGCTGGGACGGAAAAAATGCACTCTGTAGCTCTATAGAACCAGGATGGAAGAACACAGTGATAAATGTGTTGGATTGGGTGAACTGCATGCATTTAGCCATGTATTAAGCCTCTGATTGATTTGAGAATGGTTTTGCGCAGCATTAGCAGGATTAGTAAGTTGTGCCTGTGCTGGGTGCTATTGGTCAGTTTGAGCAGCTGGCCTACCTGTGGATGGAGAGACAGAAGTCGGGGGGGAACTACAGCCGCCACCGCGCCCAGACGGAGAAACACGTGGTCCTGTGTGTCAGCTCCCTCAAAATAGACCTCCTGATGGACTTCCTCAACGAGGTCTACGCCCACCCCGGGCTGCAGGTGTGTGTGTGTGTGTGTGTGTACGTGGGTGGGTGATTAGGTTGGTGTGTGTGTATGTGTGCGTTCGGCGTGTGTGTGTGTTTGTGTGTGTGTTTGCTTGGGTCTTGTTCATTTGGGGCACGCAATAAATATTTTTAAAAGACTTTGCAACAGAATTGTGCATTTCTTATTGGACAAGCCCAGGTAGTCCCTTGCTGTTTCTGTCCATTTTGCTCCATTTGGTGCCTAATGAACACGACCCAGGCTGTTTCTCTGTCTTCCTGTCTATCTAGGACTACTACGTCATCATCCTGTGTCCCACAGAGATGGACCCCCAGGTGCGCCGGGTCCTCCAGATCCCCCTGTGGTCCCAGCGGGTCATCTACCTCCAGGGATCGGCCCTCAAGGACCAGGACCTCATACGGGCCAAGTGAGTCACCAACACCAAGGGCTGCGTCTCAATCCGCTAAAAAACAGTCACCTTTCCTTCAACTGCACTTATGTGGAAGCGCCGGACTGGTGAAAGCCAATACTGGTTAGGAAATAGGGATCAACCATATAGCTTGCCTGTCACCTCTCCTGTTTTCAGATCAATGTGGGTAGTTATACAGTATAAGAGAGATGAGGAGAGGAAGCCACTGTAGAGTATTGAGATGTACCCACTCAGTATTGAATGGGTGTCCTTCTTTTCCAGACTGGACAATGCAGAGGCTTGTTTCATCCTAAGCAGTCGCTGTGAGGTGGACCGCACCGCCGCAGTACGTACATTTGCTACTATTACCACTACACAAAGTGTTAAATCAGGGGCAGACTGGGACCAAGAGTCCAGCCCGCTGCCTAAAGAGGCTCCAGCCTACCAGGCATTTGGCCGAACTGACCTATGGCCGGTTCGTTTCTTTGTTAGATTGAGACTAAATTAATATTCGGAATATTCATAAACTAAACTTGCTGATACCAAAGGCATTTTAGCCAGTAATATTTCCACTTTTTTTTGTTCAGCTAGTCTGATAACGAAAGGTAAAGCTTTTTCCTCCTCTATTCACCCCACAGGAGGTTGGTGGCACCTTAATTGGGGAGAATGGGCTCGTGGTAATGACTAGAGCGAAATCAGTGGAACGCTATCAAATACATCAAACACATGGTGTCAAGGTGTTTGATGCCATTCCATTTGCTCCGTTCCAGCCATTATTATGAGCCGTTCCCTTAGCAGCCTCCACTGATTCACCCACACCAGTAGACCTCCATCTGTCTGTCTGTTTGTCTGTTGGTCTCTCTGGCAGTTCTATTAGAGTTCTATTAGAGTTCTATTAGTTCTATTAGAGTTCTATTAGTTATTTGAGAGTTTTATTAGAGTTCTATTAGAGTTCTATTAGAACTGTACTTCAAGTGACTGTAGGGTATGACTCATAGAAAACATGCCTCTAATTTCTGATACAGCAGTTTATTCCGTTTTGTAGAGTTGAAGCTGTGTCCTGATCAGACTGGCTATAGCATTGTGGTGCTGTTTCAAAAATATTTTCATTGCAAAGTGAGTTGACAATACTATGATACATACCGGCAATAGCATCACTTATAATAGGACAAGCACCTATACAAGGTAGACAGAGGGACTTTGTATTGCTCATCTGACGTAAACATATCTCTAGTGGCCAGTGTTGTAACCAGTGCATAAAGCAATCAATCATAAATCAGCTCAAACAAATAAAAATTAACCTCTAATGTGTTATTTTTGTCTTGTTTACCTTTAAGGACCATCAGACCATTTTGCGAGCTTGGGCTGTGAAGGATTTCGCTCCAAAGTGCCCTATTTACGTCCAGATTCTGAAGCCAGAGAATAAATTCCATGTCAAATTTGCAGGTAAATACAGACTAATGTATTGTTAAGATACATTTGTATCTGATGATGATTCGGGACCTTGGCATACATCTTTCAGGAATATTCTGAATTGTGGCTCCAATACCTGGGTTAACCCCTCCTCTTTTTCCTCTATGCATTTAGGTTAGTCTCAATAGCTGGGTTTCCATCCAATTGGCGACAGATTTTCATGTGAATATTCTCAAAATCTGCATAAAAACAATATGCGCATTTTCCCACCAGAGATGTGTTTCCATCCAATTTACCTGTTGCTTATAAAAGGCTGTGTGTGATGACGTAGTGCACATGACAATATATTTTGCAGTTAAATTCCCATGTACCAAATAAAGAATACAAGTTAAATGGGTTTCCATGGCATTTTCAACTCTACTGATGGTTTTGTCCCCCCAAAATGTTGTGTTATATTGCAAATGTGCCCACTCTGGTCTTGGCGCTTGCACTCTAGCCAACAGCTTGCAGAAACAGTGCGGGTAGGATAGCCTACATTATGAGATTAATATGGACGAAAGAGCTAAAGATTAAAGGTTATTTTTATTTGTCAAAAGGCAGCCACGCATCGCTCATCATGTCTCCAGAATAAGACCCTCAATATTTATTGGGAAGGAGCATCAATCACCGCCTGCACTTTCACCACCTTGTGAAGTTCATCATAATTTATTTAATCTGTAGCCTATTAAACTGCATACTTTCCCGAGTCGTAGTGGGAGGACCACACAACATATCATCGCATGACTCCAAGTTTACTTCGATATGATGGATATGATATCAATATTTGCGCATAAATGCATTTCCATCGCCATTTCTTGCATAATTAATTTTACAGACACAAAAACATTTGGAAAGTTTACAGACAAATGTTCTGTTTCCATCAGGCCTGTCGTGACATTTTGTTTTATCCGACATGTACTTTACTCGCATAAACAGGTTGGATGGAACTTGGTTATTGAGTCTCATCTCTGTAAGACTCTTTTTAAAACGTCATCAAATGTTGTTCTTCTACAGTCGTGGTCAAAAGTTTTGAGAATGTATTGGTCTTCACAAAGTTTGCTGCTTCTGTGTTTTTAGATATTTTAGTCAGATGTTACAATGGTATACTGAAGTATAATTACAAGCATTCCATAAGTGTCAAAGGCTTTTATTGACAATTACATGAAGTTTATGCAAAGAGTCAATATTTGCAGTGTTGACCCTTCTTTTTCAAGACCTCTGCAATCCGCCCTGACATGCTGTCAATTAACTTCTGGGCCGCATCCTGACTGATGGCAGCCCATTCTTGCATAATCAATGCTTGGAGTTTGTCCGAATTTGTGGGTTTTTGTTTGTCCACCCGCCTCTTGAGGATCGACCACAAGTTCTCAATGGGATTAAGGTCCGGGGAGTTTCCTGGCCATGGACCCAAAATGTCGATGTTTTGTTCCCCGAGCCACTTAGTTATCACTTTTGCCTTATGGCAAGGTGCTCCATCATGCTGGAAAAGGCATTGGTCGTCACCAAACTGTTCTTGGATGGTTGGGAGAAGTTGCTCTCGGAGGATGTGTTGGTACCATTCTTTATTCATTTACCCCAGTCCTCAGCAGTCCATCCCTGTACCTTTTTCAGAATATCAGTCAGTCCCTGATGTTTTTCCTGGAGAGAACTGGCTTCTCTGCTGCCCTTCTTGACACCAGGCCATCCTCCAAAAATCTTCGCCTCACTGTGCATGCATATGCACTCGCACCTGCCTGCTGCCATTCCTGAGCAAGCTCTGCACTGGTGGTGCCCCGATCCCGCAGCTGAATAGACTTTAGGAGACGGTCCTGGCGTTTGCTGGACTTTCTTGGGCGCCCTGACACCTTCTTCACAACAATTGAACCTCTCTCCTTGAAGTTCTTGATGATCCGATAAATGGTTGATTTAGGTGCAATCTTACTAGCAGCAATATCCTTGCCTTTGAAGCCCTTTTTGTGCAAAGCAATGATGACGGCACGTGTTTCCTTGCAGGTAACCATGGTTAACAGAGGAAGAACAATGATTTAAAGCTTCCAGTCTGTATTTCTAACTCAATCAGCATGACAGAGTGATCTCCAGCCTTGTCCTCGTCAATACTCTCACCTGTGTTAACGAGAGAATCACTGACATGATGGCAGCTGAAATGCAGTGGAAATGTTTTTGGGGGATTAAGTTCATTTTCATGGCAAAGAGGGACTTTGCAATTAATTGCAATTCATCTGATCACTCTTCATGACATTCTGGAGTATATGCAAATTGCCATCATCAAAAACTAAGGCAGCAGACTTTGTAAAAATGTGTATTTGTGTCATATTTGTGGTCCTCTGTAGCTCAGCTGGTAGAGCACGGCGCTTGTAACGCCAAGGTAGTGGGTTCGATCCCCGGGACCACCCGTACACAAAAAATGTATGCACGCATGACTGTAAGTCTGCTAAATGGCATATTATTATTATTCTCAAAACTTTTGACCACGACTGTACTTTTCCCCAGATCATGTAGTGTGTGAGGAGGAATTCAAGTATGCCATGTTGGCCCTGAACTGCATCTGTCCAGCGACCTCCTCCCTCATAACCCTACTGGTCCACACTTCACAGGGCCGGTAAGTACACAACCATCCTCCACCCTCATATCTAGTCAACTCTTCAATGGTCTACACTCCATAGGATCTGTAAAGTACAGTAGGCAACCCACCTACCACTAAGTCTCTACCCACCAACCCACCAATTCTCTACCCACCAACCCACCTACCACTAAGTCTCTACCCACCAACCCTCCTACCCACCAAGTCTCTACCCACTAACCAAACCACCAAGGTTCTAACCCCCCAATCACCCCCACCAGTCGCATACCCACTAATCCCACCCGACCACCCCAAGGTCTCTACCCAAATCCACCACCAACCTTCCAAGTCTCTACACCACCAATCTTCCAAGTCTCTACCCACCAACCCTCCAAATCTCTACCCACCAACCCTCCTACCCACCAAGTCTCTACCCACTAACCAAACCACGAATTCTCTACCCACCAACCCACCTACCACTAAGTCTCTACCCACCAACCCTCCTACCCACCAAGTCTCTACCCACTAACCAAACCACCAAGTTTCTACCCACCAATCCACCGACCCACCAAGTCTCTACCCACTAATCCACCCACCAACCCTCCAAGTCTCTACACACCAACCTTCCAAGTCTCTACCCACCAATCCACCGACCCACCAAGTCTCTACCCACTAATCCACCCACCAACCCTCCAAGTCTCTACACACCAATCTTCCAAGTCTCTACCCACCAACCCTCCAAATCTCTACCCACCAAGCCTCCTACCCACCAAGTCTCTACCCACTAACCAAACCACCAAGTTTCTACCCACCAACCCTCCTACCCACCAAGTCTCTACCCACCAACCCTCCTACCCACCAAGTCTCTACCCACTAACCAAACCACCAAGTTTCTACCCACCAACCCCCCTACCCACCAAGTCTCTACCCACCAACCCTCTACCCACAAGTCTCTACCCACTAACCAAACCACCAAGTTTCTACCCACCAATCCACCGACCCACCAAGTCTCTACCCACTAATCAACCCACCAACCCTCCAAGTCTCTACACACCAACCTTCCAAGTCTCTACCCACCAACCCTCCAAGTCTCTACACACCAACCTTCCAAGTCTCTACCCACCAACCCTCCAAGTCTCTACCCACCAACCCACCAAGTCTCTACCCACCAAGTCTCTACTCACAAAACCATCAAGTCTCTACCCATCAAGTCTCTACCCACCAATCCACCAAGTCTCTACCAACCAAGTCTCAACCCACCAAGTCTCTACCCCACAAGTCTCTACCCACCATGTCTCAACCCACCAAGTCTCTACCTCACAAGTCCCTACCCACCAAGTCTCTACCCACCAAGTCTCTACCCATCAACCCACCAAGTCTCAACCCACCAAGTCTCTACCCACCAATCCACCAAGTCTCAACCCACCAAGTCCCTACCCACCAAGTCTCTACCCTCCGAATCTCTACCCACCAACCCACCAAGTCTCTACCCACCAAGTCTCTACTCACAAAACCATCAAGTCTCTACCCACCAAGTCTCTACCCACCAATCCACCAAGTCTCTACCAACCAAGTCTCAACCCACCAAGTCTCTACCCCACAAGTCTCTACCCACCATGTCTCAACCCACCAAGTCTCTACCTCACAAGTCCCTACCCACCAAGTCTCTACCCACCAAGTCTCTACCCATCAACCCACCAAGTCTCAACCCACCAAGTCTCTACCCACCAACCCACCAAGTCTCAACCCACCAAGTCCCTACCCACCAAGTCTCTACCCACCAAGTCTCTACCCATCAACCCACCAAGTCTCAACCCACCAAGTCTCTACCCACCAACCCACCAAGTCTCAACCCACCAAGTCTCTACCCACCAAGTCTCTACCCACCAAGTCTCAACCCACCAAGTCTCTACCCACCAATCCACCAAGTCTCTACCCCAACCAAGTCTCTACCCACCAAGTCTCTACCTACCAATCCCCCAAGTCTCTACCTACCAAGTCTCTACCCACCAAGTCTCTACCCACCAAGTCTCTACCCACCCAAGTCTCAACCCACCAAGTCTCTACCTACCAAGTCTCTACCCACCAAACCACCAAGTCTCTACCTACCAAGTCTCTACCCACCAACCCACCAAGTCTCTACCCACCAAGTCTCTACCCACCAACCCACCAAGTCTCTACCCCACCAAGACTCTACCCCACCAACCCACCAAGTCTCTACCTACCAAGTCTCTACCCACCAAAGTCTACTACCCACCAAACCCACCAAGTCTCTACCCCACCAAGTCTCTACCCACCCAACCCCACCAAGTCTCTACCCACCAAGTCTCTACCCACCAACCCACCAAGTCTCTACCCACCAAGTCTCTACCTACCAAGTCTCTACCCACCAAGTCTCTACCCACCAACCCACCAAGTCTCTACCTACCAAGTCTCTACACACCAACCTTCCAAGTCTCTACCCACCAACCCTCCAAATCTCTACCCACCAATCCACCCACCAACCCTCCAAGTCTCTACCCACTAATCCACCCACCAACCCTCCAAGTCTCTACACACCAACCTTCCAAGTCTCTACCCACCAACCCTCCAAATCTCTACCCACCAACCCTCCTACCCACCAAGTCTCTACCCACTAACCAAACCACCAAGTTTCTACCCACCAAGTCTCTACCCACTAACCAAACCACCAATTCTCTACCCACCAACCCACCTACCACTAAGTCTCTACCCACCAACCCTCCTACCCACCAAGTCTCTACCCACTAACCAAACCACCAAGTTTCTACCCACCAATCCACCGACCCACCAAGTCTCTACCCACTAATCCACCCACCAACCCTCCAAGTCTCTACACACCAACCTTCCAAGTCTCTACCCACCAATCCACCGACCCACCAAGTCTCTACCCACTAATCCACCCACCAACCCTCCAAGACTCTACACACCAATCTTCCAAGTCTCTACCCACCAACCCTCCAAATATCTACCCACCAACCCTCCTACCCACCAAGTCTCTACCCACTAACCAAACCACCAAGTTTCTACCCACCAACCCTCCTACCCACCAAGTCTCTACCCACCAACCCTCCTACCCACCAAGTCTCTACCCACTAACCAAACCACCAAGTTTCTACCCACCAATCCACCGACCCACCAAGTCTCTACCCACTAATCCACCTACCAACCCTCCAAGTCTCTACACACCAACCTTCCAAGTCTCTACCCACCAACCCTCCAAGTCTCTACACACCAACCTTCCAAGTCTCTACCCACCAACCCTCCAAATCTCTACCCACCAACCCACCAAGTCTCTACCCACCAAGTCTCTACTCACAAAACCATCAAGTCTCTACCCATCAAGTCTCTACCCACCAATCCACCAAGTCTCTACCAACCAAGTCTCAACCCACCAAGTCTCTACCCCACAAGTCTCTACCCACCATGTCTCAACCCACCAAGTCTCTACCTCACAAGTCCCTACCCACCAAGTCTCTACCCACCAAGTCTCTACCCATCAACCCACCAAGTCTCAACCCACCAAGTCTCTACCCACCAACCCACCAAGTCTCAACACACCAAGTCCCTACCCACCAAGTCTCTACCCTCCGAATCTCTACCCACCAACCCACCAAGTCTCTACCCACCAAGTCTCTACTCACAAAACCATCAAGTCTCTACCCCACCAAGTCTCTACCCACCAATCCACCAATTCTCTACCAACCAAGTCTCAACCCACCAAGTCTCTACCCCACAAGTCTCTACCCACCATGTCTCAACCCACCAAGTCTCTACCTCACAAGTCCCTACCCACCAAGTCTCTACCCACCAAGTCTCTACCCATCAACCCACCAAGTCTCAACCCACCAAGTCTCTACCCACCAACCCACCAAGTCTCAACACACCAAGTCCCTACCCACCAAGTCTCTACCCTCCGAATCTCTACCCACCAACCCACCAAGTCTCTACCCACCAAGTCTCTACTCACAAAACCATCAAGTCTCTACCCACCAAGTCTCTACCCACCAATCCACCAATTCTTACCAACCAAGTCTCAACCCACCAAGTCTCTACCCACAAGTCTCTACCCACCATGTCTCAACCCACCAGTCTCTACCTCAAAGTCCCTACCCACCAAGTCTCTACCCACCAAGTCTCTACCCATCAACCCACCAAGTCTCAACCCACCAAGTCTCTACCCACCAACCCACCAAGTCTCAACCCACCAAGTCTCTACCCACCAAGTCTCTACCCACCAAGTCTCAACCCACCAAGTCTCTACCCACCAATCCACCAAGTCTCTACCACCAAAGTCTCTACCCACCAAGTCTCTACCACCAAATCTCTACCTACCAAGTCTCTACCCACAAGTCTCTACCACCAAGTCTCTACCCACCAAGTCTCTACCACCAAGTCTCTACCCACCAACCCACCAAGTCTCTACCTACCAAGTCTCTACCCACCAACCCACCAAGGCTCTACCCACCAAGTCTCTACCCACCAACCCACCAAGTCTCTACCCACCAAGTCTCTACCTACCAAGTCTCTACCCACCAAGTCTCTACCCACCAAGTCTCTACCCACCAACCCACCAAGTCTCTACCTACAAAGTCTCTACCCACCAACCCACCAAGTCTCTATCCACCAAGTCTCTACCCACCAACCCACCAAGTCTCATCCTATCAAGTCTCTACCCACCAAGTCTCAACCCACCAAGTCTCTACCCACCTACCCACCAAGTCTCTACCCACCAATTCTCTACCCACCAAGTCTCTACCCACCAACCCCACCAAGTCTCTACCCACCAAGTCTCTACCCACCAAGTCTCTACCCCACCATGTCTCTACTTACCAAGTCTCTACCCACCAAGTCTCTACCCACCAAGTCTCTACCTACCAAGTCTCTACCCACCAAGTCTCTACCCACCAAGTCTCTACCCACCAAGTCTCTACCCACCAACTCACCAAGTCTCTACCCACCAAGCCTCTACCCACCAAATATCTACCCACCAAGTCTCTACCCACCAAGTCTCTACCCACCAACCCACCAAGTCTCTACCCACCAAGTCTCTACCCACCAACCCACCAAGTCTCTACCCACCAAGCCTCTACCCACCAAATCTCTACCCACCAAGTCTCTACCCACCAAGTCTCTACCCACCAAACCCACCAAGTCTCTACCCACCAAGTCTCTACCTACCAAGTCTCTACCTACCAAGTCTCTACCTACCAAGTCTCTACCCACCAAGTCTCAACCCACCAAGTCTCTACCCACCAAGTCTCTACCCACCAAGTCTCAACCCACCAAGTCTCTACCCACCAATCCACCAAGTCTCTACCCACCAAGTCTCTACCCACCAAGTCTCTACCCACCAAATCTCTACCTACCAAGTCTCTACCCACCAAGTCTCTACCCACCAAGTCTCTACCCACCAAGTCTCTACCACCAAGTCTCTACCCACCAACCCACCAAGTCTCTACCTACCAAGTCTCTACCCACCAACCCACCAAGGCTCTACCCACCAAGTCTCTACCCACCAACCCACCAAGTCTCTACCCACCAAGTCTCTACCTACCAAGTCTCTACCCACCAAGTCTCTACCCACCAAGTCTCTACCCACCAACCCACCAAGTCTCTACCTACAAAGTCTCTACCCACCAACCCACCAAGTCTCTATCCACCAAGTCTCTACCCACCAACCCACCAAGTCTCATCCTATCAAGTCTCTACCCACCAAGTCTCAACCCACCAAGTCTCTACCCACCTACCCACCAAGTCTCTACCCACCAAGTCTCTACCCACCAAGTCTCTACCCACCAACCCACCAAGTCTCTACCCACCAAGTCTCTACCCACCAAGTCTCTACCCACCATGTCTCTACTTACCAAGTCTCTACCCACCAAGTCTCTACCCACCAAGTCTCTACCTACCAAGTCTCTACCCACCAAGTCTCTACCCACCAAGTCTCTACCCACCAAGTCTCTACCCACCAACTCACCAAGTCTCTACCCACCAAGCCTATACCCACCAAATATCTACCCACCAAGTCTCTACCCACCAACCCACCAAGTCTCTACCCACCAAGTCTCTACCCACCAACCCACCAAGTCTCTACCCACCAAGCCTCTACCCACCAAATCTCTACCCACCAAGTCTCTACCCACCAAGTCTCTACCCACCAACCCACCAAGTCTCTACCCACCAAGTCTCTACCTACCAAGTCTCTACCTACCAAGTCTCTACCTACCAAGTCTCTACCCACCAAGTCTCAACCCACCAAGTCTCTACCCACCAAGTCTCTACCCACCAACCCACCAAGTCTCTACCCACCAAGTCTCTACCCACCAACCCACCAAGTCTCTACCTACCAAGTCTCTACCCACCAAGTCTCTACCCACCAATTCTCTACCTACCAAGTCTCAACCCACCAAGTCTCTACCTACCAAGTCTCTACCCACCAAGTCTCTACCCACCAAGTCTCTACCCACCAAGTCTCTACCCACCAAGTCCCTACCTACCAAGTCTCTACCCACCAAGTCTCTACCTACCAAGTCTCTACCCACCAAGTCTCTACCTACCAAGTCTCTACCCACTAAGTCTCTACCCACCAAGTCTCTACCCACCAAGTCTGTGAAAGGGAGAAACGTAAAGTCGCTTTGGATAAAAGCGTCTGCTAAATGGCATATTGTATTATAAACGTACAGCCCCTCATATTGTACCTATTGAATTGTCTGCAGCGAAAGCCCAGACTGAACCCAACTAAAAGTAACACTTCATATGAACACCCTCATAGTGCTTTACACAGCATTATATAGCAGCTCATAAAATATTATAATTATGCTTATAATGCATTATGAATAGTGTATTCCCAGGAAGTGTTACCAAACATTTCTCTATGTGCTTCAGGGAGGGGCAGCAGTCTCCAGAGCAGTGGCACAGGACTTATGGCAAGTGTTCCGGTAACGAGGTCTACAACATCGTCATGAGAGACAGCATCTTCTTCTCAGAATACATGGGGAAAAGCTTCCCCTACACCTCCTTCCATGCGCATAAGAGGTAAGTAGGTAACACCAATACCTCTTAGGGTCTAGTCCCAGGGTCTAGGCTCGCATACTGTCACGGTCGTGTGAAGGAATTGACCAAGGCGCAGCGTGTGAAACGAACATGGTACTTTATTTAGTAAAGCACAAAAACCAAGAAAACACGACTAGTGAAGTCCACAGTCAACCTGACTGAAAACGGAAACAAAAACCCACAAAACCAAGGTGAAACCACACAGTTTAAATATGGCTCCCAATCAGAGATAACGAGCCGACAGCTGTCACTCGTTACCTCCGATTGGGAGTCACATGAATACAAACAAGGAAGACAACCACCTAGACACCCCAACCAAACAGCACACAACAAAACGAACACACCCTCTACCCAACCTAACCCACACAACACCCAACAATACAAACACACCCTGGTTCATAAACAACGTCCCGGAACCAGAGCGTGACAGTACCCCCCCCTAAAGGTGCGAACCCCGGGCGCACCAACATAAAGTCTAGGGGAGGGTCTGGGTGGGCGTCTGTCCACGGTGGCGGCTCTGGCCCCGGTCGTGATCCCCACCCCACCACAGTCACAAACTGCTTAAGTAGCCTCCTCCCCCTGACCACCCTCCAAACTAACCCACCTGGATAAAGGGGCAGCTCCGGACGAAGAGGCAGCACCGGACTAAGGGACAGCACCGGATTAAGGGGCAGCACCGGACTAAGGGGCAGATCCTGGCTGGTTGGCTCTGGCGGATCCTGGCTGGACGGCTCTGGCGGATCCTGGCTGGCGGAAGGCTCTGGCTGATCCTGTCTGGCAGAAGGCTCTGGCTGATCCTGTCTGGCGGAAGGCTCTGGCTGATCCTGTCTGGCGGAAGGCTCTGGCTGATCCTGTCTGGCGGAAGGCTCTGGCTGATCCTGTCTGGCGGAAGGCTCTGGCTGATCCTGTCTGGCGGAAGGCTCTGGCTGATCCTGTCTGGCGGAAGGCTCTGGCTGATCCTGTCTGGCGGAAGGCTCTGGCTGCTCCTGTCTGGCGGAAGGCTCTGGCTGCTCCTGTCTGGCGGAGAGCTCTAGCGGCTCCGGTCTGGCGGACGGCTCTGAAGGCTCATGGCAGACAGGCGGCTTTGCAGGCTCAGTACAGACGGGCAGTTCCTGCGGCGCTTGGCAGACGGACAGTTCAGACGGCGTTGGGCAGACGGGCAGTTCAGGCGCCGTTGGGCAGACGGGCAGTTCAGACGGCGTTGGGCAGACGGGCAGTTCAGGCGCCGTTGGGCAGACGGGCAGTTCAGGATCCGTCGGCCAGCCATGAGCAGCCAGATCCGTCGGCCAGCCATGAGCAGCCAGATCCGTCGGCCAGCCATGAGCAGCCAGATCCGTCAGCCAGCCATGAGCAGCCAGATCCGTCAGCCAGCCATGAGCAGCCAGATCCTTCAGCCTGCCATGAGCCGTCCAGCCAGGATCCGCCAGAGCCAGCCAGCCAGGATCCGCCCCTTAGCCAGGTGCTGTCCCTTAGCCCGGTGCTGCCCCTAAATCCAGGTGGAGTAAGTTGGAGGGTGGTCATGTGGAGGAGGCTAGGGAAGCGGGTGGTGACTAAGGTGGGGTGGGGACCACGACCAGGGCCAGAACCGCCACCGTGGACAGACGCCCACCCAGACCCTCCCCGAGACTGTATGCTGGTGCGCCCGGAGTGCGCACCTTTAGGGGGGGGTACTGTAACACTCTGGCTCCGGGACTTTTGTATTTGAGCCAGGGTTGTATTGTGTTTTGTTGGGTTTTGGGTATTTTCTATGTTGGTAGTTCTGTTGTGTGTGTTTCTAGGTTTGGTCATTGACTCCCAATCGGAGGTAACGAGTGTCAGCTGTCGGCTCGTTATCTCTGATTGGGAGCCATATTTATTCTGTATGTTTTCTTGTGGGCATTGTGGGTTATTGTTCCGTTTCTGTCAGTTTAGCAGAGGACTTCACGAATCGTCGTTTGTTTTGTATTTCGGTGCTTTTTTCAATTAAAGTTAGCATGTTCACTCAACGCGCTGCGCTTTGGTCCGTTCATTCATCAGACGATCGTGACACATACTTTCTCTTATTAAGCCTCACTACTGACAAATTACCACATTTTCTTCTGATACCGGTTCCAATGGTTTGATTTTCTGTGCTATTTCAGTTGTGTCCATGGATGGGAACGGACATGTGGGCTCAGAAACTCAATGCCCACTTTTTCATCAACACGCCACGTATCCAGTACACATCATCCAAAAATAAGATTGAAAGGTGCACTGATCCTACACATGTTAAACCAGCCCTATTTATGTTTCTTCTAATACAGGTGACAATATGTAAGTCAAGGGTCAAGAGTAGGGCCCTGACCACATGAACTTACCAGGAAAAGCTTTGGGCCATAGAAAAAAACTCTGTTTACTGTATAGGCTAGAAATGGGCCCCCACGTTTTTCCTGGTCTCGGTCAGGAAAACTCAGGGCCCCAGACAATGGCTTTGAACAGACATCACTCTCCCTCTGGTATTGCCCTCTGTACCTCCAGCCTGTGTGATCTAACCCTAACCCTCTATCTCTATCTCTGTCCTCAGGTATGGCGTGTGTCTGATCGGGGTGTGCCGGGAGGACAGTAAGAGCATCCTGCTGAACCCCGGGCCCCAGTTCAGAATGAGCCCCAATGACAGCTGCTTCTACATCAACATTACTAAGGAGGAGAACACTACGTTTAAGACTCAGAGGGAGAGGAGGGGTAGCCGGCCCCGTCTGCCTGTACACAGTGTCATCGCCAGCATGGGTCAGTAATATGAGCTCTGTTCCAATATCAAAACGTGTGTACTACCTAGTATAAAGTGATGTATTGGACAAGTATATTAAGCAGTGGTGTAAAGTACTTCAGTAAAAATACTTTAGAGTACTATTTAAGTAGTTTTTTTGGGGTATCTTTACTTTACTTTACTATAGTATTTTCAGAAATATTATGAATGAATTGACTTGTAAGACACAGAAATATGCCCACAATAAATAGGATGTTGTAAATGTTTGTCTGTTCTTTGTATCCTTGTTCAGGCACTGTGGCCGTAGACCTCCAGGACACAGGCTGTGGGCCCACTCTCTGTCTCCCCCCAGAGGACATCAAGGGTAACAGCAGGAAGCCCAGCATCGGCCCTGTGCTAGAGGTGCCAGACACTTCCTCTATGCACACAGGTGACCTCTATAGCGACCAATCAGAGGACGAGACCCTGCCCTCCAACGAGAACCTATCAACTGAGGGGTATGTTTTATTTTATTTTTCACAGGAGGTTAGTGGCACTTTAATTGGGGAGAACGGGCTCGTGGTAATGACTGGAGCGGAATAGTATCAGATACATCAAACACATTGTATTTTTATTTTTTATTTTTATTCAGCCTTTATTTAACTAGGCAAGTCAGTTAAGAACAAATTGTTATTCAGAATGACGGCCTACCAAAAGGCAAAAGGCCTCCTGCTGGGACGGGGCTGGGATTTAAAAAATTTATATATATAAATATAGGACCAAACACACATCACAACAAGAGAGACAACACAACACTACATAAAGAGAGACCTAAGACAACAACATAGCATGGCAGCAACACATCATGGTACAAACATTATTGGGCACAGACAACAGCACAAAGGGCAAGAAGGTAGAGACAACAATACATCACGCGAAACAGCCACAACTGTCAGTAAGAGTGTCCATGATTGAGTCTTTGAATGAAGAGATGGAGATACAACTGTCCAGTTTGAGTGTTTTTTGCAGCTCGTTCCAGTGGCTAGCTGAAGCAAACTGAAAAGAGGAGCGACCCAGGGATGTGTGTGCCTTGGGGACCTTTAACAGAATGCAACTGGCAGAACGGGTGTGGTATGTGGAGGATGAGGGCTGCAGTAGGTATCTCAGATAGGGGGGAGTGAGGCCTAAGAGGGTTTTTATAGCTAAGCATCAACCAGTGGGTCTTGCAACGGGTATACAGAGATGACCAGTTTACAGAGGATGATAGAGTGCAGTGATGTGTCCTATAAGGAGCATTGGTGGCAAATCTGATGGCCGAATGGTAAAGAACATCTAGCCGCTCGAGAGCACCCTTACCTGCCAATCTATAAATTATGTCTCCGTAATCTAGCATGGGTAGGATGGTGATCTGAATCAGGGTTAGCACATGGTCTTTGGCACATGGTTTGATGCCATTCCATTAGCGCCGTTCCAGCCTTTATTATGAGCCGTTCTCCCCTCAGCAGCCTCCACTGTTATTTATATAAGAGGTAACCCTGATACCAATATGTCTTACTTTCTGTTCTGAAATTAGATCTTTTTTTGGGGTGGAAAGAGACAATGTTAGCCTTGTGGTCATTTCAATAGAGTTAGGTGTCTCCAAATTTGGTCCTGGAGTGCTGCAGTGTGTGCAGGGTTTTGTTGTAGCTCAGCACTAACACACTTGATTCAATTAGCCATGGTCCAGAACACAGGAGGCTGGTGGCACCTTAATTGGGTAGGATGGGCTCGTGGTAATGACTGGAGCGGAAAAGGCGGGATGGTATCAAATACATCAAACACATGGTTTTCATGGTTTCCATGGTTTCCATGGTTTCATGGTTTCCATGGTTTCCATGTGTTTGATACCATTCCATTTGCTCCGTTCCAGCCATTATTATGAGCCGTCCTCCCCTCAGCAGCCTCCTGTGTTGCAGAATGAAGACCATGCATAGATTGAATAAGGTAGGTTAGTGTTGGGCTGGAACAAAAGCTTGCACACCCAGTAGCTTTCCAAGACTGGAATTGGAGACTCTCTGCAGTAGATGATGCATTGTGAGGCAATCATGACATTTGTTTGGCCATTCATTTGAATGGGAGATACATACCCTACTGCCCACCCCTGCAGTAAGATATGAATTCTGTGTCTGTTTATTTCAAGCTATGTGAAAGGCTATCCTCCCAACCTGCCCTACATCGGTAGTTCTCCAACACTGTGCCATCTATTGAAGGAGAAAGTACCATACTGTTGCCTCAGACTGGAAAGGGTAAATGATGCAAATCACTCATTCAGTTAAATAAATATACTGTAGGTAGTTTTAAGTCATGTTAACCATTGGCACTGTTGAGACTGGTTTCCAGACACAGATTAAGCCGAGTCCTAAACTAAAAAGCATGCACAATGGAGAATCTTTATCTGTGTCCAGGAAACCATCCCACAAGTATAGCCTGTTATATATACTGTATATATATTTTTTATATATATATAATTTTAAAAAGCAACAACACACAAATATACGTTTATTCTCCCCATAGGGTTGTGAGCATAACAACTTTGAGGATGCCAAAGCGTACAACTTTAAGAACAAGCTGATCATTGTGTCGGCTGAGACGGCGGGGAATGGACTGTACAACTTCATCGTCCCACTTAGAGCTTCCTACAGACTAAAGAAGGAGCTGAACCCCATTGTGCTGCTTCTGGATAATCAGTAAGAAGACTGTTTAAAAAAATTATGTTATCCTTTTTATTGAGCTGCCCTCTTGGCCAGGTCTCCCTTGTAAAAGAGGTAGGGTTGCAAGATTCCAGCAACTTCCCAGGTTTTACAGAAATCCTGGTTGGAATATTCTAGAAATAATGAGGGAATAAGCAGAAAATCCAGAATCCTCCAACCAGGATTTCTGGAAACCTGGGAATTTTGGGAAAGTTACCGGAATTTTGCAACCCTAAAAAGAGGTCTTCTGACCTCAATGGGATGTCCTGGATATTTTTTTTTTAGATAAAATAAAAACATTTTGCTCTTGCTCCCTTTCGGGAATATATCAAATGATGTTTTTTGATAAATGGAAAGAGACATCCATTACAAAACACCAAAAAATGGTCAAATAAGCCTACACTTGTAACCTTAATTGATACGTCCGCACGCGTTGATTGAATTGATGTGTTCACACACATCCCAGTCACTCATCTCTGCCTTGGACTTATCATCAAACCAAACCGCATTTTGGAGTGGATTTCCAGCCGTTTTCAAGTTCATTCGCTCATTTTTCATGCAACTGACATGTGGTAATGATAAATAATAGTGTAATAGCCTACAGTTTTCTTGACATCTTTGTTTTAATTATTATGATAGGCTCATGTTTTACTGGTACGGCATACCCCCGGTACCGGATTACTTTCCCCCCTGATTTTATATCAAGCAAGGCAGCGCCTCCTACCATATTTAGTCTATTTTACAGTAATATCTTTCGGATATGTCTGGTTGGGTACTGTGACAGCGAAAAATAACACTATCTGTGCATATGGACAATAAAGATGTATTCAATTTAATTACAGTGCATTAGGAACGTATTCAGAACCCTTTACTTTTTCCACATTTTGTTACGTTGCAGCCTTATTCTAAAATGGATTAAATTGTCCCCCCCCCCTCATCAATCTACACACAATACCCCATAATGACAAAGCAAAAACAGGTTTTTATAAATCTTTGCAAATGTATAAAATAAAAAAACGGAAATATCACATTTACATAAGTATTACTTTCATTATGGGGTATTGTGTGTAGATTGATGAGGAACAATTCGTAATTTAATCAATTTTAGAATAAGACTAACGTAACAAAATGTGAAAAAAGGGAAGGGGTCTGAATCATTTCAGAATGCACTGTATATTAAATTATATTCTGTTCTGTTCTGTTCTATGTTGTTATGGTGTGCTCTGTTGTCTCACCAGGCCTGACACGCAGTTCCTGGAGGCTGTCTGTGGACTCCCCATGGTTTACTACATGGTGGGCTCCATCGATAAGTATGCACACACACACACACCCTCATCACACACTTTATAACCTTATACATGATCTTCTTTAGTGTATGTTCTGCATTTCTATGTGGCACTCTTCTAGTCTCTCTATCAATAGTACATCTCAAGGAAACAGAATGAATGAACCAAAAAGAGCCATTTCTGAATTTTTTATTTATTTTTATTTCACCTTTATTTAATCAGGTAAGCCAGTTGAGAACAAGTTCTCATTTACAACTGCGACCTCATAAAGTCCTGTGTAGAAAGTCATCTTCTTGACAGCCTCCAAGATACTATCAGTTACAAATTCTCTCTCCACATTGAATCCTTCATAGATTGCTAGCTCATATGCAGGGTCCAGAGTTGTTCCTGGTTAGGGGAAATAAGTCAAATTCAAGTAAAATGTGTGTGTGTGTTTCCCTAGCCTGGATGACCTCCTGCGCTGCGGCGTGTCCTTTGCAGCCAACATGGTGGTGGTGGACAAGGAGAGCACCATGAGTGCAGAAGAGGACTACATGGCTGACGCCAAGACCATCGTCAATGTACAGACACTGTTCAGGTACCTCAACCCCTATCAATGTACAGACACTGTTCAGGTAGCAGAACCATTGTCAATGTGCAAACACTGGTACCAAAGTCACTGTCATGGTTTTAACCTTTGGTCAAAATAATGTATAATCGAATATACTGGACCACATCTTCAGACATTTTATGCAGGCATTTCTATGATATCAAAAGTGTCACACAGTTGAACATTTTAGAGGTGGGTTTCAAAGATTAATTTATATATAATATATGACAGGGATTTTTTTTCAACCGTGTAGATTAAAGTACACACTGCAGAGCTAGTTTCCTTGGCAACCTTGCCACACTGCATCAGTGAATCCATTTGTTTTCTGATTGATTGAAGTCACTCATCTCATATTTCGTGTTGTCAGACAGTTAATCAAATAAATGTCAACTCACCTTATAATTTTCACCAGACAACGTAGAAGCTTGCACAAACATTGAAACACTTTGATTTGGGGTTTATGTTTCATGAATTGCTCCCACTGTTATTATATAGTATAATAAGATATCAATAGGATATAACCTATATTATAAACTGTGTGGTTCGAGCCCTGAATGCTGATTGGCTGACAGCCGTGGTATATCAGACCGTATACCACGGGTATGACAAAACATTTGTTTTTACTGCTCTAATTACGTTGGTAACCAGTTTATAATAGCAATAAGGCACCTCGGGGGGGTTGTGGTCTATGGCCAAAATACCGCAGCTAAGGGCTGTATCCAGGCACTCCGCGTTGCGTCGTGCTTCAGAACAGTCCTTAGCCGTGGTATATTGGCCATATACCACAACTCCTCGGGCCTTATTGCTTAATTAGGTAGCTAGTATATACCCATACACAGTAGTATAGGTAGCAGTTCTTCGCTAAATAGTGCTAGACCTGGAATGGTGTTAGTAGATAGCCTTGCTGTTTATTTCTTGGGTCGCACAAGTTTATTAGCTAGGCTATTAATTCATAGTTATTCATTTCATCTAGTCATTCATTTAAGTGAGTATACAAAACATTAAGGACACCTGCTCTTTCCATGACATAGACTGACCAGGTGAATCCAGGTGAAAGCTATGATCCCTTATTGATGTCACTTGTTAAATCCACTTCAAATCAGTGTAGATGAAGGAGAGGGGGCAGGTTAAAGAAGGGTTTTTAAGCCTTGGGACAAGTGAGCCATGGATTGTGTATGTGTGCCATTCAGAGGGTGAATGGGCAATACTAAAGATTTAAGTGGCTTTGAACGGGGTATGGTAGTACAGTGCATTCGGAAAGTATTCAGACCCCTTGACTTTTTCCACATTTTGTTACGTTACAGCCTTACGTTAATAGCCTTTTATTAAATTAAAAATATATAATATAATACAGAAATATCACATTTACATAAGTATTCAATCCCTTTACTCAGTACTTTTGTTGAAGCACCTTTGGCAGCGATTACAGCCTTGTGTCTTCTTGGGTACACATGAATTTGCTTGGCACACATGAATTTGGGGAGTTTCTCCCATTCTTCTCTACAGATACTCTCAAAATACAGTGGGGAAAAAAAGTATTTAGTCAGCCACCAATTGTGCAAGTTCTCCCACTTAAAAAGATGAGAGATGCCTGTAATTTTCATCATAGGTACACGTCAACTATGACAGACAAAATGAGAAAAGAAAATCCAGAAAATCACATTGTAGGATTTTTAATGAATTTATTTGCAAATTATGGTGGAAAATAAGTATTTGGTCAATAACAAAAGTTTCTCAATACTTTGTTATATACCCTTTGTTGGCAATGACACAGGTCTAACGTTTTCTGTAAGTCTTCACACACTGTTGCTGGTATTTTGGCCCATTCCTCCATGCAGATCTCCTCTAGAGCAGTGATGTTTTGGGGCTGTCCCTGGGCAACACGGACTATCAACTCCCTCCAAAGATTTTCTATGGGGTTGAGATCTGGAGACTGGCTAGGCCACTCCAGGACCTTGAAATGATTCTTACGAAGCCACTCCTTCGTTGCCCGGGCGGTGTGTTTGGGATCATTGTCATGCTGAAAGACCCAGCTACGTTTCATCTTCAATGCCCTTGCTGGTTTTCACTCAAAATCTCACGATACATGGCCCCATTCATTCTTTCCTTTACACGGATCAGTCGTCCTAGTCCCTTTGCAGAAAAACAGCCCCAAAGCATGATGTTTCCACCCCCATGCTTCACAGTAGGTGTGGTGTTCTTTGGATGCAACTCAGCATTCTTTGTCCTCCAAACACGACGAGTTGAGTTTTTACCAAAAAGTTATATTTTGGTTTCATCTGACCATATGACATTCTCCCAATCCTCTTCTGGATCATCCAAATGCACTCTAGCAAACTTCAGACGGGCCTGGACATGTACTGGCTTAAGCAGGGGGACACGTCTGGCACTGCAGGATTTGAGTCCCTGGCGGCGTAGTGTGTTACTGATGGTAGGCTTTGTTACTTTGGTCCCAGCTCTCTGCAGGTCATTCACTAGGTCCCCCCGTGTGGTTCTGGGATTTTTGCTCACTGTTCTTGTGATCATTTTGACCCCACAGGCTGAGATCTTGCGTGGAGCCCCAGATCGAGGGAGATTATCAGTGGTCTTGTATGTCTTCCATTTCCTAATAATTGCTCCCACAGTTGATTTCTTCAAACCAAGCTGCTTACCTATTGCAGATTCAGTCTTCCCAGCCTGGTGCAGGTCTACAATTTTGTTTCTGGTGTCCTTTGACAGCTCTTTGGTCTTGGCCATAGTGGAGTTTGGAGTGTGACTGTTTGAGGTTGTGGACAGGTGTCTTTTATACTGATAACAAGTTCAAACAGGTGCCATTAATACAGGTAACGAGTGGAGGACAGAGGAGCCTCTTAAAGAAGAAGTTACAGGTCTGTGAGAGCCAGAAATCTTGCTTGTTTGTAGGTGACCAAATACTTATTTTCCACCATAATTTGCAAATAAATTCATTAAAAATCCTACAATGTGATTTTCTGGATTGTTTTTCCTCATATTGTCTGTCATAGTTGGCTTTTACCTATGATTAAAATTACAGGCCTCTCCCATCTTTTTAAGTGGGAGAACTTGCACAATTGGTGGCTGACTAAATACTTTTTTTCCCCACTGTATGTCAGGTTGAATGGGGAGCGTCGCTGCACAACTATTTTCAGGTCTCTCCAGAGATGTTCGATCAGGTTTAAGTCCGGGCTCTGGCTGGGCCATTCAAGGACATTCAGAGACTTGTCTCGAAGCCACTCCTGCATTGTCTTGGCTGTGTGCTTAGGGTCGTTGTCCTGTTGGAAGGTGAACCTTCGCCCCAGTCTGAGGTTCTGAGCGCTCTGGAGCAGGTTTTCATCAAGTATCTCTCTGTACCTTGCTCCGTTCATCTTTCCCTCGATCCTGACTAGTCTCCCAGTCCCTTCTGCTGAAACGCATCCCCACAGCATGAAGCTGCCACCACAATGCACAATGCAACTTTCCAAATGCACTATAGGTGCCAGGCGCACCGGTTTGTGTCAAGAACTGCAACTCTGCTGGGTTTTTCACGCTCAACAGTTTCCTGTGTGTATCAAGAATGGTCCACCACCCAAAGGACTTCCAGCCAACTTGATACATCTGTGGGAAGCATTGGAGTCAACATGCGCCGGCATCCACCTCAAGCTGAACCTTGGCAAGACGGAGCTGCTCTTCCTCCCGGGGAAGGACTGCCTGTTCCATGATCTCGCCATCACGGTTGACAACTCCGTTGTGTCCTCCTCCCAGAGTGCGAAGAGCCTTGGCGTGACCCTGGACAACACCCTGTCGTTCTCCGCTCTCATGCTCTACAACATTCGGAGAGTACGACCCTGCCTTACACAGGAAGCGGCACAGGTCCTAATCCAGGCACTTGTCATCTCCCGTCTGGATTACTGCAACTCGCTGTTGGCTGGGCTCCCTGCCTGTGCCATTAAACCCCTACAACTCATCCAGAATGCCGCAGCCCGTCTGGTGTTCAACCTTCCCAAGTTCTCTCACGTCACCCCGCTCCTCCGCACACTCCACTGACTTCCAGTTGAAGCTTGCATCTGCTACAAGACCATGGTGCTTGCCTACGGAGCTGTGAGGGGAACGGCACCTCCGTACCTTCAGGCTCTGATCAGTCCCTACACCCAAACGAGGGCATTGCGTTCATCCACCTCTGGCCTTCTGGCCCCCCTACCTCTGCGGAAGCACAGTTCCCGCTCAGCCCAGTCAAAACTGTTCGCTGCTCTGGCACCCCAATGGTGGAACAAGCTCCCTCACGACGCCAGGACAGCGGAGTCACTCACCACCTTCCGGAGACATTTGAAACCCCACCTCTTTAAGGAATACCTGGGATAGGATAAAGTAATCCTTCTACCCCCCCCCCCCCCCCCCCCCCCCAAAAAAAATAATAAAAATAAATAAATAACATTGTAAAGTGGTTATCCCACTGGCTATAAGGTGAATGCACCAATTTGTAAGTCGCTCTGGATAAGAGTGTCTGCTAAATGACATAAATGTAATGTAAATGAACTCTTCCGACACGTTGTAGAGTCCATTCCCCGATGAATTGAGGCTGTTCTGAGGGCAACTCAATATTAGGAAGGTGTTCCTAATATTTGGTATGCTCAGTGTATTTTGAATGTCACATTTGATTACAAAGTTGACATTTTGTTCTGCCATTGTGATTTTCAGTTTGATTTAGTTCAGTTAATCTCAGCTATATTGCGTTTCTTCTCATCCAGGTTGTTCCCCAGCCTCAGTATCATCGCAGAGCTAACCCACCCGGCCAACATGAGGTTTATGCAGTTCAGAGCTAAGGACTGGTACTCTCTGGCTCTCTCTAAACTGGAGAAGGTAAGCCGTCACTGAATGTACACAAACTGTACTTCAAGGCTGAGATTCAGTCCAAGGCGCGTTATAGAGAAACGCATTGGACAGCTGACAATGCGCATTTTAAAAGCAATGTCCCTGACATTTGCAGAGATTATATTCATGCTGTAGATGTAAGCTCAAGCATAAATTAAAAGGCACGTTGTCGACTGTTCAGTGTGCTGCTCTATAACACGCCTTGGATTGAATCCCAGCCCAATCTGTAGATGTCTCTAAATGCAAAGTTTACAACTATTTATTGTTGTCTACAGTACCACAACGGACCAGGGTTGGAGTCAATTCCATTTAAATTCCAGTCAATTCAGGAAGTAGACTGAAACTCCAATTCTCTTTAATGCTTTTCAATGAGAAACATTTTGAATTAGAGTTTGGTTTACTTTCTGAATTGACTGGAATTGACCCCAACCCTGGTACGGAATATACATTGAGTAGTCTTCAAAGCAAAGGAACAGAAGGTTATAGAATCATTATGTAAAGACTAGACAGTACAACATTTACATTTTAGCAGACGCTCTTATCCAGAGCGACTTACAGTTAGTGAGTGCATACATTTTTCACACTGGCCCCCCGTGGGAATCGAACCCACAACCCTGGCGTCGCAAACGCCATGCTCTACCAACTGAGCTACACGGGGCCAAGCATATTATTTTTCCATAGCCCACTCAAACAACACCAGATGTTGGACCTTTTTTCCTATGAGAAATTATCATTCATAGACACATGTGACATGTAACATTTTCAGGGGTAATATGTTATGCGTATGCATCCTTTCCTTAATACGATTTCAATATCGTTCCTGTTGCGGTGTACCTTTCACCTCATACCAGTATCGACCACCAGGTGGTGCTCTCCCTCAAATATCAAATCAAATGTTTGTCACATGAGCCGAATACAACAGGCACAGACCTTAACATGAAATACTTACTTACAAGCCCTTAACCAACAATGCAGTTCAAGAAAGAGTTAAGAAAATATTTACTAAATAAACTAAATAATAATAATAATCGTAACCTCTTCTTGAGTACCCCCATTTGGTCGGTTACAGTTCTAACACCTGAAGGACTTGATGATAAGGTGACCAGTTGAATGAGGTTATGCTGTACTGCAATAGATTAAATAAGTGGAACAGCTGGTTTATTCAAGGAAAGGTTTGCAGAACGCTGCCCTAACATCCCACTAGGCAAAAACTAGTTGAAAAAAGTTGTTTCCACTTTATCTCAACCAAAAAATGCAATGTGATGATGTTAAATCAACATGGAAAACTGATTGGATTTGCAAAAAGTCATCAACGTAGGGGAATTTTGTATTTTTTTATTAATCCAACTTTTAACCTAAATTCAATGACATGGTGAAATTTTTGGTTGAATTCACGTTAGTTGACAACTCAACCAAAAGTAAATCAAAACTAGATGTTGAACGGACGTCTGCCCAGTGGGATTAGTGTGTTGGTCATTCTGTGCCCCTGTTACATGTCTATGGGAGCTGAAAGAGCTTTGTGATTCTTGCATGTGTTGAAAAGAGCTCTACAAATAAAATGTATTATTATTGATTAGAAAGAGCGGGAGAAAGGTTCCAACCTGGCCTTCATGTTCCGCCTGCCGTTCGCTGCAGGGAGGGTCTTCAGTATCGGCATGCTGGACACTCTCCTCTACCAGGTAACCAGGCAGGACCCACCTGTTCTGTACAGTAGCAAAGAAGTTAAGAATGTATACTCACTGTTGAACTAGCTACCTTTTAAGTAGAGGTTGTTCTGTACTATATTCAGAGGCTAATCTTTTTAATTAGCCTACAGAGACTAATCTTTTGAATTAGCCTACAGAGACTAATCTTTTGAATTAGCCTACAGAGACTAATCTTTTTAATTAGCCTACAGAGACTAATCTTTTTAATTAGCCTACAGAGGCTAATTTATTTAATTAGCCTACAGAGGCTAATCTCTTTAATTAGCCTACAGAGGCTAATCTTTTTAATTCGCCTACAGAGGCTTGTTAAAACAAGGTTATATCTGTGGCACAGACTGACTTTGCTTAAGGGCATGTACTGTAGCAATTATAGTTATTTATTCCACAATTTTGTACCTCCCAGATATTTAATGTTAAAATGTGTAACATTGTTTTTACTGTTACAATGTGTTCACATGTATCCCAGTGTCCATAGAACATAATGCTAGTTCAATTGGACTGTGTTGATTTCTGGTGACCAGGAATGACCCTTTTATTTAACGATTATGAACATGAACACTGTTTGACATAATTTCCTTACCTTCTCTTCTGTTTGTCCTGTCCTGTCTATCCTGTCTACCCTGTCTGTCCTGACCTGTCTGTCCTGTCCTGTCTGTCCTCTCCTGTCTGTCCTGTCTATCCTGTCTGTCCTGCCCTGTCTGTCCTGTCCTTTCTACCTGTCTGTGCTGTCTGTCCTATCTGTCATGTCCTATCTGTCTGTCCTGTCCTATCTGTCCTGTCCTGTCCTGTCCTGTCTGTCCTGTCCTGTCCTTTCTACCTGTGTGTGCTGTCTGTCCTATCTATCCTGTCTGTCTGTCTGTCTGTCTGTCTGTCTGTCTGTCTGTCTGTCTGTCTGTCTGTCTGTCTGTCTGTCTGTCTGTCTGTCTGTCTGTCTGTCTGTCCTGTCTGTCCTGTCCTTTCTACCTGTCTGTGCTGTCTGTCTGTCTGTCCTGTCCTGTCCTGTCCTGTCCTGTCCTGTCCTGTCCTGTCCTGTCTGCCATCCCAGTCGTTTGTCAAAGACTATATTATCTCCATCACCAGGCTGCTGCTGGGCCTGGACACCACCCCGGGCTCTGGCTTCCTCTGCTCTGTGAGTTACTCTCTGGGTGCATCTCAATGGTCAAAAGTGGCTTCCTCTCCAGGTCTCAGACGGCAGGAAAGAAGACAAGGAAAGGAGGCCTCTGTAGACTATTGAGATGCACCCGTTGTACTGTACAGTAGTCCTATGTGTGACAGCACAGCAGCTAAGATCAGAAAATAAACTCAGTGCAGGCTTTCTTTGCCTGTCCAAATCCTTACATTGACAGGTAAAAGATACTCCACAATCATTTAAAATCATTGTACTGTTGTTCCTCCTATAGAGAAAATGGAATAAGAAGTGACCTCCTTACCTTTTAGATGCAGATCTCCGAGGATGACCTGTGGATCCAGACGTATGGAAGGCTCTATCAGAAACTGTGTTCCACTGTCGGTGACATTCCCATCGGCATCTACAGGACCGAGTCCCAGACAGCAGATTCCTCTGTGGAGGTGCCCTCTAGACATTGTTACATTCATTTGTTTGGCCGTGAAATCCCAGTTAATGTTGGATGTTTTTGTGTTAATTGCATATTACAGCGGAATTGATTATACTGTCATTAGGGTTCATTGAAGTTATTCTGTCTTGTGTGTGGTTTTTCTTTTCTCATTTGTTACATATACATGTTTAGTCTGTATGCTTTCATGGTTATTTAAGCATGTTACAACACAGTAAGATACATTGATGGCATTCATCTCTTTCTTTTTCATTCCCCATCATAAGCAATGCGAGCCATCCTCCCAAATAAGTTCAGCCCTATTTGTGGGATTCCACGATTCGCGAAAACCAATCGATTTATTTTGTCCGACTAAATCCAATTTTTGTGCAGATGAAGTAGGTTTTCTTCCGCTGTAATGGGTCTTGGTTAAATTGTGCTTGATAAACTGGGGTGAGACTTGCCACTGGTGGTTATATCAGGAAGAAATCATTGTCAAACCAACTTATACATTCTCTGGCCTCGCTCTTGATAATTCACTTTGTTCTGGGTCGTTTCATTTGACCCTATTTGACTATAGACATACCATAGACTTCAGTCATGTACATGGCATTGTGTTTTGACCGTACTTAGTCACAGCTCTCGGTGGGCGTGGAGGACTTAGACGACCCCAAGGAGCAGAGAGATCGAGAGCTCCCCCCTGTGGCCGGAAGGCTCCACCGCAGCTCCACCTCCAGCGACCCGTCGGACGGGAAGGCTCCCCTGCTGAGGAGGAAGAGCGTGCAGTGGGCAAGGAAGCTGAGCCGGAGGGGGCCTCGGGAGAACCCGCGGGGGGCTCAGAGGGGGGGCCAGCAGGGTCTGAGGGCCAGACGCTCGGAGAGACAGGAGCTGGACGAGCTGGTCAGCAACAGGATGAAAAGCCTTGGACTCTGGGCCACAGCTTGCGGTGAGAGACCACATACGGGGAGGGATGTTTTTTTGAGATTGTGAGTTGGATTTCCAAGGCCTGGAACTAAAGGCAAAATATGTTATGTTATGTGTTTGAAACACAACACTCAGGCTTTATGGATGGATGGACGGACAGACTAACAACGGAGATGATTGTCATTTAATACACTATGTCAGCCTTTTGACAGACAAAACGGACATGAATGAATGCATACCTTTTATTCCGTAACATGTGGCCACAGCTGAAGCAACTCAGAAGGAGATTGCAGACAAATCTAATGTCCATCATCTGTCAACATATCCTTGACAGAAACCATGGTCATCAACATTTTCTGAACATTGAAAGCTGTAGCTAGATCATTGGACTTTCCACTCTGCTGTCAGATTTTCTGACCATTCACCAGAGGCACATGAGTGAGACCAGACACTCACGTCCACATACTGTACAACCGCACTCCATGAAAACCAGGCTGGAACTGACATTCTGACAATGTAATGTATGCAGATCATGGAAGTTAAGGCCTGAAGAAACATTTGATTATGTTAACATTCCAGTAAGAGTGAGAACGAGACAATCAACGAGAAGAGTTTCAAACTCCAATACACTCAGCCATGTGACACAAACTGACATGTAGCTAACTATGAGTACATGCCAAGTAGCTACTCATACCTAGTTCAAGTATTCCAACTACTCCATAAGTACAGAATCAGAAAGTCACATCCAATTACATCATAGCTACTCCATATTACTCTCCATATTACTACTCCATAGTACATCCATATTATATCATGTACTCCATATTCTACTCATATTACTATCCATAGTACTCCACATTACTACTCCATAGTACTCCATATTACTACTCCATATTACTACATGTACCATAGTACAAACTCCATATTACTACTCCATAAGTACTCACCATACTACTCCATAGTACTCCATATTACTACTCCATATACTATCCATAGTACTACTCCATATTACTACTCCATAGTACTCCAATTACTACTCCATAGTACTCCAATATACATAACTCCATATTACTATCCATAGTACTCCATATTACTACTCCATATACTAGTCCATATACACTAAACTCCATAGTACTACTCCATATACTCCCTACTCCATATTACTATATCCCATATTACTACTCCATATACTACTCCATAGTACAAGACTCCATATTACTACTCCATATTACTAGCATAACCAACAGTATACTCCATAGTTACTACTCCATAGTATCCATATTACTATCTCCATAGTACTCCCATATTACTACCCATAGTACTACCATAGTAACTACCCCATATTACTACTCCCATTAGTACTCCATATTACTACCCACTTCCCATATGACTACTCCATATTACTACTTCCATATTACTACGCAAAGTACTACCCATATTCTACTCCATATTACTACCCATATTACTCCATATTACGACCCATATGACTACTCCATAGACTCCATATTAACTAACTCCATATTACTACTCCATAGTACTCCATATTACTACTCCATATTACTACTCCATATTACTACTCCATATTACTCCACATTACTACTCCATAGTACTCCATATTACTACTCCATATTACTACTCCATAGTACTCCATATTACACTCCATATTACTACTCCATAGTACTCCATATTACTACTCCATATTACTACTCCATAGTACTCCATATTACTACTCCATAGTACTCCATAGTACTCCATATTACTACTCCATATTACTACTCCATAGTACTCCATATTACTACTCCATATTACTACTCCACATTACATTACTATTCTGCGTTACAACTCCATATAACTGACATTCACATATTATTGTGTCACTTAACCTATGTTTGGGCACCCAGTGCCTTTATTAGTAATTGAAAAGATCAAACCATTTAGAGTCGGAGAGGAGAGTTCATCATTTCACTTAATTGCTTATCAACAATAGATGGATTAAGAAGTACTCCATCCTATCTTACAGGTATATCATCCGTTCAGATCCCCTGGGGTTCGTCCCTAAGGCTGGTGACAGCAGGGAGAGTCTGGGAAGCAACACATGTCTTGGGGAGCACACCAAGATGGAGACTCCTTTCTGATCCATACTTACACACAACCTGCCTATACTGTTGTGCTGGGGTTGGTTAAAGAGATAGTTCACTTTTTGCACCGCTAACTGATACAATCGGTTTCCACTAGCATTGCTACAATACCATAGGTACCTTGAAAATAAGCGAAAACTTCAAAAAGACGAACTATCCCTTTAATGCCGTAATTATGTTTTACATCCTACAGTTCACATTGCATTGTGCAAAGCATGAGGGGGGTGATACAGAATGTATCACCACATACTGTATCTGCTGTTCAATTGACACTGATGTCTTAAACTCGATCTCTCTCTTTCACAATGTGGCCTTTCCAGAGGATATACTCAATGTAGGAACTCAGGGGTGGGGGGCAAAATGAACAGTTTAGGTTGCTCTGCAAAGTCCACCTCTGTTCTTAGTATGCAGTGTACTCCATGGTATCATAAGTACTGTCTATTTATTCATTTGTAGAATAGTATGTCAATCATGCATTGCTTCTATACTCATCTGTTGAATGTTTGTTGTCATGAATATTGACTGTCATAAATGATGTAATGTTTACTCTCATATGGCCTCCTGTAGCGCAGTTGGTAGAGCATGGCGCTTGCAACGCCAGGGTTGTGGGTTCGATTCCCACGGGGGGCCAGTATGAAAAATGTATGCACTCACTAACTGTAAGTCGCTCTGGATAAGAGCGTCTGCTAAATGACTAAAATGTAATGTAAATGTAATTATCTTTGAAAGCAAATCTTAATTAGTTTTTAAAGGGGAATTACACTCAAACTATCTTTTGGTATTTTGTTTCATTAGTCCACTTTTGATACAGTCCCAAAATGTTTTGCATGTCAGCAGTCAAGTTGTCAAGATATTGGACTTTTAAGGAGAAAAGTGTCTCTAGCCACATTATCATGATGATGCATTTTGGGACTGTATCAAAAGTGGACTAATTAAAAAAAAATACCAAAAGATACTGTAGTTTGAGTACAATTCCCCTTTAAGTTGATTTAGGCCGGGATTTAATGCAAGGCATGTTATAGCACAGCACACTATAACAGACTTAAAGGTCATTTGCAGTTGAGCCGGCGTGCCCAGTGTTTACTATGATGGCGATGTTACGTCAGGGATAATGCCAACACCGGGGATAATGCCTTTAAAAGGTGCATTATCGGCTGTATAGGGCACCGAGCTATAACTCGCTTTGCATTGAATCCCGGCCTTAGTTTATGTATGTATTTGACAGTGTCAGTGCACATGAATCAACATATTATTAATTAATTATAATTAATTATTTCATCATGTTAGACAGTATGAATGAATTGACCCGTGTCTTTTTACATTCAAAACACAGCATTCAAATCAACAATAGCAAAAACGACACATGAAAATAAGCTTCAAGTCTAAAAGCCCCATCATGTAGGTGTTTATAACCATGAATGTATTAATCTGTTTGTTTTGGTTTGCAGAGCCTCTTTAATGGTATCACAACTACATTCCCATGAGGTATTGATGTGTCATGCTTATAATAATCCATGATCCATACATGAGCCTATTGTACTAATAATCCATGATCCATATACCAGCCTATTGTACTAATAATCCATGATCCATATATCAGCCTATTGTACTAATAATCCATGATCCATATATCAGCCTATTCTACTAATAATCCATGATCCATATATCAGCCTATTTTACTAATAATCCATGATCCATACATGAGCCTATTGTGCTAATAATTCATGATCCATATACCAGCCTATTGTACTAATAATCCATGATCCATATATCAGCCTAGTGTATTAATAATCCATGATCCATATATCAGCCTAGTGTATTAATAATCCATGATCCATATATCAGCCTATTGTACTAGTAATCCATGATCCATATATCAGCCTATTGTACTAATAATCCATGATCCATATATCAGCCTATTGTACTAATAATCCATGATCCATATATCAGCCTATTGTACTAATAATCCATGATCCATACATGAGCCTATTGTACTAATAATCCATGATCCATATATCAGCCTGTTGTACTAATAATCCATGATCCATATATCAGCCTATTGTACTAATAATCCATGATCCATATATCAGCCTATTCTACTAATAATCCATTATCCATATATCAGCCTATTGTACTAATAATCCATGATCCATACATGAGCCTATTGTACTAATAATCCATGATCCATATACCAGCCTATTGTACTAATAATCCATGATCCATATATCAGCCTATTGTACTAATAATCCATGATCCATATATCAGCCTATTCTACTAATAATCCATGATCCATATATCAGCCTATTTTACTAATAATCCATGATCCATACATGAGCCTATTGTGCTAATAATTCATGATCCATATACCAGCCTATTGTACTAATAATCCATGATCCATATATCAGCCTAGTGTATTAATAATCCATGATCCATATATCAGCCTAGTGTATTAATAATCCATGATCCATATATCAGCCTATTGTACTAGTAATCCATGATCCATATATCAGCCTATTGTACTAATAATCCATGATCCATATATCAGCCTATTGTACTAATAATCCATGATCCATATATCAGCCTATTGTACTAATAATCCATGATCCATACATGAGCCTATTGTCCTAATAATCCATGATCCATACATGAGCCTATTGTCCTAATAATCCATGATCCATACATGAGCCTATTGTCCTAATAATCCATGATCCATACATGAGCCTATTGTCCTAATAATCCATGATCCATACATGAGCCTATTGTACTAATAATCCATGATCCATACATGAGCCTATTGTACTAATAATCCATGATCCATATATCAGTTTATTGTACTAACCAAACTGTTTTCCCACTTGTTAAACAGTAATCAGAATACTATATCCAAGCAATATACAATAATACGAAATAGCGCTGCACAACCAATGTGTCCCTTTAGCAGATAAAAGACTACCAACAACCAGTGTAAGCATTACAGACAGATCGAAACTAACTAAGAGCAATTGGTTCCTGCTTCTTGAAGCTCCCTGGGACTATGATGGATTGGAACGCGTATGGGGTGAGTAGGGTCGTCAAATATTCATCTAAATATGATAAAATACCTCCAGGCCTCTCAAGTAGTTCTGCCCCCTGTTGTGCTTGATATCCCATAATATCCTAAATATACTGAACAAAAATATAAATGTAACATGCAACAATTTCTAAGATTTTACTGAGTTACAGTTCATATAAGGAAATCAGTCAAATGGAATAAAATTCATTAGGCCCTAATCTATGGATTTCACATGACTCGGCAGGGGCACAGCCATGGGTGGGCCTGGGAGGGCATAGGCCCACCCACTGGGGAGCCAGGCACAGCCAATCAGAATATGTTTTTCCCCACAAAAGGGCTTTATTACAGACAGAAATACTCCTCAGTTTCATCAGCTGTCTGGTTGGCTGGTCTCAGACGATCCCGCAGGTGAAGAAGCCGGATGTGGAGTTCCTGGGCTGGCATGGTTACACGTGGTTTGCGGTTGTGAGGCCAGTTGGACGTAATGCCAAATTCTCTAAAACGACGCTTATAGTAGAGAAATTAACATTCAATTCTCTGGCAACAGCTCTGGTGGACATTCCTGCAGTCAGCATGCCAATTGCACGCTCCCTCAAAACATGAGAATCTGTGACATTGTGTTGTGTGACAAAACTGCACATTTTAGAGCACATTTTAGAGACCTGGCCAACGTGGTGGGAACATCACAATGTGCGCTGCCATCTCCAATACGCATGGTGTCCTCCACCGTCATGCCAACCTTGGACCATACAACACAGCCCATATTCTCACATTTCTGGACAGACTCCACAACATTCTCACACCACCAGAGCGTATGAATGATGCAGACCATCAAAGAACCCGGTACGTTGTAGTATGGGACAACGTGAGCTTTCATCGTGCAGCCCCAGTCCAAAACTGGTTTGCTGACCACCCACCATTTCTCGTGCAATACCTCCCACCATACTCACCATTTCTGAACCCCATAGAAGAGTTATTTTCGGCATGGCGGTGGAAGGTATATGACTGGCAGCCCTTTGTGCGCATGCCTCTTGTGCAGGTTATGGAAGAGGCATGTGATGAGATTGATGTGGGTGCGATTCAGGGATGGATAAGGCACTCAAGGCGCTTCTTCCCTCGATGTCTGGCAAGGGAAGATATTGCCTGTGATGTGGACGAGGCGTTGTGGCCAGACCCAGCTGTGCGGCAAGATGTTGCCATATTATTTTTCTTGCCTCTTTTTTTTATATTTATTTTTTCTGCACATTTTTTCTGCAATTTTCTTTTCCAGTTTACTGTTTTTTGTGAGCATATTTTTGTTCAGTCCAATGTAAATATATCTGCTGTGCATATGTTGCACTAACTTGTTTGGTGAAAAATAAAAAAATAAATGTTTCAACAGCATGTCTGTGTATCTGCAAATATTTCTGTGCATGTGAACAATCTGAAGAATTTTCTACAATTTGAACTATTTTAGTATTATGGCAAAGCACACTAAAGATGAGAGTGCTTTTCATTATGCCCAACAGTGTGTAGTTGGTTAGACAAAAATCTGGTAATATGAATGAAGTGTGTGCCATTTCGTGCAAACGTTTGATTTTGATAATGTAGTTTTGGTTGCAGTGCTTCATTTTGCAGGATATATGAGGTATTTTGCAGTTTGGGTGTGTGGTTTTGTTAATTGTGTTAAGTATTTTGATAAAACCAGCCTAGTTTGCAAAATTGTGTTTTAGCAATTGGGAAAAACTGTAAATAACAAGGATTTCATGTCGTACAATTTCACCATCAGTAGGCCTCATTGGTTTGTTTCGCCTGGCAGAACAGCCAGGACCGGACCTGAGCAGGTGCCTGTACTTGGTACTCGGAAGGCCTCAGAGAGTGTGTGTGTGTGTGTGTGTGTGTGTGTGTGTTTGTGTGTGTGTGTACCCGTGCAGTTGTGTGTGTATGTGCATGTCCACACGCTTGT